CGTGGAAGGCTGCACAGGGGCGCTTCACATCATGGCCAGAGACCCTGTCAATAGAGGTGTCACCGCCGACATGAACACCATCCCACTGTTTGTGCAGGTTAATGTCGCAGCAAGTTACGGCGCCTGTGTATTGACCCAGCCTGTTTTTTTTCAGTTTTGGCTTTGTAGATCTATTTCAGTTCTGCTTTTCTCACTGAGTATAATACTCTCAAGAAGCAAGATTTCTAATGTATAATGTGCCTTACATAACCCTTTCCCTCTCTGTTTCTCTCTGTAGCTGCTCTACTCCCCTGTGGATAATATAAAGCGAGTGGCTGCCGGTGTACTATGTGAGCTGGCTCTGGATAAACAGTCAGCCGTGGTCATTGATAGTGAGGGAGCCTGTGCTCCACTCATGGAGCTGCTGCACTCGAGTAACGAGGGCATTGGTGAGTGAAAGGGAGGCTTGAATAAATCAGATTATTAGGCTGCAACAGAGTTACATTGTAGTGCAGTAGTGTGAAGATACTGCTTTAAAATAGCATAATGAAATGGACTGAGAAACTAGATTCTTTAAATACTTTGAAACGGGGGGTGGCCAGACATGCCAATTTTCAGGCCATTTTGAGGAACCCTTCACTGTATTGTGCTTCAGCTGAAGCAGGTGTTCAGCAATGGACAGTTGTTTTCATATCTGTTAAAACTGAGCTTATCTCATGGTAGTAAAATCTGGGGGTTCGGTTCTTCCATGTACGTTGTATGGTGATATGGAAGTTTTTCAAAATTACCATATAATTCAGTTGCTGATATGTAAACAGAGTAATTAAGAGTGGCTTGATGTGAAAACATCATTGGAGAGAACTTTACCAACTCATTTCTCTGGGGACTGTTTTGCTTTACAGTGCCTTGCATGTACCTTGCTGCCATGACTGCATTTCAAAAACTACATTTTAGGCCAATAGCTTATCTCCAAACCATCATAAAACAATGTCTTGGGCATTCAGGAAGTGTATTGATAACGATTTCATGTAATGACTTTATGAGGAAACTTTTTAGAGGCATTAGTCTTGAGATCGTCTGGTTGATATCACTATCACTGTGAACAACTCTGGCTTGGTAAGTTTCTCTAGAGTGGCGCATTTCACATTAAACCCCTCTGAATGATTTTACATCTAAACTAATTATGCAGAAATGTTGAAAATTCAATGAAATTCCCCTTTAACCATTGGTTTTGTGGAGGCGTCATCATCTTTCTCTTGTGATACAGTACCTAACAGTTCAAGAACACAGTAAATATCAGTCAACAGGGACTGGAACAGAGTTCATTGTGCAACTGAAATGACTTTATCGCTTTTCTCTATCAGCTACGTATGCAGCTGCTGTGCTTTTCCGCATCTCTGAGGACAAAAACGCAGACTACAAGAAGCGTGTGTCTGTGGAGCTCACGCACTCGCTATTCAAACATGACCCTGCAGCATGGGACATGGTGAGTGCGCCCTCTGGCAGTAGTGAGGTGCTATGGAGCAGGCTATGCATCCTAGCACGCATTAATTTAAATTTGGGTGTTTCATTTTACTGGCATTGTGAGATATTAACATTTATTTTATTTTTTAGGCTCATAACAATGCAGTGATGGACCCTGCATTTGGACCAGAGGGTCTGTATTAATATGAACTATGAATTATGAAACATATTTCAAAGCTTGTTTTAAATTATGCATATTTCACAGTACTGGCAAGGACAAATGAACTCACTTTCATCAGTCTCTGATTCTGGTTGATTTTATTTGATTCAGATCTGATTGGTTCTAATAAAGCAGTTGTGGATCATTCAGAATTTGCCTCTGCAGCATCTAAAATTGTCATGAGATTCGGGACTTGACAATGTGTAAAAGCAATCTGAATGTGCCAAAATGTGTTTTACAGATATTGATCCTCGCTTTGCTGGACCTGTCATGTATGATCACATGGGAGACCTTGACATGCCTGATGATTACCCACAAGGCTATGACTCAATGCAGAGACCCTATGATGCCTGCTAACAGGTTAAACACTTCTTTTCAGTTCTCTTTCTCGCTGTTAAGTTGTTAGTTTTTATCACACTAGCAAAGAGGCTAGCATTATTTGATTCGTTTTACAGATGTGCATTGGATATACTGGCCTATGAGGTTTTCAATAAAGTGCTGCCTGTGAATTCAGTCACTGGACGTTTTTTTACAATTGTAGTAGCGAAACCAAGTGATCCTGAAGCTGAATTATCTATGGTCAAGTGAATCAGTGAAGAGGCTGTACAATAGATAAAATCATCATAGAAACAAAAAAGTCTGTCGATTCTTGTTAGTGCCTTGGTAGAAATACAGTATAGGAAAAAAAGAACATTCAAAACAGTATCACGATTTAAAATAATCGATGGTACAAAGTAAGTGATCAGTTAATTACTTCAGACATTAAACTTTAAAAATATCAAACTAGTAACTTCATTTAATAATTTAGTAAATTATAGTTAATACAGTGTCAGTCTGTACATATTTTAATTGTGCTTTTGTCAAATTATTTATTTATTTTTTAGTCAGTCCAGTCTGTGTTGTATATGGATCATTCTCCTGAATTAGGCACTGTTCACAATTGGTATAAACATCCGCCTCGAGTAATCATAAGTGGACAGTGAGACCAGTGAACCACTAACGCTAACGTAAATAAAGTGTTGGAGGTGAATAATGAAGCTACGCAGCTGCTTTCAACTCCGCTGTGAAGACGCTTAATTGTGCACACTGTAAATATTGTGTGGTCATATGCGCCCCTGACCACGAGGTGCTTTGAGTGATTGGATCAAGCTGGTTCTCCAAGATGCATTCTATTCATTCTCACCTGTACTTGGCGCCGTCCACTTATAAGCGGATCACCCAGGATGCATGTTAATGCCAAGTGTGAACGGGGCCTTAGTTCAAAGTGCAGTCCAAAAAAAAACTATTAAAAAAAATTCAGTATTCAGACCATAGATATTCACAATGTGTTATGATATGGAATAGGGCACAGTTTTGGGCACAGTTTTGGACACAGTTAAAGAGTTTTCATCTATAGCCTTATTTTAGCCACACCCCTGCATTTCAGAGCAGGAAGTGAGACTGCATCCCTGTCCTTCATGGCCACATAGTGAGCAGTTAGATCCCATTGTTTTGAAGTAAATGTGTACTAGACACATTATTAATGAACAAAATAATGATTTTCTGTATGTGCAGTTGTTCGGTGCTGTGTTTGCTAGTCTTGTACTTGCTAGTGTTTTGAATTAAACTCACATTTAGCTAATATTGTCAGTACTGAAACATACAAGTTTTGGTAGTGTTATGGTTGTTCTGATAGTAACAAAATGAAATGTTCTATCATTTATTTGAGAACAAATTGAATATTGACAGAGAATCAAAAGTCTAAAAGTATGTGCATCATTACACCTGTAGTAGAAATAAGGTTGAACGTCCTAAATAGTGTGCTAATTAGCTAAGAGCCCACTAGAGAACTGTCTGACAATTTTTCTAAGATTTTAGATGATATTATTGATATTATTTGTATTGTCTTCTCTTTACAGAATGGTGTTTCTTCAAGGTCAAGAAAAGGAACAGTAATGAAATGAATACTTCAAAACAGAGTTGCCCTGCAGAGCCTTACATCAGCTGGTTTGCTGTGGCTCACACTTTCCTCAGCTGGATTGGGTCTGCACACACACTGCTGTACTATATGCAATTATCACTGTGTTGTGAGGGACAGAATCCAGTTTTACTTAACACTGCCTTCTCATGAAAACGATGGCATACATCGTCTTACTTCTTTTCTTTTTTGTGTAGAAAATGTATTATTGGGCTCTTATTGGGGCAGTGGGTAAACACATGGTGGCAAGAGGACTGGTGAAACTGCCAAAGAGATTTTATTGAGTTATTGTATTTGATAATCATGCTTTTTAATTTTTTTTTTACTGTACTTTCAATAGCAGAAAATGCTGCCAGCACTGAGACTGAAGAGTTCAAATAAATTGACCCCCATTTCAGGCTTTTAGCTTTGTCCACTATGGCTTTAGTCACATAATTACCTGAAATTGGTTTTACAAGGACCCAAAAATTGGGCTTCATCAGTTTCTGTCTGCAATAAACTATTCAATACTGTAGTTTTGTTAAACCCATCCCAAGCCTGGCTTGTACATCACAAAAGAATATTGTCACAATATAGAGCGTGTGGTCAAAGATGTTATGAACTAAACAAGGTTTCAGTGGTCTACAGAACTCTATAATGAAAAACCTCACTTGCAGAGTGAAGTTTAGTGAGACACTAAATCTATGCTGATTTAATAACACATCAAATATAAAACTTAATGTTAACTGTATTTTGCCTTTTTTTTGCACAGTAACAAAAAGAACATTGAAAATCATTGTGGAACTGAATGATTAGATTGTTTTAGTTGACATTTTAATCAGAACTGTCATATCAGTTACTCTGCATATTGTCCAACTGCTGCCTGCAGCACAAATGCAGCTAAGGGCAGCTCCTGCTCTGTGTATACACTGGCCTACTGAGCTAATGCATATTTCTCTGGCACCATACTTTAACACACGAATTAAGATGTATAGACACTCATGAACAATAATGTGTCAACTATTGTACTTGGAGAATGTTGAGAGATGATTTTTCTTTTTGCTTTTTACTACATAAACAAAAATACAATAAGGGATAAACACTAACATGGTGTAGAACATTGTGGAGTTAACCATCACCAAAGGTTTTACACAGTGAGGAATAACTTGTAGTGGGAATGTTAAATATGACAAGGGATTGTCTTTAGTCTTTCTACTTAATACTTTGTAGAAAAAGGAATAAAACTGGTTACTAACTGAGACTGTGTTGTGATTTTAATGGAACATTTCTTTGCAGAAAAACTTGGATGATTCAAGCTTTATAGAGGTCACCCAAATTGCTTTTATTTACGTAGTATTCAACTGTTAAAAGTACAACATTGTTTAAACTCCAATAAAAACATTGTTCAAGTGACTGATTAAAATTCCTGTACATTTATTAAATGGTAAATGTACTGTGACATCTATTAAACACAAAATACATCTTTACCATGAAACAAAACTAAAAATGTAAACAAGTCTGCACTACTATGGTGACATTCTGAAATTGAATAGGTAAAACCAAATAAGACCCCCCTCATGTTAAAGGGGAAAAAAATAAACTACAAAAATAAATATTTGTACATAAGGTCTGAAAGTGTCCCTTATATGATGACAAACACTGAGCTGTAGATTTTATGATTTTAAGGCAAGCCTGCAGCCAAGATGCTGCCCAGTAATGCACGATCCTTCAGCGCATTCTCTACATCCTTCTCTTCAATCTTCAGAGAGATCTGTCAGAAAATAATAAAAATATATTAGGTGTACGTTAATGGTAATGGTAATTTAAAACTTTGTTTTGATGTTAACATATTAGGGATTCACCTGACTAGGCTATTAAACCACTTTTTTCTTTAGGCTATGCATGATTTTGCCTGAATGTAGCCCATGGCCTTATTAAATATACTGGCAGAGCTAGGGGCGGGCAATATGACGATATTTCATCGTTGTGATTACTTACGTCACACATCATGGATATGGTCAAGAAAACGGACTACGTTTCATTACAAAGCGAGCATAACTAGGCCTTCTAATCTGGATATAGAACAGTGCAGTTTGTAAAACAAAACTAAATGTAGTTTATTATTATTATAATAATTTTATTAGTAGTAGTAGTAGTGTTAATAATAATAATAATAATAATAATAATAATAAAAATCAACAACAGGTTCAATTTTGTTGTTACAACTTATTAAATCTCAGAAAAACTAACATCACAGGTCATGAAAATGTCAAAGTATGAAATTTCAGCCATATTGCCCAACCTAGGCAGAGCTGATTAGTATGTGGATTTACATGGCTGCCAGATCAGGCAAGACCTAAGGGAAGCAGATGGGAAAGGAAATTTTCCTCCTTAGGAATAATAAGAAAAAGATCATTTAAAAAGATAATTTATCACATATTTGGATGCAGCCTTGGCGTTCACCTTCCTTAGTGGAACAAAAATGCTAGCGTGCAAGGAGCTTACCTTGGTGAGTCGTGCTTCCTTGGCCTTTTTGAGAGAGAAGATGCCCCTGCTCTCCAGCAGACTGCAGAGAGAGAGGCATTCACCTTGCCCCACTCCACTGACCTGCCTCTGCTGACATAGTTTGCTATAGGCCTCACATAGCTGTAGGCAAGAAAGCATAGAAATTAGATAAGTGGTCTACACACAGCTGCACCTTTATCTCCAGGCTTGCACTGGCTGAAGCAATCAGGGCCACATATTAAAATACACGAACCTACCTTTCCTAACTGGACCTCTCTACTCTTGCCATTGCGGGTGAGCAGGAGCAGGCAACAGACCAGCAGTTTCTGCTGCAGGGGGAAACTTTCACCATCTCCTCCACTGCTAGATGCCATGCGGTCCCCATACACTTCCGACAGCACTTTTGCTACTTGAGGAACGCTCACACGTGATGCTGCAATGAGAGAAACAATCCATCAGGCATTTCCTTTAAATGAACAGCCACAGACTATTCAGGGTTTAAACTATAACAGCAAACTTTTTCCAGATGCAATTTGGCAAAAATTTCGGTTCAGTAAGCGAAGATATACATTTCATTAATTCTATGCTTTTTATGAGTGTGACAATGTATTGTACAGTGCTGTATCGTTCAGCATGAACCTTTCAATACACAGGAATACTTTCAACTTTCAACATTCAACAGAATGGAACAAATACATTAGTCAGGTTTAATATAGATTATATTGCATAAAGTACAACAACAATTACAGTTAACTGTTTTTTCCCCCTATTGACAGTCATTTCGAGTATTTTTACCTTTATTACTGGCTGTAGACTCTGATGGCATTTTGGATCTGTTGTTAGACTCAACCATCTCTACGGCTCTCCTATGTGACGAGAATCAAAAGGTCAGTATGCCCCAAAGGTGGTATCATCATAATTAGAAACCAAGTATGTTTTACTCCCATACCTGCAGATGTCCAAAGCTTTTCGAGCATCTCCTGATACTGCAGACACCTTTCTAGCACAAAACTGAACAGCAGCAGCATCTAGAAGATCCTCTCCTGACACCTGAAAACAAAGACAGAGCAATGTTAGCAACTGACAAATAGTTGCGTTCTCAACCTTTTTAGCATTTATTCTTTTTGACTCAAACCTAAAAACAAATAACTCGGCCTTTTCAAATACTTACTATAAAAATTCTGTGCATACATGTGCTGAAGGTCTTACCTGTGTGAGCCTGTCCTGGACAATGGCTGTCAGTTCTTGGCGGCTGTATGGAGGGAAATGAAGGAGCTGTGGTCTGCAATGAGGTTTAGCCTGCAGTCTGGGCAGAATACGGTCCGTCAAGTCCAGAGCATTTGCAATACCTGCAGAAAAGGATGGTCAAAGATAGTATAATTTCAAGGAGCTTTAAAAACCTGACCCACGTCATCTTAATATTATTTTACACTGAATGTATATTTCTTGAATATGGACAGCAAAAAAAGGGCCGTCATAAATCACGACAAAAAATCCTGAGAATATTACTATAGGTCTCACCTATAAGACATAACCGAGACTTGGGAAGAAAAGGCCATTCAAAGATGGTGTAGAGGACATCCTGGGATTTGCTATCCAGCTGATCCATCTCATCCAGAACCAGTAGTCTGTCAGATACACAAATATACAATCAAAATTACGCAAATAAACACAAAAGGCAGCAGTACAGGAACACTATAGAGAGGAAGGACTTGCACCAAGGCTTCATGTTTAAACACTTACACAGTAGGCCCTGAACTGGTTAGAAGCTTCTCAAGTTTGCCATCACTCTGGCCTTTGGAGGACTTCAACTTCTCGGCCAACATAGGGAAGATGGAATGGGAGCTACGCAGTGTCATGCAGTTAATCACCACAGTCTGCACTCCCTTGAGGAGAGCCTGGAACAAGAATGAGAAATTTGTTCGAATAATTAAAGAAAACAAGCCAGGGCAATTTTAATTTTTGTACTGTAACCGTTCTCCCATTACCTAGCTTTTAAAACTCACCTTGTGTTCTTGAAGCACGCAGTTCAGACAAGCTGTCTTCCCAGTTCCTGGAGCGCCAGAGATGTAAAGGCTAGAGGGCTTGCCAGGTACCACGTGGTTCTCCAGGAAAGACACAATGGTGGCTCGCTCTGCTTCACGAGAGAGAAGCCGTTCAGGCACAGCTGTGTGCAGAGACTGCTTCACACTCTGGTAATGCGACTCTTAAGTAAAGAAAAGACAACAGCACATACAGATTTATCATTCTGACATATGACCAATGAAATTTCAATGAAAATGTCATAGGACAACAAAAATAGAGGCCCTAAAAACTTGATGTACACCTAATTGATATTGATACTTCATTCTAAAAATGAAAGGTATAAGACAACAAATAAAACTCACTTTGTTCAGTGAAACGTTGTGTGACTGGGGCCTTCCCTGGTGACTCAGAATCAGTACTGATGGCCAGTAAGCGTCTGGGAGAGGCTTCAACAAGGGACGGGAGAGGGACTTTGGGAGACAAGGGGGTAGACCGAGGAGGAGAAGAGAAAATGAGTGTGTTCTCGTTGAAGGACAGCTTGCGGGGGGAGGCCAGAGAGGGTCGGCTCTGTTTAGGAGGAGAACCCAGCAGAGCGGCTGGTAAGTTGCATCCATTCTCATCACCTGAAAGAAGAGGAAGTAAAAACTGGTTGATGTGTATGCACACATAAATGCAAGCATGGACATTTCTACAGAAACGGACCAAAAAACTGCATAGGTTTTTTTTTTTTTCCTGAATACCTGTGCGCTTGCGGGGGCTCAGGGGTTGCCGCTCATTCAGAGAGCTGCTTTTGAGCATGGGGTTTCTGGGAGATAGGGGAAGGGTTCGGATGTCCACGTTTGTCTTCCTGGGAGAAAGAGGGGTAGTTTGGACGTCGACATCTGCCCTCCTGGGTGAGAGAGGGATACACCGGACATTCGCTACATTTGTCTTTCGTGGAGAAAGGGGGTTGTTTTGGACGTCCACTGCATCTTCTGAATCAGGCTGAGAGGAGCTTTTAGAGCGGGAGATCACCCTGGACGACTTGCGCCTGGGGAACTGGAGGGTGGGCTGGCTCTGAGAGCGAGTTCTGGGCATTTTCACAAGGGGATCAGACTGGAGTTCTGAAAGGGAAAAGATAAGCAAGTTAATCAGCTACTTTCGAACTTTCGAACTGAAAGTGATTACGGGGTCGTTTTCCGCATTTTATTTTTAACAGTTTATACTGACAGCACTGCACTCGTAGTACGAACTTTTTTTCCTAGAATGTAACAGAACGTAACCCCTATGTAGAGATTTGACTAGCTTCGTCTGATCTAGATGGCCGACGTGCAGTACTGGAGCCCCGTCTCTATAAGCTAGCTAGCTAGCTAGCTAACCTACGTTACAATACACTTTCCTCGCTCATCAATTAATCAAGTAAATTAACATCAACGTTACTTCTGGCAACTGCTGAAGCATTTACTTTTTTCCAGGATGCAGTCATTAGCTAACTCTGCTGTCTAACCAACTTAACCTAGCTAACTAGGTTAGCTGACTAAAACTGTTACTATACAGTTAGCTCTGCAAACACCGCCTCTAAACCTTAAATACGTGAACGATATTCATCTGCAACTACAGCCAAATATCCTGACGACGTAATAAACGGCCCATGAGTAATATATATGAACCCTCGCTGAATAAAATATAACTTTTCTGAGAGGCCAACTGGTAAGTAAGTTAGCTAAGTAGCTAGCCACATTTCCTACTTGGCGCCAAGTCGTCCCCACCTCAAAAAACGTACTAAACTATGAATGAAAAGTCAGGTTTAAAGGTAGCCTTCGCCATACTACTCTAGACTACAATCTATTAAGAAAATCTGGGGTCTTACCAGTTTAAATGTGATTAAAATGCTCTATTTGCCGTTCCTCAGGAAACCACCCGCCTGCAGCAGCAGCATTGACAGAAATTCATCTGGCGCGCTTCAGCAAAGACAGAGATCTTCTTGGATCAGCTGGCAGATCCCACCCTCTGACGGCGTCTACGCTCTAAAACCTCATTGGTTGGAGGAGTGCCAAGAAAAGCGAACATCCAATCAAAACGCCAGAGCTTCTTCCTCTCAGAGTGACGCACTACTCTTGGCGGGTGTTTTCTTTGTTGACAGTCGAGCAGAAAAAAAAACTCCCGGGAAGTTTTCGAACACTTTAAATAAGCGTATTAGTCTTTGTGTGCACTACTTAAGTGAGCACCAAAACTCGTTCTAGAAACCATATAATAAAATGAGCCACGCAAACTTCCCATAACCGTTTATTTTCAATTTAATACGACCATCGTACAAATGTCAGCATACAGTTTCAATGTGCACATTTGGCAGCTCAGAAATACTGATGACCAAATGGTTACATCAAATTACAACAGGCCAAGAAGAATGAAGAGGAAAAACACACAGCCCTCCCCTGGCCACTTAGAGGCTACATAAAGATAAACGTGTCATGGAAAGGGACCTGGTAAGAAATGTGCTTGGTCTCCTCAATATAAACTGTTATATTTTCAACGTTTAATCCTCTGTATTACAAAACTTTACAATAAAAAATCTTTAACTACACTTAATATAGTGTAATATAGATTATGACATTTAAATTTCTCCATTAGCAAGCTAGCGTTTTATCAAACAGAAAAAAAGCATTGGTACCAGTCAAATTTGTGATTTCCAGAGGAATTCGTAAGGTAATAATTCATTACAGGACTAAGGTGCTGTATTTTAACCACCACATTTTGCAGCACCACATATTCATGAGTAGACCCTTCAAAGACATAGCAGGGCCTAATATAGATACTGTGGTCTTAGTGGCACTTAGAGTTTTTTGTTAGTACTAAAGGAGTGGTTAAGAATCTGGTACGTTTAATACATATAAATCGTGGTAAGAAATTTCCCTTATTCACACATAAAAATAATGCATTTTGCACTCCTTCTGTAGCTCACAGCAAAAGCAACTGGATGGTTGCTCTATGTTCCCACTCAGCAACACAATGTTTAGTGATCCAAATGGAATGAATGGTTCTAGACAAAGGCCACAGGGCCTATGTGACAAATAAAGAAGTTTACAACTCCATAATATTGGCAAAACAATCGTTTCCAAGTTCAATGTCACCTAATACATTGACAAACTGCCTGTCGTAGTGGAGAACAGTGTGTGATGGAGTAACAAAAATGACTGTGATTGTAAGACAATAACAGTCTTTCCTCATTATGCAGTGATTGTCTACTTAAGTCATTAAGTAATCTCTCTTTACACTCTTAATAGTGTAAAGACAAGTGCTAAACAAAACGGTCTATTTAGTAGATCCCTTTCTCTGGCAAATAATGTGCACGTTAGAAAATGAAATGCACATTACATAAAAAAAAACTCTCTTGGGTCATCTGTATTTGCACAAGGTCCTCTATAGGCACAACAAGGTTTTTAGAGAAAAAGGGTCAGTTTTGCATACATGAATTAAACCCAGCCTTGGAATAGGTTGACTGACCAATCGAAGTTCACCATTGTTGATTCAGAAATAAGAATAACCCTGTGTAGTATAGTCTTGGGCTTAGTTTGGGTCTGCAAAACCCATCCATAGCATGGTCACATGACTCATTTTGTGTGCATTCTTAATTTGCATAGTTGAATGCATAGTTACTGTTTATTAGCATTTTTACAAAATTCAAAATTATCAAAATATGCATATGGTGTGTGCAAAAGTTTGGGCACCCTCTCTGTACAGTTCTTTATTATATTAACAAAAGGTGATTTGTAAGGCCCAGCAATTCTCTTCACCTGATATATTATTGAAGACATGAAGATATGTTTATTTTAGTGGTGAGGTCAGCTTTTTTCATAGTATACTCTCAAAAATGATGAGTTAATTAACACAATTTTGTGTCATGACTATATTGCACAGCATGTCTGGAACAGACAACTTAGTGTTCAAAATCTGAATGCAATGCTTGTGTTAAATAGGAAAACACTGTGTTGAAAGTAACACAAACTGTGTTGTCCTTAAGGTGTGCACACAAATTCGTTTAAACACACAATGTGTTGTTTTAAACACATCTGTTTTGAGAGTGTACAGCTGTATTAGTGTGCATGTGTGTAGTTGGATTAGAGTTTTTTTGTAGTCATTTTCCTTCCTGAGTGCAGTTCACCTTCCAACAGGTGGCAGTGGAGGAGCGCCTCTCATCAAACCTACAGCAAAACAGGGCAGAGAAATTTTTGTATTAACTAGAGACACAATCTAATATGTAAAAAGTTCAACACATCCTGACAAGCCCTGATCACTTAGACTTGGGGAAACACTGCCATTATGTATAGAGTTGTTTGCACAATGCATTTATACTACCAGTCAAAAGTTTAAACACCCCTACCCATAGAATGTTTTCCCTGTTTCTATTATGTGCCACATTTTAGAATAACATTAAAGGAATCAAAACTACGAAACATGTATAGCATTATGCAGACAACAAAAAAGGTACTTAATATCTTTTAGAAATCAGCCCCCTTTGTCCTTGATACATACTCCTGGGATGCTTTTCCAATAAGATATATATATATTTTTTTTTCATTTTTAGAAACACAGTCCTGCAAGTCACTCTGTAAAACCTGAATTATAGTAATTTAAGTCAGGTGTCAGGTCAGATTTGCTGGGAGTTTTTGGGCCACATCATACACATTAACATCACATGCACAGGCTCCAAAAAAACTTCCTTGGAAGACACGTCCCTCAAGTTCTGACTGAGTTCCCTATGAATTTGTTTTCAACACATTTACAATCATCAGATTTATACATTCAGGGGGTCTGAAGCACAACTGACGTTACAGTAGCTTTAAATTTAATATGTTTGTATTGGAGGTAATTTGATGCATTAATATTACCAGTTATATTTGGCTTAGAAATCACTTTCTTTCGCATTTAAGCAAAAGCTTTTTGATCAAAATGTCTTCAAGATTAAGAAAAATGCATATTCATCCAAGTGTCCAAACTTTTGACACTGATAGTGTAGGTATACTATACACTAGGTAGCTATACTCAACAGTGTAGAATGTTACAAGAAAGTCACTCAAGAATGGAGGGATTAAGACTTGGAATGGCAGTATCAATCACAGATGACCATGACACTGATGCTCAGTCAGATCTTGTCCAGATCATGTCTAACATTCAGACACTTCCAGTGACTGGTATAAATACTAAAGGTTGTTTTAGGGTCCCAATAACTGCTACACCAATTTATCCAACTTCTGCTATCATATACTGTAAATCATGGCTAACCATTGCAGAAACAAAATAGAAATATTACTGTACAGTACACACATACAGTACTGTGGGAAAAACTCATACAATTTGTTTTAAACTATATATCTCTGCAGTAAAAGTGGTTTTGCCTGTAAAATCGATATGCAAGATAAATTAATGAAGGACTGATTAGCCAAACTAGGTCTTGGATGGTAACAGCAATACTGGGCATCTTTACAGAGAAATCTGAAAATGAGAAATTATTTTAGCACTATTCTAATTCAAATAAATAAATTGTTTTGGCTAAATAACTAAGCATTTTTTTTATATTGCCTAATACTTTTGCATAGTACTGTAGATAATGCACACAATATCAAGTGACCTACCTAAATTTCCCAAGTTAGGTAAATTAGGTTCTTACCTCTATTCGATTTACTGGGATAGACTTTAGTGAACTGTTTGTACTCTTCTGGTGGGGGCAGGTCCTCAACAGGATGGAAAGAGTACTTGGACTCAAAATCATCTGAAGGAGACCAAAAAAAGGTTACTATGTTAACTTTTAAATCCATTATTTTTATACAAATACAAGTACCCAGACACCTCTTCAAATTGCTGAATTCAGCTCCTACAACTTGTGGAGTGAAAGGGCACCATCAAATTCCTTTGGAATGAGCTGGAGTGGCATCTGTGATCCTTATCATGGAACATAAGTAACTGACTCCTCACAGTGATGGACATCTAATGTAAAGCTTTCCCAAAAACGTAATTATTGCAGCAAAGGGGCGCAAACTCCCAATTAATCCTCTTGATTTCAAGAATATTCAACTAGTGCCCAAATAAAGTCCTCTGACAGTATTTAGTATTTGCTTTTCAAACTACAAAGGATTTTCTGTGTGAGGGGATCCTGGAGGCAAAATGTACTACTGTGGAGAGTGGAAAAACAAATATGAGGTAAGGCTGGGCAATCATTTACTTTTACTTAAGTTTGATCAGATATAACATACAACATAGCACCAGCTGTCCCACTAAGTACTGTCAAAAATTCTGTTTACAATTATTTTTATTAAATATATCACATACAGCACTGCAATAACTCAAAATAATCAGGACTGGTTATCTACTTTCTCTAATGAAACTTGCAGATCATCAGTGTTCTTGTGTACTGATGATCTGCAAGTTTACTGTGTACTGACCATATCCATGGTATGACCATATCCATGGTATGCTTACAATAGCATAGTGTGACAATTTATTATGATAACAATAACATATCATATTATCCCTCCCATGTCTCATTTGCCACAACTGTAATCCCACACCAACAAAGAACACCCTCTTACAGTAAGTACAGGCTTATTTTCCTGTGACAATGACATCTCTTGCCCCATCTATATGACCTCATAACATATCTGCATTCAGAGAAGGCTCTCTTTTGGTTTACGCAAAGAGGAACTGCAGGGACCCTATTTGAATTCCTGAGAGATCATTTGACTGCACTGCTATTTTCAAACACTGATAACGTCCAAGCTGAAGATACGTTGATCAGTCAGAGATGTCTAAAGGAAAGGTACTGTAAAACTGAACTCTACACTCAAAATGCTTTTAGAATTTTGACAGTCCCTTAAGTGATTGGACAGTGTCAGACTGATGTTTTGGATGTGTGTTCCAGCAGAAAGGATGTGAAATAGAACAATAACTATGAGGCTAGAACATAAGTTTTAATATAGAGAGTGTGAGTTTACATCTATGAAGTTTGAACATATCCCCTATGAATACAGGCATTTTCCTGCAAATTTTAGTACACAAAATTCTATTTATTTGCTGAGGAAAAACTGTAAAAAAAAAAATAATACAAAATGTGACATGACTTTTGCACAGGCCACTTTTTGTGTTTTATCCTCCCCCCCTACTATGTTAAATTCAGCATATAATTGTACACATAAATGTGCAGAAATGTGTTCTCTGTGTTCTCTGATTAAATTTGACACCCAATGGGCACCCAAACATACTAGATTCCTGGCAATGCTCTGGCAGGTCTGTAAAGTAGTTATTTTCATACCTGTTTTTTTTTATTATTATTATTTTTGGCTCTAAAAAGCTCCATAGTTTGTTTAGAATTATATTTTGTGTCATTGTTTTTCTAGAAAGTGAAGGTGTACAGATTGATTTACTCTGATTTTTCAACTTTGTGAGGGCCTACTTTATAGGTACTGACAATTTAATCTGAAGACAACAGCACAATCCAGAAGCAAATGCCTAGGTTTACCAATCTAGAATCAAACTAGTCCTTTCATTAGCTCTAATGATGAATGACAAACAACTGGATAAGAAACTGTCCAATTACTTTTGATCTCTTAAAATGAACAAGACTGACAAAATATATTCATTTTGTTTGGGACTTTCCACCATAATGATTCACCTGTAAAAGCCTTGGAGACAGAGGTGTGTCCGTTGCGGAGAGGTGGGGGCGGAGCTGCGTGTCCTGAAGGCTGGCGACCGGTAGATACAAGTGGAGGAGCCCTTCCTCGGCTGGGTGGTTCAGAAGAGGTTTGCGTTGTTCCACTATGCATGCGGTACGGGGGAGGAGGAGGTGGAGGCACGTCTCGCGTGCCATTCCGCGATCCAGAGGAGGGAGCCTGAGGGGCTTCATAATTAAAAACAAACAGGCAAATTATTTTAATGATGTGTGTGGTTTTACAAAAACAAATATTCCATTTATACCTTTACAATACTTTAACACTTTTATAATGAAGGTATATATTGTAGAATTAATATGATATGTTACCAATAAATGTAGACAAAAGTATAGCGTATAGTTAAAAAGTTTAGTAGCAGCTTTGGGTCCTGATTTCTGCTGATTTATTTTTATATTTGTTCATTTTTTTAAATAATAGTGTGTCATATAGTGTCAGAAACCACACAAGTCTATTTGAGATTATTATACAAGTCAATGTGGTTTCAGGCAAGTCTGTAATGATATAAATGTCCAGTACTTGTGAGTTATGTTATACTCTGAGCTTCAGTGAAAAACTTAGTCAGTAAGCAACAAGCAAATGACTTCTTGGCTGATCAACTACATTTGGAGAAACGGAAAACAAATGGGAATGTAAATCAGATTATCTGTATGCATTCGAATCATTAACAAACTATCAGGTGAAACTTTTAACAGATATTTAGCTGAATGTAAGTTAGTAAGATAGGCATCTACAAAGCATCAACGATTGGCTATTCAAATAAAGAGTTTTTAAATAAAGAGTAGAGTTTTTGCTTTTTTACATTACATTTTTTTTACATTACTTCTCCAACCTCTCTTTATAAGTACGCACTTCTTAGAATTAGCTTAGCTCTGTTCTGTTCTGTATTGTTCCTCATTCAAAAAGCCTAGGCTAAAACACTCCTTATAAGTAACTAACGTGAATGGAAATGCTAAATGGTATGCTTTGAAACTTTGGCCCAATCCCATTTCACCCCTTGCCCCTAACCACTTAGCCCTTAGCCCTCTGTTTTGCGCGTTCACGTCTAGGGTAAGGGTGTCCTAATTTTTGTTGAGATAGAGGGGTAGGGCGAAGCGTTAGGGCTACATGGCCCTCCAAACGGACACACTCCAAACAGAGTGTTATGAGAAATAAGAAAAAAACAGCAAGATGGCTGCATGAGCAACCAAAGAAACCCACAAAAGTAAGTATTTTCTCTGTTAAAAAATTACAATAACTCCATTTAAGGTGGAATAGGAAAACTCGAACAAGAAGCTGGTGAATAGCTGACTTTAGCTTCGTATCACCAAAGATGCGGTGGGGTGACCAATAATAAATAATTGTCTTATCCCCCCTCTTTGAAAGCATATGATGCCCTAAATGTAACTAAAGCCCAGCAGTGAGGTTGCTGAACTTTTCCCTTCTCTGCTATCACTGAAGACAGGCCGGGTTGCCTGCAGAGCACTGCTAGTAGCCTGTTAATAAAGACTGTAAATTTTTTTTAATTTGAGGGCTGTCCCATTTCGTAGGGCAAGTTTTTAACCACTACCCCTTGTAACTCAGTACCAAGGGGTTAGGGTGACACTCAAAACAAGGAGTAGGGGTAAAAAGAAGAAATGGGATTGGGCCTTTAACAACGTTTGAATACTACATCAAATTCTTTCACTTAAAAAAAAAAGAGGAAAATGTGGTTTTCCATAATATGGGTTCTTTAAGGAACAGAACATTAGATTGAAAGTTCTAGCACTATAAGCAACAAATACATCATAATGCCAGTGGTCAGGTGTGCTACCTGATCTGCGTCCTGGAGGGTCTCGTGCTGGCGGTGGGGGGCGACTGCTCTGCTGTGATGGAAGCGGTGGAGGAGGAGGCGGGGCTTGGCTGCGAACATTGCCATGGTTCCTCCTCAGCGAATTACGCCTCTGTGGCAGCTCAGGGGGTGGGTCACCATTAGCTACAGAAGGGGGCTGTCGATAAGGAGGTGGGGGTGGCGGTGGCGCAGAGGAAGATCCAGATAGAGGTCGAGATGAAAGAGCGTTTCTTGGCGCACTGTCACGTGCAGGCGACGGAGGGGGAGGAGCCTTGTTTGCATGCGGGGGTGGGAGGGGCTTCTCACGATTATGGGAAGGGCCAGTGACCTTCTGATGAGAGGTGGGAGGGGCATTATTGGGTTTGCGATTAAAAGGCGGAGGGGGAGGTGGAGCAGAGCTGCTGGGTTTCGCAGCATTGGCTGATTTGGAGATGTCAGGCAATGAGGGGCGGGGGTTACGAGTCTGCTGAGGGGGCGAGGAACGATCCTCATCTGCTTGACGTCCCACAGGTGAGGGAGCACGGTCGCCAACGCGCGGTACTGCAGGACGAGAACCAGGCGGCCGTAGTGCTGATCTGCCAGCAGTGCTGTCTGCAAGGAGGCACACAAAAGCAGGCAGAGTAAAAGATCCCACAGTGGTCAAATCTCATGTTCTTGTTTTTTTTTTAACTAGTGTTTAGTGGTATAATGTTTATTTTGATGTATTACTATTTCTAAAGAGCTCAATTTCCAAGATCTGCCATTCCAACAGTAAACTTACTATGAGTTACAGCAGCTGAAATTGCAATACAGAAATCATATTCCATCTGCTACAAAAGTAAAAATCACCATCATTTATGCTATCAAGTGGTAAGAAGTAGATAAAAGCAACTGAGCAGGTCCTTCAAAGGACACCGCAGATCATCTCTATAGGCTTCATTCACCAACCATTCTTAAGAAGTAATTTCTTCTTAAAATCCACTTACGTGGTTTTCGGACATTCACCAAAGTTTTCTTATTTGGGATTTTTTCGTAGATAAGAACAAAATCCACGCACACTCAACAGCACAATGTGCAAACAATTCTGCAGTTTAAGAAAATGTCATAAATCTGACATAGCCTTGTTTTAGGACCTAACTCAAGAACAAATTTAAGAAAAAACTTAGAAAGACATTGGTGAATGAGAGCTGTGCAAGCAGAGATTTGTCTAATTCAGGTAATTTAGTCAACAGTTTGGGGATTACATTCAGGGCAGAATTGAGTCTAAGATGACAGAAAGGCTTTCCTTGTGAAAGACCTTATAAAACTACCTCCTACTGGTCGTAGTTTAGGCACTCCTCCACTAAACAGGCCTCCCATTGGCATAGGTCCAGAACTGCCACCAAACCCCCCTCCACTTCCGCCACTGCCGCTGCCCCCTCCACCTCCGCCTCCTCCAGATTCTATGAAAACACACACACACACACACACACACACACACACACACACACACACAAACACAAAAAGGATAAATAATTAGCCATAATACATCATGGCAATCATTAATGTTGATAATACTATCCCAGTCAATACTATCAGCTTCACTTTTGTCAACCCTATACACCAGTGACCTACTCTCAAGAATGGGTGCACTCCTGTCATTGACCCCCGTGGTTTTTTTCAACTTGGTCCCTTTGCATATATCTGACAACAGAGCTCCCCTTCCTTTAGCTTCATCACGAGAGAGCTTGGGTTGGGTAGTGTTTGCCTGTTAAAATGAAATATGATCTCAATGGAGATTAACAATCAAATCAGTTTATTAGTAAAATCAACTGCATGATAAATTTGTAAATGGCAGCATTAGCATTTTGATTATCGTATTAATAATCAAAGAATAAAAATACAACAGCGATGCTGTGTTCCACTGTCTCCAGTGGAAATGTAAAGACTGTAGTTACCTGGCTGAAGGTAGGGGGAGGTGGAGGTCCAGGAGGAGGGGGTGGGGGAGGAGGAATGGGCATCTTGGTGCTTCCCTGAGTATGCCAACTGTCGCCACAATCTCAGCAAGTTGTTTTTTTTGGCTCACGAAGGCTCTGCAAAAGCAAAAATATACATTAAAAGTCTATTTGACTAATATCCGAGTGTGTGTTTAATAATGAGCCTCCGTGGACACTTACACTCAGGAACTATGTAAAAAAAAAAAAAAAAAAACAAAACAACACTACCTGTATCAGTAAATTACCTCAATGTAAATAAGATTTACATGTACATCAGCTATGCTAAAGGCGTTTACCCTTTTCCACATGCAAACAAGAGTCAGCATATTCAAAAGCAAACCAAACCCTGTTATTTCCTTCTTTTCACTGATCACCTGAAAGCTCCCGAAACCAGTCCGATGGGCTTGGTGCTATTAGCAGAGTGCTAAGGGCTTCTCTAGGCCTTCCCTTCCCTACACCCCAGACTACACCCCTATTTACACATGAACAGGTTTACACACGAACATCTCAGAGTCTCTGCCTCTCTCTCACCCTCTTTCTCTCTCTGTCTCACACACACACAGCAGGTAAACAGAGATACGAAGTGATACAAAGCTTTGTCAGTTCCAAATGGAATGCTGCAAGGCAGGATCACTAGTAACCAAACAAGTAACAAAAGCGTGAGCTATGAAACACGCTCAGGTAAAAAAACTCAGGTGACCACATTGGCCCTGTGCCATACATGCATTTTAAATGCATGAAGTAATACTTAACTTTGTTCTTGATGTCTTTTTTTATTTTAAGAACCATACAAGATAGCTACCTTTGCTTCCCAAGTTTTCTCAGATTTGTCATACACTCACAGAGTTTACTGTCTGGCATATTCAATCAAATGAACCTACTTGTCTGTGATTTTACAAAAAAAAAATGGTGACCATCCTGCTGAATTTGCTGTCAGGCTACAGAGAAACGTGTTTGAAGTATGCTGCCACCTCACACTCATAGCTAGACACATGAACTAACCAAATGTTTACCGTAAGGAAGCTGTCTACGAAAGGAATTCTCTTTCAGTAACGCATGCACATGCATACTAAAGCTGACACACACTTTATGCTGTCCAAAATAACTATAAGTTCACCTTAAAAGGGTTGTTAAAAGCCACAATATAATCTGTGTATGAAGAAATTGAAGTTCATATCCAACTGGCACACAGGTGTTAGTATTCTTTGCCATAAATTAGCTAACATGGCAAAACTCCATGCCCACTAATGTTTAAAATATTCATCCACACTTTATGAAGCCGTGCAAATGTTGGTTTAGGGTCACCGGCACAAAATGCAGATGACAAATCAAGACAAGATGGAGATCTGAAGAACTTTCATACACACAGTTGTCTTCTGATTACATGTCCAGCTGTAGCTATTGGCCTGCAGTAGCTGTTGACATTGATGCAGATTGGCCAATATGGCTCAGTACTGATGACGGATTCCAGCCTGGATTCAAACTTCAAAGCCAAGAAATACAAATGTAACAAAAACATATGGTTAAACTCAACATCGCTTAGACAACATGTAACCACTACCGCCTGGTACAAATAAACTTAAATAACTGACGTAACATACACTGCATTTACAAGAAAGGTTTTAAAAAACATGAACAAGGAAATGGAGCAGCAGGTAAATCCAGGGTCGGGCAGCAGTGTAACGTGTGACCTATAAGCTACTGCTGGTGAACTTGACAAGACAGTGAATTAAAAAAAAAAAATCACAACTGTGAAGATGAAACCGGGCATAATCACACTTATATCAGTATACTGAACGCAGTGTCAGTGTAGTCGTTGTGGTCAAAGCTGTAGGCTAAGTCCAAACCTGTCAGTGAGCACTTGCGGAAAGAAAACATCAAGTAGGTTAAAGGTGCTAAAGGTTGCTTCTTGGCAGAAGGTAATTAAACGGTAAGCCTACAGTCCACGTACAGCCAATAAAGGCTGTCTGATAGTAACTTAGCTTCCAGTAACTCAGTCGTGTCTAGTTCAATCGTAGGTTGACTGGAGGGAAAAGTTCAGGTCGTCAAGTCAACAAGCACCGACACAAAGTTTTATACGTCAAACCAACAGCAGAACGACTCCATTAATTCTCTCTCTCCGAAAACAAAGTGTGAATACTTTGTGTCCGCCATATCTTACCTGCAGCTACTGGGCGGTTCGTGTCTCCAACAGCATTGAAGAAACCAAGGTTCAGTCAGAACTCTCCGGCAAAATATGGGACTGACTGACCGGCTACAACAGCAAAACTGGCAACCGAATAGCGTTAACTAATCGCAGACAGCTTCATGTTTTCCACCCGCCAGCGGGGCACAGAGGCGGCGAATCACTGAGCTTAAGCTGACAAACTTACTGTTCTCAACTAAAGACTGATAAAGTTAGATAAGTCAGCAGCAGGCCGCTTCAGACAGACTAAAAACAACCTCCAGCTCTTTTAACTTTTCCTCCCGGCCGAGTGAGTGAGTGAGCAGGGCCGCTGTTTCCTTCAAAGCTTCAGCGAGCCCAGATCGAAGGAACCCGGAAATCCAGGCGCCAACACAAAATGGAGGCAAATGCCCGAAGTGCTCCGATTGGAGCCGAACAGGTATTAGTAACCTAGAGTCAGAAAACTACAGTCAGCTTTTGACAGACCGGGGGTCAGCTCCATGAACACTGTCCACTTGTTTGAGATCCACCCCCCTCATAAAGCTTTCAGGATGCATTACCATAGCAAAAACTGAATCCCGAATGGCTACCTAGTAAATTTATAGTGCATTATGTTTGACAACTCCCTTACTTCATCCCATTTTCAGATCTCCTACTGGTCAAAGGGGAATTCTTTTCAATTTGTTTAATTCCTGAATAATTGAGTCATTGAGATGTATGTCATTCAAAGTGGTTTGATGTGAAGTGGTTCATTGTAGAGAAAGTTACAGACTCAGATTTCTTTACAGTGTTCGTGATAGGAGCCAGTTGTCACCATGTCTACAATACAAATATAACTATTTTATTTACTATCCAAAACCACCAGTGAACCTATAGGTGTCTTCTGAGTTTTTATATGTAATGTTGATGATAAATCTGAAACTGAAGCTTTATTTGGGGACTTTCGTTTTGCCACACAACACCCTGCATGTACCTAACCCTAACTCCACCATCCATAAATGGATTAAAATCAATGGATTAAAATAGATGTTGAGCCAAAACTTTATCACAAAACTATTATAAAACAATGTCTCAGACATCAGGCAGCTTATATTTAACCGTTTCATGTAATAACTTTCTGTGAAGGAGCTTATTGTGGTGGACATCTGGTTCCTATCACCACCACTGTGAACAATTCTGACTCTGTAAGTTTTTCTCTTCACACTTCACACCAAACCACTCTGAATGAACTTTATATACATCTCAACCATTTAATTATGTACAACTTTTTGAAAAATCTTTGGAGTTCTCCTTTAAAACATTGTGGTAATAAACATTAATGAATTGACAATGCCACAATTTTTTAAATTTAAAGCTACTGGTGTCAAGTGAACCAAGAATAAATTAATGGTAGGCCAAATTCCTATTTGAGGCCATGCAAGGCTGTTTCTGCCACCTGAAAAAATATATAGCCATTTAGTGACTTATAATAAAGTTTTCAATAACTATGACTTAGTATCTCATAATTACGACTTAATATCTCATCATAATGAGAATGTTTCTCATAATCATAACTTGCTATCTCATAATAATGATCTACTATCTCATAATAATGAGAACATGTTCTCATAATTATGACAAGGTAAGTCATACCTATGAGATACTAAGCATTAATAATGAGAAGTTATGAGAAGGTAAGTCATAATTATGAGATACTTAGTCAAAATTATGACACTCCTTATGAGATGCTAAGTCATAATGATGGGATGTTAAGTCATAATTATGAGATGTAATCTCATTATTAAGAGATACTAAGTCATAATTATGAAGAAGTAAGTCACATTTATGGCAAACTAATTTATAATTATGCATAAGTAGTCATAATTATGAGATGCTAAGTCATGAATATGTCATTGAATCTCATTATTATGAGAAAGGGAGTCATAATTACGAGATGATGTGACATAATTATGAGATACTAAGTCATAATTATGTAAAATGTTCTCATTATTGTGACTTATTAATGGCTATATATTTTTTTCCAGTGGCAGAAACGGGTTTCCATATGAGGCTCTAAGAGTTCAATGAAATAATTTTAATGAGATATATTTCAGACGAGAGTAAATGTAGTGTAAAGACTCTTTCACAAAAAGCAGCCCAAAACATGGACATTTCTGTGAGTGTAGGGAACTGAACCCCAGTCTCTAGTGTTTAGGGCTATGGCGTTAGTTTTTCAAAACAATCACAATATGAAATGTGGTTTCTTACATTCCATAACATATGGAAGGTCTGAGTTTCAATTCTGTGGTGGTCTGTACCTCCGTGACAGGTTGAAGTTGACTCACTAGCTTTATTCCAGGGCCAAAGCTGAGTTAACTGTACCTTGCAGAAACAGATCTTGAGCAGTAGCAGAGGCTGTACAGCTCCTGGGTGCTCCTTGGGTGCTCCTGGTCAAATTCCGTGCTTGGTTGATTTTCTAAGTGAAAATAAGTTACAACATCCTCTACACAGAACACACTTCTGCACATTTTAATACACAATTACTGTTTATTTGCTGAATTTACATATTGGAAAAAATGAAACACAAAATGTGGTCTGTGCAAAAGTCATAGGCCTATTGTATGTTTTATCTTTTCTAATATGTTAAACTTCACAAATAAATAAAAATAGTATGTGCACATGTCTGGCTTTAATTTACTAACTGTATTTTGTATGTGGAACTTTAGATTAATGGGGTTTAGTAACACCTTTAAAGCTCTCATTTGATTTCAAAACATATCCGATCAGATCTTTGATATAATTCACCTTTAAAACCACTGTTTGCAAATGTAAAGCCATGATCATAGAACATTTATCATAATTAGACTGCTTATGATTGGCAATTTCTTTTAGATCATTCAAAAGCTCTGAGAAATCTAACCACTTAGAGCCACTGTGAAATTGACATACTGTGAATTTTGATTCCCTCTGTTTTAAAGGAATGGTTCAGTGAATGGTTTAATGGTTGATCGGCCAAGACATGGTGTCTGAAGTTTGCTTCTTTAGTTTTGCACTGGAGCTACAAGGCTAATGTATGTTTATGTCACCTAAGATTTAGCTACATTAGCCTTGTAACTCCATTACAGTCTTAGAAACAACTACATTAAGGCTAAGGGTGAAAAAACTGTTAATTCAAACCAAATGATTCAAAATTAGTATAGCATTGCTTGTATTTGTCATTACAATAAATGGGATTTTAATGAAAGCATTTACTTGAAACAATGCATACAAACATCATAATTAAACAAAAAAAAGAAAAAGAAACACATTAAAAAAAGAGTGAAACTTCAAAAAACCCACTTACATAATTAATTACCATGATCTCATACTTGGTATAAAAGTACACAGTAGAAAAATAAAAATCTTTTAGTTTTAGAACAGTTAAAAAAATTAACATACTTTCAAACACATATTAATTATATGTGCATATTACTGTACATTTTACAATATAGTCTACATTCAAATGTTCATTTCACACAGTTTTGAGTTGGACCTTTCAGGAAAAAGCGTAATGCTCTTTTGCATAGTGGTAACACAAAAAATAAATAAAAACATCTTTGAAAAATCTAATATATACACGTGATCATATGTGAACATACTTTAACAAAATAAATTGCAAATAATTTCATGTACATTTGTCAGAGACATTTCTCAAAATATTTACATATGAATATCAACATAAAATTGACATGTTTTAGATAATACATGCATTTATATTTCGCAGACCTACATGTTTCAGTAATAAACAAGAAATGAAGTCACCATCAACATGTCTCTGTCCTCCTGTTTTTTTATTGGGAATGGCCATCACACTAGTGTTAATAACTTAAACTTTGACCCTTTTAAGGTGCCTTTTGGGACATCAAGTTCCATACCTGAAGCAAAAGATTCTATGTCTTTCATAATCTTCACACTGCCCTTTGATTTATTTCTGTGTTGATTAGGATTTTTCGTGCTTGTTTTCAAATGAAAACTGGGGCCTCTTGTGTCAGTTTCAGATCTGAAATCTGTGTGCACCTTTCCTTTTGATGTGTCATATGAATCTCTAATGTCACCATCCACATCCACACTGTTTGACACTTTAATGTTCCCTCTTGAACTTTTGAAAGTTGGCATTTTGATATTAGTAGTGCCTGCATCTGTATGTGGAGCACTGAGATTCGATTCAGTACCTACAGGACCATCAGTGTAAATATCAAGACAGTTCCGACTCAGTTTGGGGCTTTTCAGAGCAGCTTCTGGGAGAGTTAACTCAATGTCTTGGGCATCAACTCCTCCTTGAACTTTAGGACCCTTAATATCTGGGCCTTTGGGCAGGGTACCTGATAATCCAAATTTAGGCATTTTCAGTTTTCCTGAGGGAGCATCAGTGTCCCAGTCTGGATCTTCAAGGCTGATTTTGGGTTTTTTTGTTTTAAGTTTATCTGTAGGGACATCTATATTAAATTCCGGAGCTAAGAACTTTGGCTTATGGCCGTTAATACCGAAGTCAGGTGAATTGATCTCACCTTTCTTTGAAGGACCTGAGAGATCTATTTCAGGTGCTTTCATTTTGGGATCTGACAATCCTAAATCAGGTATTTTAAGCGTGGGCATGTTCACTTTTCCTGATGGAAAATCCATGTCAGGGACTGTAATGCCTGTTTTGGGCCCTTTCAAGCTAGCTTTGGGTCCATTGATGTCAATATCAGGAGCACTAAACTCTGTATCCACTTTCGGTGAGGACAAACTCAAATCTGGCTTGTCCAGGTTTCCTTTAATACCCATATCAGGCCCTTTAAACCCTGGAATGCTAAATTTGGATGTTTTCATTTTGGGCATTGTGAAAGTGCCATCTGGACCATCAATATCCATATCAGGAGATTTCATATTGAGTTTGAGACCTTTTAGGTCAGCCTCAGGAAAATCCAAATTCATGTCTGGTGCATCAATTCCTCCCTTTATTTTGGGGCCTTTGAGATTTGGACTTTTAGGTAAACCAGTTGAAAGTCCAAATTTAGGCATTTTCAGTTTTCCTGAAGGAACATCAGCATTGAAGTCAGGTGTGTTGATGTCAACCTCTGGTGTTTCAAGGGTTGGTACTTTACCTGTAGGGCCATCTACATTAAACTGTGGGAGTGAAAGGTTTGGTGAATTAATCTCACCTTTCGTTTTGGGAAATGACAGATCCATCTCAGGTGCTTTTACTTTAGGTCCTGAGAGTCCAAAATCAGGCATCTTAAATTTGGGCTTGTTCACCTTGCCTGAGGGGAAATCCATGTCAGGAACTGTAAAATCTGTTTTAGGACCTTTCAAGCTAGCTTTGGGTCCATTCATGTTAAAATCAGGAGCACCAATATCAGCATCCAATTTCGGTGATGACAAACTCAAATCTGGCTTGTCCAGGTTTTCTTTAACATCCATATCAGGCCCTTTAAATCCTGGAATGCTAAATTTGGGTTTTTTCATTTTGGGCATTTTGAATTTGCCATCTGGACCATCAATATTAATATCAGGAGATTTCATATTGAGTTTAAGACCTTTTAGGTCAGCCTCAGGAAAATCCAAATTCATGTCTGGTGCATCAATTCCTCCCTTTATTTTGGGGCTTTTGAGATTTGGACTTTTAGGTAAACCAGTTGAAAGTCCAAATTTAGGCATTTTCAGTTTTCCTGAAGGAACATCAGCATTGAAGTCAGGTGTGTTGATGTCAACCTCTGGTGTTTCAAGGGTTGGTACTTTACCTGTAGGGCCATCTACATTAAACTGTGGGAGTGAAAGGTTTGGTGAATTAATCTCACCTTTCGTTTTGGGAAATGACAGATCCATCTCAGGTGCTTTTACTTTAGGTCCTGAGAGTCCAAAATCAGGCATCTTAAATTTGGGCTTGTTCACCTTGCCTGAGGGGAAATCCATGTCAGGAACTGTAAAATCTGTTTTAGGACCTTTCAAGCTAGCTTTGGGTCCATTCATGTTAAAATCAGGAGCACCAATATCAGCATCCAATTTCGGTGATGACAAACTCAAATCTGGCTTGTCCAGGTTTCCTTTAACACCCATATCAGGCCCTTTAAATCCTGGGATGCTAAATTTGGGTGTTTTCATTTTGGGCATTTTGAATTTGCCATCTGGACCATCAATATTAATATCAGGAGATTTCATATTGAGTTTGGGACCTTTTAGGTCAGCCTCAGGAAAATCCAAATTCATGTCTGGTGCATCAATTCCTCCCTTTATTTTGGGGCCTTTGAGCTTTGGACTTTTAGGTAAACCAGTTGAAAGTCCAAATTTAGGCATTTTCAGTTTTCCTGAAGGAACATCAGCATTGAAGTCAGGTGTGTTGATGTCAACCTCTGGTGTTTCAAGGGTTGGTACTTTGCCTGTAGGGCCATCTACATTAAACTGTGGGAGTGAAAGGTTTGGTGAATTAATCTCACCTTTCGTTTTAGGAAGTGACAGATCCATCTCAGGTGCTTTTACTTTAGGTCCTGAGAGTCCAAAATCAGGCATCTTAAATTTGGGCTTGTTCACCTTGCCTGAAGGGAAATCCATGTCAGGAACTTTAAAATCTGTTTTAGGACCTTTCAAGCTAGCTTTGGGTCCATTGATGTCAATATCAGGAGCACTAATATCAGCATCCAATTTCGGTGATGACAAACTCAAATCTGGCTTGTCCAGGTTTCCTTTAATACCCATATCGGGCCCTTTAAATCCTGGAATGCTAAATTTGGGTGTTTTCATTTTGGGCATTTTGAATTTGCCATCTGGACCATCAATATTAATATCAGGAGATTTCATATTGAGTTTGGGACTTTTTAGGTCAGCCTCAGGGAAATCCAAATTCATGTCTGGTGCATCAATTCCTCCCTTTATTTTGGGGCCTTTGAGATTTGGACTTTTAGATAGATTGGTTGAAAGTCCAAATTTAGGCATTTTCAGTTTTCCTGAAGGAACATCAGCATTGAAGTCAGGGGTGTTGATGTCAACCTCTGGTGTTTCAAGGGTTGGTACTTTACCAGTAGGGCCATCTACATTAAACTGTGGGAGTGAAAGGTTTGGTGAATTAATCTCACCTTTCATTTTAGGAAGTGACAGATCCATCTCAGGTGCTTTTACTTTAGGTCCTGAGAGTCCAAAATCAGGCATCTTAAATTTGGGCTTGTTCACCTTGCCTGAGGGGAAATCCATGTCAGGAACTGTAAAATCTGTTTTAGGACCTTTCAAGCTAGCTTTGGGTCCATTCATGTTAAAATCAGGAGCACCAATATCAGCATCCAATTTCGGTGATGACAAACTCAAATCTGGCTTGTCCAGGTTTCCTTTAATACTCATATCAGGCCCTTTAAATCCTGGAATGCTAAATTTGGGTGTTTTCATTTTGGGCATTTTGAATTTGCCATCTGGACCATCAATATCAATCTCAGGTGATTTCATATTGAGTTTGGGACCTTTTAGGTCAGCCTCAGGAAAATCCAAATTCATGTCTGGTGCATCAATTCCTCCCTTTATTTTGGGGCCTTTGAGATTTGGACTTTTAGGTAAACCAGTTGAAAGCCCAAATTTAGGCATTTTCAGTTTTCCTGAAGGAACATCAGCATTGAAGTCAGGGGTGTTGATGTCAACCTCTGGTGTTTCAAGGGTTGGTACTTTACCTGTAGGGCCATCTACATTAAACTGTGGGAGTGAAATATTTGGTGAATTAATCTCACCTTTCATTTTAGGAAGTGACAGATCCATCTCAGGTGCTTTTACTTTAGGTCCTGAGAGTCCAAAATCAGGCATCTTAAATTTGGGCTTTTTCACCTTGCCCGAAGGGAAATCCATGTCTGGAAGTGTCAGATCTGTTTCTGGACCTTTTAAACTAGCTTTGGGTCCATTGATGTCAATATCAGGAGCACTAATATCAGCATCCAATTTCGGTGATGACAAACTCAAATCTGGCTTGTCCAGGTTTCCTTTAATACTCATATCAGGCCCTTTAAATCCTGGAATGCTAAATTTGGGTGTTTTCATTTTGGGCATTTTGAATTTGCCATCTGGACCATCAATATCAATCTCAGGTGATTTCATATTGAGTTTGGGACCTTTTAGGTCAGCCTCAGGAAAATCCAAATTCATGTCTGGTGCATCAATTCCTCCCTTTATTTTGGGGCCTTTGAGATTTGGACTTTTAGGTAAACCAGTTGAAAGCCCAAATTTAGGCATTTTCAGTTTTCCTGAAGGAACATCAGCATTGAAGTCAGGGGTGTTGATGTCAACCTCTGGTGTTTCAAGGGTTGGTACTTTACCAGTAGGGCCATCTACATTAAACTGTGGGAGTGAAAGGTTTGGTGAATTAATCTCACCTTTCATTTTAGGAAGTGACAGATCCATCTCAGGTGCTTTTACTTTAGGTCCTGAGAGTCCAAAATCAGGCATCTTAAATTTGGGCTTTTTCACCTTGCCCGAAGGGAAATCCATGTCTGGAAGTGTCAGATCTGTTTCTGGACCTTTTAAACTAGCTTTGGGTCCATTGATGTCAATATCAGGAGCACTAATATCAGCATCAAATCTGGGTGATGACAAACTCAAATCTGGCCTGTCAAAGTCTCCTTTAGCATCCAAGTCAGGGCTTTTCAATTTTGGAAAATTAAATTTGGGTGTTTTCATTTTGGGCATTTTGAATTTGCCATTTGGACCATCAATATCAGGAGATTTCATATTGATTTTGGGACCTTTTAGGTCACCCTCAGGGAAATCCAAATTCATGTCTGGTGCATCAATTCCTCCCTTTACTTTGGGGCCTTTGAGATTTGGACCTTTAGGTAGACTGGTTGAAAGTCCAAATTTAGGCATTTTCAGTTTTCCTGAAGGAACATCAGCATTGAAGTCAGGGGTGTTGATGTCAACCTCTGGTGTTTCAAGGGTTGGTACTTTACCTGTAGGGCCATCTACATTAAACTGTGGGAGTGAAATATTTGGTGAATTAATCTCACCTTTCATTTTAGGAAGTGACAGATCCATCTCAGGTGCTTTTACTTTAGGTCCTGAGAGTCCAAAATCAGGCATCTTAAATTTGGGCTTGTTCACCTTGCCTGAGGGGAAATCCATGTCAGGAACTGTAAAATCTGTTTTAGGACCTTTCAAGCTAGCTTTGGGTCCATTGATGTCAATATCAGGAGCACTAATATCAGCGTCCAATTTCGGTGATGACAAACTCAAATCTGGCTTGTCCAGGTTTCCTTTAATACTCATATCAGGCCCTTTAAATCCTGGAATGCTAAATTTGGGTGTTTTCATTTTGGGCATTTTGAATTTGCCATCTGGACCATCAATATCAATCTCAGGTGATTTCATATTGAGTTTGGGACCTTTTAGGTCAGCCTCAGGAAAATCCAAATTCATGTCTGGTGCATCAATTCCTCCTTTTAATTTGGGGCCTTTGAGGTTTGGACCTTTAGGTAAACCAGTTGAAAGTCCAAATTTAGGCATTTTCAGTTTTCCTGAAGGAACATCAGCATTGAAGTCAGGTGTGTTGACGTCAACCTCTGGTGTTTCAAGTGTTGGTACTTTGCCTGTAGGGCCATCTACATTAAACTGTGGGAGTGAAAGGTTTGGTGAATTAATCTCACCTTTAATTTGAGGAGATGATAACTCAATCTCAGGTGCTTTTACTTTAGGTCCTGAGAGTCCAAAATCAGGCATCTTAAACTTGGGCATGTTCACTTTGCCTGATGGCATGTCTATGTCAGGGACTGTAATGCCTGTTTTGAGACCCTTTAAATTAGCTTTGGGTCCACTGATGTCAACATCAGGAGCACTAATGTCTGCATCCAGTTTGGGTGATGACAAACTCAAATCTGGCTTGTCCAGGTCTGCTTTAATGTCCATATCAGGCCCTTTAAACCCTGGGATGCTAAATTTGGGTGTTTTCATTTTGGGCATTTTGAATTTGCCTGCTGGACCATCAACATCAGTATCGAGGGATTTCACATGTAGTTTTGTCTCTTTCATATGAGCCTCAGGGAAATCCAAATTCATGTCTGGTGAATCAATCCCTCCCTTAATTCCAGGGCCTTTGATATCTGGCCCTTGAGGCAAGCTAGCTGAAAGTCCCAAATCTGGAATCTTTGAACTTGGCAATTTTAATTTTCCAGAAGGAGCATCAATGTCAATGTCAGGGGACTTTATGTTCAGATTTGGACCTTTTAGATCGTGTTTGGGAGGAGTCAAGTCCATGCCCAGGCCATCAATATCTCCTTTGACTGAAGGGCTGTTTAGAGTTGGTTTGTGCAAATCACCTGATAGTCCAAATTTTGGCACTTTCAGTTCTCCATTGGGAGAACCAGTGTCAAAGTCAGGAACACTAATCCCTGCACTGAGATTGGGGGATAACAAGTCTCCCTTATCAGGTTCTTGAAAACCTGAAGGGTTAAACTTTGGCATTTTTAATTTGGGCATTTTGAGTTTACCTGTAGGACCACTCATGTCAATTTCAGCAGATTTCACATCTAGGTTTGGGCCCTCACCTGTTCCATTTAGACCAGCACTTTGAAGCAGTAAGTTAGGGTTGTATTCATATTCTGAGATAGCGTCAGTATCAAGTTCTGGAGCTTTACCCTTTAACTTTTGAAGGCAAGCTTCTACATCGACCTTCTTGAGTGAGACATCTACTGTTGGCATGTCATGTAAAGGCAGATTGCTGTCACTTCTTGCCTTGTCATTACTTAAACCCTGAGCAGTCACCTGGCCATTTAGGGGACTGGCTGCATTGTCTTGACTTCTTCCATTTGGATTTCCTTTCATAAATTTCTTGACTTTGGCATTGAAAATCTTGTTGTAAGAATCCTTATGTATCTGCAGAGACAGTTGTTAGCAATTAATGTTTTGATATCACTCTGTTTATTATGCATTTCACATATGTTTTGTCTTCCTTAACACTTGTATCTACTTTCTTGTTTTGTCAGCATTTTCTCTAGCAGGGGTGTCTATCTCTGTTCCTAGAGGCCTGGAGCCCAGCACAGTTTGGTAATTCTTCTTCTCAAACACACAAAACTGAACTCATCAGTTAATTACCAAATCTAATTAGGTGTTCTAGGTGTAATAGAACTGGAAAATCACTGTGCAGGAATAGCTATTTTTGGAATAGCTATATTTATTGTGCATTTCAAATACATGTACCACACACCTCATTTGGAGCTTTGATTCTGTTATCCAGATTTTCGAAGCTCCTGCTGGATTTTAGGCCTGGCTTCGTCAGCACTTGCACCTTGTCATTGTAGGGTTCAATTAGCTTCAGTATTTCAATCACTTCGTTCTTCTTTAGCTGGTCAAAGTGAATGGTGGCACCAACAATTTCATCTCCTATAATATCAGTGACAACAACTAATCAACACATGTACACACTCCAAATTTATCAAAAATAAAAATAAATATTTAAAGGTGTGTCTCTACCTATCTGTAACCCTATCATGACAAACTCATTCTAGTATTCACATGTTCCTGAAGACCTTGATTAAATTAAAGCGTATAGTATCAGAACTGGAACTGCATTTTGCAACAGGGCATACACAGGTGCAACAGCGAAGATATCTGACACAGTATTGAGAATTTATTACAGTATCTTGAACTTACCTTCTTGTAACCCTTGACTTGCTGTCAGATCAGGGTTAATTTTGGAGACAAGCACACGCCCTTTGTCACCATCTTCAAGTACAAGGTTCTCAGAGAGGCTCCTTTGATGGCCAGGCTGAAACCAAACATTCAGTATTAGATTGATGCATACACTACAAGTATTAAATAATTGTAATATGATGATATTCTGTAGGTTTCAAACAATTTGTAGAAACCTATAAAATTTAAGACATTTTGTATGAACAGAGCCGTAGATCATTGCATAATAACTGAGAAAGTTGTCTAGTATTGAGAATGAACCTAATATCCAGCATTATACCATATATGGAAAGCTGTGACCAAATTGTGCTGATCACATAGCTATTAATAGTATATTTGTGATAAGACATTACTATAAATAGAATGTATTACATACAATGTATTATATTTTATATATTATTTTATTTTATATATTATATTTTTAGCATATCATAACTTCTTGTTGTTTCCAAAATACCTTAAATAGTGATTTAACCATCAGTTTATGTTTTGGTCATTTCTAACATTTGAATGTTATTACTAAATTACATTTATTATAAGACAGGGGATTCCAAAGTTTTGAATGATAGTATACATAAGAAGCTACACAAGGTATTTTACAAAATTTCACCATATGCAAGAACTATTATTAATACTAATTAATAATAGTAAATAAATTTTATTATTTAACACCATAACATACCTAAAAATAAATCAAATGAAAATAATAATGCCTAAAAATAAAATCTTATTAAACAACTGGACTCTTTTTAGTGATAATGAATTTTCCAACTCATACTTTAAAAAAATTAACACTAGTTAAAAAACAAAAAAGAATACTTACCATTGTTTAAAAGCAACACCAGGGCTTAAGCCTGTAAATGAGAAAAGGAGGATTAAACAGATGTTTGTGGTGTGTTACTTTCCCATATTTAATCAATAAAGGATGTGTTAACTTATTTTCACTTAGAAAATCAACAAAACTGTAATTTTAATTTGCTCAATCTTTTGCATACTGTATATGTATATTAAAGGTTATTTTAAAAGAATTAAATTACCTAAAATGGAAACTGGAGCTATGAGGTTGATGAAATAGAGAGTCAGTGTCACCAAAAAGGATTAAAAACTACATTTGGGTAAGGGGATTATTTTTTTTTGCTAAACCATTCCTTAAACACAATAATCAGTATTAGTCCAACACTGAAACTAATTCTCTGGGGAGGGGAAAGCACAATGAAGACCTCATAATGAGTTATGAATGAATGAGAAACATGATGAGTGGGTAAGTAACTCAAGTCAGCACTATGCAGACTTGGCAAGGGTACACCAAGAACAACTGAGTGTACAAAAAAGGGTCCTGTATTGGAAATCAATGCTCATCATTCAATACTTATCACTGCACCTTTGAAGAGCACCTTTATAAAACTAACAGGAAAGGTAGAGATGAGCAAACATAGGCACGAAACTTTGAGGTATTCATGGAATTGTTCTGGGAGTGTGTATCGTCGAGAGCCAGAAACGGGTTAGGCCAGAACAAAAGAGACTGTGTACTTAACCACACCCTCTGGTGTAAATACACATTATACATGCATGGAAATTTCAATGGCAAGAGGTGTCAGTGTGATACTCTGCCTATTGATATCACTACAAAAAAAATGAAGACTTTAATTCAGTTTGCCTTGCCTATCTGTGGACTAGGTCCAGGACTGTTAGGAAGGTAACATGAATGGGATCCCTCCCTGTTAAAATTTTAAAGCTAGCATTATTTCAAGTTCAACTCCAAGAGTGCAAAATTTGTGCACCCCTGGTCAAATTATTTTACACTGATTTTCTAAGTGGAAGTAAGTACACATCCTAAACACACTTCTGCACATTTTACTGCACATTTACTGTTTATTTGTTGAACTTCATATACTGGAAAAATAAAAAATAAAACATAAATGTGGCCGGTGCAAACATTATGGCACATTTTATATTTTATGTTTTATTTTTTTCCAATATATTAAACTAAAATAAATAGAAGTAAATAAGTAAATAAATAGAAATTATGCACTACAATTTGCAGAAAAATGCCATAGTTAGGTTTGTTCCTTATAAATAATGTGTCCATTTTTTAGTTTAAAAGAAAATCAACAATGTGTGTAATTTGACTGGGGGTGTTCAAACTTTTGCACATGACCGTAAATAATGCTTAAACATTACACAACATTATGTACAGGGCAATACACTAGAAGCACCATGACAATTTTAATCAGTGTCATGGCTTGACTCCTGGGTGCCTCTTATCATTTGCTATTTGAAAGTGCTTGTCTAAAGAACATGAGAAAGGTAAACCATTAAAAGCCCTTAAAGTTTCTTTTTTAACATTTTCTTCACAGTCACTGAAAACTATACATACACACTTACTGAAACTATATAATACACACTTGGACACATAATAATTGACTTTAAATGTGGTTGAATTAGGTTGGGGTTTTGAGAGCGCAGAAACTATAAGAACAAATAAGTGAGAGTCTTACCTGGCCTTGTATTAGGAACGTCAAGATTTCTTTCCAATGCTGGAAGTTAACTTGCCATGTCGATAAGCAGTGCTACCACACACTGAGTGGCAAGACCATGTTTACCTCCACTATCCACCGACTGTTTATGGGCGGGCTCTTTGAGGCAGCACACACTGTAACAGCCAACAAACTGGTTTAGCTTCTGACTCACACCCCGGGCCACTTACACTAACTCACAAATTCCGGCTCCAAAATGGTATGGCAACCTACCATGCAGGAAAAACAAACACCAGTGGGGTCATACCTGCATTCTCCCTTATGACTCAGGGACACTTTCTTCTATTCTGTTCAGTCACACAGCAAACCATCCCTTGAGGCACTGGACAATCTGGGTGGAGATGACTGCTTAACAGTGAACACACCTTGTGATGTGCAGTTATGTATTTTCTACTCTTTGACACAAGACAGTAAATATGTATACAGCATTATTAATGGGAGTGCAAGATGCCACACCTTCTCTTTACTTACGTTTACAAGATGGTTTAAGAGGGGTCAGAAAAATATCTGTAAAGCCTGAAAAATCCTTTTGAAGTTACTTACAAATACATTACTTAGAGTTCCCGTTTAAATTAACCCATGTGTGTTGTATTAAGTGTATACGTTCCATTGTTTGTAGTTAGACTTCCACAGGCTGGCACCCATAAAGACCAAAAAAGTGGTATAAAATAAATAGCACAGATAATGGGCCATAAGCTACACCAACTAATGTGGTGTAAAGTGTAACATGGATATGTTATGTAGTTAAACAGGTGCCAGTAAAACATGCTTTTAGTCATCTTCTCATATTCCCATAGGAATGTCATCTGCAAATTTTGCAGGCAATCAGACAGAGACCTTGAGATTTACTCTGAAGAGTGTTTTTGTACCATAAAAGATTTCACAGCTATACTGTTTTAATCTCCCTCTTGGTGCCTGTAACATGGCACCATCTTGAACTTCCAGCGAGAGCTAGCCAGGCCAAAGTCCTTTGTCAGTAAAATATCTTCGAGACCGGACGCTGAATCTCAGCTCCAAAGTGTGCAACATAGCGCGAAAGCCCTGGTTCTCAACGACTGAGAACTGGCGTGCAGACTGCAGGTCACATAGCAACGCAGTCTCGCCTGGCTAGTAGCTACGAAAATACAGACAGAGATTTGAGACGAACGTTTGGAGACGAATGGACTTATTCGCATTTATAAGCAGCGCAGTTGGTTTCCTGGAATGTTAAATCTGCAACGAGAGACTGTCAAACACTAAAAAGTTGTTAAGATGAAGTCGCTTCTCTTTCGAATTTTACTGAATGTTCCCGTTCCAGCAGTTACATTCGGCGCCGCAGGCAGAATTTAAGGTGGAACGGGAAAATTCGAACGAGAAGCTGGAGAATGAGAAGCGACTTCAGCCACGTAAAACAGTCGAACGTGGAGAGACATCTCACAAAAAACTGTTCTACTTTTGAGGAAAAGTTTTCTGGCGGAGATGGGAGGAAAGTGGCTATTAAAGCTTAAAGCAGAGCGAAGTCAGTCTGCGTTTTCGTTTATACTGTTTAGCCTATACTAGGACATTATCACATACTGAGACATACTGGACATTAAATGTTGTGGCTCCCAAGGTGGTTTGATTTTTGTTGAAAAGACAAAATGGCTCTTCTTAACATTTGTGTTGTGGCTCCTGACCTAACCTAGCTTTTAATGCAGAGGGAGCCTGTCGGATTTCTCGGCCATCCGGTTGTGTTTTTGTTATTTGCCGTCACAGACTGTCTGGGCGCTGCACTTCCGCACTTCCGCGCCCCGCCTTTTACGTTCCGTCAACATTACGTTATAAATTAAATATTTAGAAAATTTTTACATTTTATGAATCAATTTAGAATCATTCACGTCTGCATTGCGATGCATCTAAGAATCGAGTTTTCCCCCTACCCATAAAAGAAGCCCATATACATTTAATACAATTTATCTTTTGAGGGTTTTAGGCACATTCAAAATTTTCATTTGCCACATTTGACACACTCTCTTCATTAATCATGTGTTTTGAGGAATATATTTTCACACATTTGGGTTTGAAAGCTCATTTGATTAAAATGATATGAAACTGTATTGAAATTATGTTTGCATCAGTTTAATCACACTTTGTAGTGACTGTGAGAAGCCCCTCTATTTGTTACTGTTAACCCAGCAATAGAGAGGAACTCATTTTGCCATCAACCACCACTGGGAAAAGTACTGGCAAAACATGTGTAATTGTAATTCATAAATCATAAACATTAAAAGATAAATATATTGTCTAGTACTATTACCAATATGACCAAGAACATAAAAATCCATAACCAGTGATTAGCCAGTAGAAATCCCTACATAGAGTGACAGGGGTAGCCAATAAATAGGTGTTTAAGTATGAACGGCAGAGTTTAGCTGCATGTCTTTGAAGAAACACTGAGGTGCTACATTACCTTCCAATGGATCAATCTGACACAAATGCACATTTAAACCCAGATGTAAAACTTCGGAATTGTCTGAACTGTCTGAACCAAAGCAAGCTATCTGTAATTTTAGGATAAAGATGTGGAACAGTCTGCATAGAGGCATGATCCCCCAAAGTGTTCGCTAATCTTATGAAATATTACAATAAAAGCATTAATGCTGTTTTTTTTTTGTTTTGTCAGGGCAGGGTGCCCAAAAGAATGAAAAACAAGGCTGCCAGCTACTCTTGAAAAACTCTGTAAAAAGTTTGAGCTTGATATGTAGCTATCTGTGCTATGTATTGCCTTTTTGATGTTTTATCATGGGTCACAAAATTCTGGAACTCACAAAATATAGACAAAATATGTAAAAAATGTTTATTTTAAATGTGCAATAAAAAAATAAAACAGGAACCAAATGACTGACATTTTGGTCTCAAGTCTGAAAGTACAAGAGGTAACAATCAGTTTTTCCCTGAGTCTCTCCTTCACACATTTAAAAACTTTACAAAGTGCAGGTATAGCCACTCACTGGCAAAACAAAAATGCCATCAAGTGAACATTTAGCCTTGTTCACAAAGACTCTTAGTGTACAAGTGCAGTTTCTATGATTTTCTTTTTTTTTACCACACAGTAAGAAAGATATGCAAAATATGTAAAGTACTCAGAGAGCTCTACCTAGGTTGCTGTGTGAACACTGCCAATGTTTTGTAAAACTTTAATGCAGTTTACTAATCACTGTTTAAAACATTAGATGATAAAATCAGTCATTCTCCTGTTCCACAAAGCAGTTTCTTGAAAACTGAATCTGTTCTCTTGCATAGAGCAGCTGGGCTGTCAAACTCTGCCACCTTCCCAGCATGCATCACCAGAACTCTATCAGAGTCCATAATTGTATTGAGTCTGTTGAATGAAAGAGAAGCATGCATGATTTATAATGGCAAAGCTGACATGTAGTTGCAGTTGTTCACATTGGGCCTCATTCACCAACTGTTCTTAGGATGAAATTTCTTCTTAAAACCTACTTATGCAGGTTTTGTGAAGATTTTGACATTCACCAATGTTTTCTTTGGGATTTGTTCTCAGGCAAGAACAGAATCTACACACAATCAAGAGCAGAAAGGTGCGAACAATTCTGTTGTTTAAGAACACTAGTCTTTTTCTTTGGACCTTCCTCAAGAACAAATTTAAGAAAAAAACTTACGAAGATATTGGTGAATGAGGCCCATTGTTTTTTTATCCATGCTGTTTGCTCAAATAGTAGAAGAATAGATAAGAACAGAACACTAACCTATGTGCAATGGTGAGGACAGTCTTGTCCTTGAATCTTTCTCGGATAGTTTTCTGTAGAAGCATGTCAGTTTTGTGATCTACACTAGCTGTGGCCTCATCGATACATAAAACCTACAAGAGAAACAAAAAAATATATAAAAAATAATGCACATTATAGTTATTACATTATTGGCCTTTTATCTAATTATATGAACAACTCAAACTATGGAGCACTCACATTTGCTTCAGTCAGAAGAGCACGAGCAAGACAGACCAGCTGCCTTTGGCCGACTGAAAGAGATTTCCCTCTCTCTCCCACTTCTGCATCCAACCCTCCTGTCAAACAGTAAAGAAACACAAGAATTAAACGTTATAACTTGGTGTCATCCACTCAAATTTACAAGCACGAATTTGGGACTCCATCCTTGGCGCTCACCCATTCTACGGACTACATCTCCTAGGTGGCATTGCTCCAGAGCATCGAGTAGCCTGTGGTCAAGGTGACGACCACTGGGGTCGAGGTTCTCCCTTACTGAACTGGAGAACAAAAAGGGATCCTGGGGAATGATGGCTAGCCTGGACCTGTGAAATGACACCACATGGCATTCAATACTTTGTGAGGAGCAGAATCACCTGTAAATCTATCTTATATGGAATCATAACATTGGAAGAATATCCCGGAATAACTGAAATCCAAGTTTCTTAGGAAAGTATCACACAACTTAAACATATGTGATCCTCACCTAAGCTGAGATAGCTCAACCCGACTGATGTCCTCCCCATCCAGCACTATCCGTCCCTGGTTCAGTTCCATCATACGGAACAGGGTCAAAAACAGCGTGGACTTCCCTGAGCCCGTGCGTCCAACAATACCCACTCTCTCTCCTGGCATCACCACGAAGCTCACCCCATCCAAAGCGTTGGGCAAGCCAGGCCGATATGCCAGCACAGCTCCATTAAACTCCACTCGACCATGCTCTGGCCAAGAGGCTGGAACCTAAGAATTGGGTAAATTAAGCCAAATTGGTAATTTAATATTTGTATTAGTCATGGTGGAATGAAAACACAAACTATGTTTTATTTAATTTATTTCACTGCACAGTTAAGTTTTTTTGTCTGCACCTTCATTATACTGTTAAGTAGTTGCCAAGCCCTTCTTGAGCTACGTTTAAATGATTGAGTTTATAGGTTGTGTCACACTAGAAGAACGTGGCACTCGTCCATCCCAGCAGAAATGCAGACAGGTGACAAAATCAAGGAAAACCTGAATAAATGGGTGGAGTGACATAAGTGCATATGCAGCTAGACAGGTGTACAGCATCATATGATTGAACAATTACAATCCAACTGTGCTCTGTGGAGCGTATAAAAATGCTGAGCAGACCTTGTTGACTTGTTAATTATGATTTAAGGTGGCAAGGGGAAAGGTAACGTTGAAAGAGGGTTCACTAATGGGGCAAGAATGGCACAAGATTCAGTTACTAAGACTAAAGAGGTGAATAGTTTTGGAAATTTTGGCCAAAAGCACACATCTGATGACCATGATGTGAATGCATTAGTGTGCAAGAACAAACAAAAGAGCAATTCTTCCTCAGGTGACAGAATCCAGGACGTGATCAGACTGTCAGCAAGAACAGTCTGTTGACAACTATTTACAGACGGATCTTATTACTTTTTAAATTTGAGGGTTCAGTTTGTAGACCATAGACAGTCGTCTACAGAGATGTGGAAAAAATTGGTCAGATGAGTCATCCTTCACAATATACTCCAGAGGTGGTTGAGTGCATGTGTGACATACACCGCCTGACTGCTTGACCCCTAACAGTGAGAGGGTCTTGTGGCTCCATTATGCTGGCATTTCGCTGCCATGGTTTGGGTCCACTTACGAGGGAACGTTCACTGCAAATCAAAACAAAGTTATTCTGACTGACCTTTATCCTATGACAAAACATTTCTATTCTGATGGGAATGGTCTCTTTCAGGATGAGAGTTCCCCAGTCCACAGGACACAATGGGTCACTGAATGGTCTGATGAGTATAAAAATGATGGCCGTCATAATACCTAGCTTTCACCCTAATTTAACAATTATGGGGCGTGGTGAACCAATGTATTAAGACAGTACTCACCACTAACAATCAAAACACTGAGTAATCTTTTTTTGGAAGAATGATGTTCCACCCTCCAAGGCACTCCCAAAGACTTGCAGAATCTATGCCAAGGTGTACTGGAGCTGTTCTGGTGGCTCATGGTGGCCCACGAACTTACTAAAACACTTGTTTGGCTTTTCTTTTAATTTGTCACCTGTCTGTATGTATTTACACATGATATATTTACTAGCTGCTGATGACTAACAACATGCAAACAAATGGCAGTGTCGATCTGGTGATTTTCTGACTTTATCAGTTGACTTGCACTGTCTAAACACACCATATGCTCAAGAAAGACAAGATAATCACCTGACAGTGTCACTTAGATGCAGAAAAAACACAAAACTCTTCAGTGCCAGGCAGCCTCTAGAGGCTGAGCTGGGAATCGCTGCCTTTTGAGGTTGCAAAGCTGGCTCTCTTACCGCTGTGCTCCCATTCTGAGGTTCCAGTGGAATGCTGGTGGAATACTCTTCAGTGCGCTCCACACTCACTAGCTGCATCTCAGTCTGGGTAAAGCTGAATATCAGCCCTGACAGCAGGTTAGTGATAGACAGGGCGTAGGACAAAGCTAGACCAACCAGACCTGGCCAGAATAAAGACATCTTTACTTAGGGTCTAATGATTTACTCAAACATCTAATACAGTGTAGATCCAAATTACTTTAGCTTTCTAAACCTGTTTGTAAACCAGTAACTTCATCAAACGATGACAATATGTAGTTTAATTTTGCAAAATAGAATCAGAATCAGTTTTATTTTCTCCAAGCGTGTGGCACATACAAAGAAATTGTCTTGATGAACGCATACATGTATAACATGCAACATATTAATCACACCAGAGAGCTCTGTATGAAATAGAATGTATATAAGAAACCAAGGTATTAAAAAAATCCAAAAAGTGGATATTACACATGTGCAGAGTCTGTGGAGACACGCAATTCATTGTTGTTTACAATATATTACAGAGTCAAATGAACAATTGTACAGTGGTACACTGATATGTTATGGTACAAATGGTCTATTTTAGGAAAGGTTAGAGTATTCATGAGGTATATGTGAGAAAAGCAGAGCACCAACCTGGATCAATGGATTTGATCTGATGCTCAATCACAGCGATTATACTGATTCCTGTCACTACAGCGACACCAATCATTTGCAGCCGGATGTCCAGCCACTGCATAGCAGCATTACTGATGAACAAACAGCGCTGGTTCTGATCCAGACGCCTCTCGTTCTCCTCCTCAAACCTGCAGAAACACATGTAGGTGCACAGACAAACATACAGGCCATCACAGATGCAGTGCTGAAGATCAGAGATTAATCAAATGAACTTTTTAGTTAGTTTTTTTTTTGTTTGTTTTAATTAGTTAAAAGAGAAAACACAGCAACAGACATGAGAAGCACAGAACTGACAGCTGTCATACCTAGCAGCATGTCCACTGGCCCTCACTGTTGCCAAGCCACTGAGGGTCTCTGAGAAGTGCGAGTAGACTGGAGAGAGTGTGAGGCTGCAGAGGCGTTTAAGCTCACGGGACGAGTGGCGATAAAACCGCTGCGTTTGATAATACAGCGCCCCTAGTGGTACTAGAGGGAGTAGTACCCAGGGTAGACCATAGCTCATCACCACCAGCATCCCCAGCAGCCCGAACACATTGGCTAAAAGGATGTTGAGGACGAATGGCAACGAGTCGTCTATGGTGTAGACGTCTGAGGAGAAACGATTTAGAACTCTGCCCAAGGGTGTGATGTCAAAAAATGTCACGGTCGCCTACAATTAATAACAGGGATGAGTTATATGATCATTAGAGAGGACATAAAATTCTATTATTTTAAAGGATTTAAAAACATTGCTTAGACATTATTTACTTTTGAAAAAAAGAAAGCAGAGATTACCTTAAGCACACTATCCAGCAGTCTTTTGTGGATGACAGTGGCAGCGCAGATTGCTCCGTAAGCAAAGAGGAAAGCACGAGCAGCAGTAAAGACAGTATTGGCAGCAGCCAGAGAACCATATACAGTCATGTAGAACTTCAGCTCAGAGCTCATGTTGCCAAATGGACTTAAGTGTCTCAGTGGTACAGGGAACCTAAAAAAATTAATAGATTTTAAAGAGACAAAATAAATAATACTCACTCAGGAAGGGAAAGAAATGAGCAACCCTCTACTAGTGATGCAGTAGATATGATGTGTAAGACTAGGAGTATTTAGGTATTTAAGTGTTTAAATAAAGCTTATTTAGTTTGAAATAATGAAATAAACTTATCTTTCAGTGAAAACTATACAAGTTTTGTGATGGAGGGTGTACTGTGGAACCTTAGAATATAATATGGGCCCTTAAAAATATTCAAATAGCAAAAATGGTTAAAATGCCCATCCCTATTCAGTACTACCACAAACCTCTGAACAATCTGACTTTAAACAAAAAAAACCTCTGTGGATATTGTCTTTAAGCCAGACTTACATGGGCCTTTCTGAAAAGAGGAGCACCATGGAAGAGAGAGAACCTGCTGTCAGAGACACCAGCTCAGACCCATTAGCCTTTAAATTGGAAATCCAGTAAGACAGCCACCAGTCCGACACATTCTTAGAGCCTGGAGTAAAAGTCTTATTGTTAGAGTTTTATTATCTGTTCTGAGTAGAAATTACTGCAGAGTCAATCCAAGCAAAAGCCGAAGTGCTGTTTTTCATTCATACCTTGCATGAGGAACAGGGAAATAAGAACAGACATAGCCATACACCCGCCCACTGCTCTCCAATAGGACTGATAGACTGTCCAGGCAAGTCCACCTGTCTGCTTTTGCTCTTCCCCCATGGCGGTTAGCCCCTCCTCTGAAACTGGTTCACTGGTCAATTCTTCTTGGTTAGCACCATCTAATTATTTATGCATTTGTTAGCAAAAAAAAGTATCCAGCCCTCAGCTCTTGATGGGTTAACACATTACTATGCATAATTAATAGGTAATAGTGTAGAATACATACCTTTCTCTTTCACTTTGCTGTCATTCTTACTATCATTTGGTACAGCTTTCATAAGAGATAAGACCTCATTTGGTGTTCCTTTGCAAATAAAACCAGACAAGAATAAAATAAGCAATGTGACATAGCAAAATAGCCAATGATTTTGATTTTTCACGTTTGGTGAACGCAATTTAAATGACACAGACCCCTAACAGCAACTTGAATTACATAGCATGTTCTATTTAAAGGGGACCTATTGTGCTTTTCCATTTTTTCCCCTTTCCTTTAGTGTGCTATATAACTTTTTGTGCATGCAAACTTTCTGCAAAGTTACAAAGATCAAAGTACACATCAGAGGGAGTAACTCTTTCCCACAAAAAACATTTTTCTTAGCTGCCTGAAATGCTTCGCTGAAATTCCAGCCCTTTTCCTGTATTACAATATGTACAATCTCGTAACGCAATCCTTATGCCCGCCTACCGGCAAGCTCACACAACGCACAGCAACTTCTTGAGGCTGGAAAGAAGCCTGTTCAGATTTGTAGCCATGTTGTGAAGATGACAACCTGATTTTCAGGATTGGACACTGGCTCAAACTGATACAGCAGAACAGCATTTTAGACAGAGTGAATAGAGATGTACAGTATGAAAAATAAGTGTTTTTGGAACACTGAAGCATTTAAATCAATGTCGGTAGACCCCAAAAATAAAATTATGAACACTGAAAATGAGCATAGTAGGTCCCCGTTAATATAAAGAAACTAATGACACTGGTGCTGGTCAATACCTGTTCTCACAACAGTTCCATTGTCCATCAGTACCACCACATCTGCCTTCTCCACAAACTCTATTCGATGAGTGCAGAGGATTCTGGTCTTGTTCTTAAGAATGCCCAGAATGCACTTCTCCATGAGATGCTGGGCCACATCAGCATCTACTGCCGCTAAAGGATCATCTAGTAGATAGATGTCCTTGTCCTGTCATGGGAGAGAATATTTAATGGGATAATACATACATGGATCATTCTACAGAATTAGTGCAAATGGCAATCCCACAGTTTAGAAAGAAACATCTAAGTATTCAGATATTTACAAGGATTACATTACGATTTAAATACTGAGATAATAATAAGCTAAATATATTCAAAATCATGTACTTTCTATTAGGAGGTGGCTGTTTCCTAAATTTAGAAAATATATATATAAAATAGTAATAAAACAGTAATATCCACAAAGACATTAGGAGAAAATACACAATTGCAAAAGTTGGTGTGAAGAGGAGTGAAAGTGATTGGTTCAAGCCATTCATAGTGTTCTGTGGGATATGCATTCCGACATTAAACACGCTAAGTACACAGTCCTTATACCTTTGCCTTTCTGTTTGTTTTTCAACACATTTTTTGCTCTCATTTAACCTTTATAATGTCACAATTGATCTCATAGCTGATTGCTTTGGATGATTCCTTAAAACTTAAATTCCTTAAAATGAATGAGATTTTTCTGGAATCAGAGCCACTGAAAAAGTGGCCAGTGTGTATTTAGCTCTATTGACACAGGGCTAAAGTAAGTCTCCACCTATAGACTAAAACTCTTTAGCCCTGTTTCAATAGAGCTGAACACTGACCGTCAGAGGCATAACTATTGTACTGGCATTGACAAAACTGAATATTCAATCAATTGTTTTAATAAAATAAACATAATTAAGGTATTGGGTCGCTCAAAACAGTGACAGAATTAGTAGCCTAACTGTAATTATAAATATACATCGGTGTACATAACATCTTGTATGGCCTTGTGCGTGCCTGTAGCTGGAGTGCTGGTTTCGGTGTTAGTCATTTAATATCTAGGCAGTGTGCAGTAAAGAAGTCTTTGCTGTTTCCATTCACATACTTGTGTGAGGCTGGATTTTCAGCTTTGACAGTCACCAAAACAAGGCTAAAACAAGGCTCAGAAACAGACTAGACAAAAATAACCCTACACTTGTCACTCATAGACATGACACCACTGCTTTGCCTGGAAAGCAGGTCCAGGACCCACATTACTGATGCATTTTTTATTTTTATACATTTGGTTTTATACTATTAGGCTGAAACATGGTTTCATTAGTTTAACTATGCTCAGCAAAATACTGGCTAATCACATGCACGGCTGACCACCTGCAACATCCCCAAACACACCCTCCCGCTCCACCAAAGATTCAGTTCACATCAAAAAAAAGACAAGAACACCTGGTTTAGATTCTAAAAAATCACTGATTAAAATGTGCCTTGTCAATTAATCAATAACGATTAATCTTTGAAAGGCTGTGGATTATGATAGTTCAGTCCATTTTTATTGTTTGGCCTTTTATAAAAAAAATTATATGATTCTAAGATTACTTGATTACTAATATAATGGATAGTGAGCGTCCTACTTACCATATAAACAGCTCTGGCCAGAGCAAGTCGACTCTTCTGCCCTCCACTGAGTGTCACTCCATTCTCTCCCACCTCTGTTCGATCCCCATCAGGCAAAATCTACAGTTTTCAACATGCAACAGTTAACATTTTCAAACCAACCTCACAACTGTATTCATACCAGAGAGTCAGTGATTACAAGTTATTGGTTTCTTGAAAAAGGCTAACATCACCTTAAATAACAGTAAAGAATGTATATTCTATATTAACTGGAACACAAAGTATCACAAATATCGATTCTAAAAGACTATTGTTGAAAAGTTTTTCAATCGTGATTTAGTTTGACTTCACAATGATTTGCTCCATGTGTGAACTTTATTCTCCATTAAAAGGTAACATGTGGCTTTATAAGAGATCCAGTTAGCTTACATTAAGATCATCAGTAAGAGCACAAGCTTCAAGCACAGTCTGATAGAAGCCACTGTCAAAGTCCTTTCCAAAAAGAATGTTGTCTCGCACTGTTGCATGTTGGATCCACGGCTCTTGGGCAGCCAATCCAAAGCCCTGCTCTCTGCCCTGGACATGCACTACACCACCACATCTAAAGAATAAACATAAATAAATGGGAGATGATCTTTATGAAGTAATGCTTACTGAACAAAAGGAACTAGAATGTGTAAATTCCATTGGTTCAATAGAATTTACACATTCAATGTCTTTTTCTTAAAGCTCAATAAGGAGTCAATGACTATAATCGCTAATAGACATTGCAAAATTAAGTATCTGCTCTGCTCTGTTTAGATCGCTAAGCTTATTACTGCAATTATTTCAGTAATTAAAATGTGATATCAGAAGGCATCATGCTAAATATATTAATTGAGGGTGAAAGATTTGCATGGTTCTAGAAATATATCTGGACAAACTGCATGGCAAAGTATTCCCATTTAGTACAAGAGTAAAATGTGTTACCTTCTGAACTTTATTTTTTGTAAACATACATTTATTCCAAAATTAATGTCTGCAATGTTTCAAAAAAGTTGGGAAAGGAGCATGTTTACCACTGTGCTCCTTAATCGTTCCTTTTAACAACAGTTACAAATTGTTTGTGGACTGAAAACACAAACTGATCTAGTTCTGAAAGCGTGAAACCCTTCTTTGTTATATTTTGCACATGTTTTCAGTGGGAGACAGGTCTGGACTGCAGACAGGCAAGTCTACCACCCGCACTCTCTGATTACACAGCCATGCTGCTGTAAAACGAGTAGAATTTGCTTGGCATTATCATGCTGAAATAAGCATACATGTCCCAAAAAAAGATCTTGAAGGCCCAGCCTATGTTCCAAAAAGTGTACAGCGTTAAAGGTGCCTTCACACGCAATTTACCCACTAATACCCCACTCCCCCACCCCACACCATGACAGACACCTGGCTTTATGCTGGCTTTATGCCCACTGTGTATCAGTCCATTTTAGATTAACTTTTTTTCTAGATGCTGTTGACATATGATTTCTGTTGTGCATAATATAGCCTTAACCTGTGTTTGTGGAGGAAGCGAGGAACAGCGTTTATTTACAACAGCTTGTCAAGGTATTTCTGATACCCATTTGCAATATCCATCAAAGTAGCATGCTGGTTTTAAAGCAGCGCACTCTGACAGATTTGAGAGACATATATATTTAGTTGTAGTTTTTGGCCTTGCCTTTTATGCACAGAGATTTTGCTGGATTCCCTGAATCTTTTGATGATATTATGCACAGTAGAGTGTGAAACACTAATTGCTCGCTGAGGAATGTTGTTCTTAAAACAGCTGCTTTGCCTTTGGCAAAGTGGCGAGCTGTGACTTGTCCTCGCTCATAAACGATTAGCCTTTTCCTGGATGCTCCTTTTATATTCAAGCATGTTTGCATCACCTGTTTAAGATATTTTATGAACATTTTACAATGTTCCTAGCTCCCTAAAATGCCACAGTCACTTTGTTGCAAAGTGTTTCAGGCATAAATCTGGAATGAGTGTATATTCACAAAAAAAAAAAAAAAACAATGAAGCTAAAACATTGCATATCTTGTCTTTGTACTGTTTTCATTCAAATACAAATACAATATATCAATAAAGCACTGCTTTCTGTTTTCATTTACATTTTATCTACTGTCATAACTTTTTTGGAAGTGAGTTTCTACTAGTGTATAGTTATACTATCTCTTGTTTGGTTTTAATAAAGCTCCTTGCTATAACATTATTAAATTGTACCTGTTCAGCTCTCCAGTAATGGCAGCTAACAGTGAACTTTTCCCACAGCCAACTTTCCCTACCACAACAACCAGAGAGCCCTGAAAACATATTTAAAAATGCGTTAATACATTGCAGAGGATGTTTACAAACCATTTATTTACTTTAAAACAGATAAAACATACATCTATTTAAAGCACATCATGCCTTATAAGTGGGCAAGTTACAATAAGCATATTGTTAATGTCTGAACAAAGCCTTGTATCAAAAACCTCATATCATAAAACTCAAAAGCTTTTCCGAGGAAGGAAAATGCTATTAAAGGGCCTGTTTCATGGAAAACTGAATATTCCTCACTTTCTTGAAATACGAGTTTGAGGAGGTATGTAAACATTGTTTAAGTGTCAGAATGTACAGTTCCCTACCCAGTGCATACAGTCGACATGTGGAAACTAAGATGCAAAAACAGCCCATTTTGAATTCACTGTTTCTGTGATCTCATAAAAACATCACATTTACATATATCTTCCTATTCAGCCAACAGCAGTTCAGCCACCCACTCGCAGTAAAGTTATAAGGGGCGTTCCAGCCCGGACCACTTTTTGAATGAGGCATAATATTATATTGCGGCCAATCAGAACAGAGGTAATTTATATATCAGTCTTAAAGGTACAGTGACAAAAACAGCCTGTTTAATTCTAAGGAATAAAGAGAGCTTCTTTAAGTTTTAATAGAAGTTAAAGTAAGATTAAGAGTAAAGATTTTTTTCCAAGTACTGTCAAGACATATGACAATCTACAGGATACAAAGAAATACTACATAATAATGCTTTTATAGTCTTATCAGTGCATCCATTTGAAAATACCTATTTACACTACGAGGTCAATAATTAAGTATGCTTAAAGCAGTTGGAAATGTTAAGAATCTTCCAGGAACAGAAGATATGTCTGTATTGACCCCACGCACAGTGAGGGGGATGGCTTAAGTGGCCGAAGGATCATTAGTTCTTGGGGCCAGAACACCTCTTGGTGTACACACAAACAAAGCCATGCAGAGAAGTACATAATTTTCCACTGTGAATTATAGTGGTGAATCTGTGATATTGTGGGGTTGTTTTTCTTCCACAGGCCTGGACAGCTTGTTCTGATATGTGGTATCATGGACTTGTATCAGTGGATATTAAATCAAAACCTGACTGTCTCAGCCAGGAAGCTTAAACTGGGCCATGGCTGATCTTCCAGCAGGACAATCATTCAAAGCACACCTAAAAGTCAACAAAAACTGACTACAGACTCAAGGTTTTGCCATGGCCATCCCAGTTCCCTGACCTAAACCCCATAGAAAAGCTGTGGGACAAGCTGAAGAGGAAAGTCTACAAACATGGACCTTGGAGTCTGAAGGATCTGGAGAGATTCTCTACGGAGGAATGGTCTCAGATCCATCACCATGTGTTCTCCAGTCTGATTAAGCATTATAGGAGAAGACTCAGAGCTGTAATCTTTGCAAAAGCAGCTACACAAATTTTAAATGAAGGGGTGCCAATAACTGTGGGACATACATTTGAGAAAAATAATGTTAAGATTTAGTTTTTTATTTAATCATTGTACTTGTAATAAAGTTAGCTTTTGTTAATATTTTGAACAATAGATCAAAGGGATAAGCAATAAAAAATGTTTTTCACAGAGTGTTTTGCTCATGTTTACCAGGGGTACCAATATTTCTGGAGGGCACTCTGCATCATTTTGCATGTAATCCATAACTGTGATGACTAACACAAGAGGCTAATCATGAAGGCCTGGTACGGTTAGCGTGCAAAGGAAACGAGTCTAGGGAAATGAACAACGGCATGCAAAATTGCAATTTTATGGCGACAACCATCTTTTGCATAGAACGAGGGAACATGCAGTCAATTGGTTGGTTGCCAGAAACAAGGAATAATGCAGGCAATTGGTTGTCGTCTTATGAGCTGACTTGCAAATTTTGCACCATTTAGCAACTTTCAATCTGACTAACTATAAATGCAAAGCAAATGGATACAATCCACACAAAAAATGACCAGGGGTAAATGGGGTCTATGTTAAAAGTTTAGAAGAAACTACATACCTTTCTAATGCTTAAGTTGAGATTATGGAGAAACAGGCTTCCTGACAGAGACCTGTCTTCTACCTCAGAATCAGACTGTGGATCATCTGACCTCTTCCAGGAGAAACTGGCCAGGGTCATCTGAACGGCAGTAAGAGGATCCTCAGGAGACACTGCAAAAATTTGAAAAAACAAAAACAAAAAACATCAGACAGAACAAATAATAAAGTTTCTCTTTGCTTTTATTTTTTCATTAACCTCTTAGCAAGGACTAACCTACTTTCAGGTCCTTTTCTGATTTGGTTCTGATGAAAATGTACAATGAATGCAATGAACTGGTTCTGCCCAGTGTTACTGCAATATGTAATGGTATCAAAACTGTGGCTGTTAGCATGAAATCCCATCTCACAATAAGTTTTGCTCATATGCATCTGAACAGTGGAGATTTGTTTTCCGGAATATGTCTAGCGTACGTCTTTTGCATTTGGTCACTTTATGGAACATTCTAGAAACTTGCATTGGAAAATATTAAAAAGACTGTTCATTATCTGCTAATCAAGAATATGGCTGCCCTAGTCTCCTCCTCCATACCCTCTTTCTGGCTGGCTGATGGAATTCTTGCTAATTCAGTTTTGTTCCTTCAGACTGCACAGAACTACCTTAACGTCAACCTGAAACCAAATGGACTTTGTTTTACCTTGTTACCTTAACTCGAAACCTCCTAACTAATCCTGGTACTTTAAACCTCCTAAACTAACCTTGGCTGTAGTAGGCAGCGAAGTCTTGATTATGCAGAACCAGAAACTGCTGAATGCGATCCAGAGATACTTTAGCTTCCAGTGTGCCATTAAGAACCCAGGGGAAAGCATTAAGTGGCAGAATGAGCATGCCCACCAGAGCCAGAGTGGTGAAAACCTGGAAGAGAAAACACGGTACTAGTTAAAAGACTTGGCCAGTCATGAAAATGAAAATATTTAAAATGATTTATCTGGGCAATATGTTTTTATATATAAACACCTTTATGTATTCAGATTACATAATATAATCATATAATATCAATAATAATAATAATAATAATAATAATAATAATAATAACAACAACAACAACAACAACTGTCTGCACAGGCATCATGACCCATGCTGTATTCTACCTACAAGCAAATAAAGAAAATATATTCTGAAGTCTGCTCACCTTCGCAGCAGTGAGACTGTTCCCAAGCAGCACATAGGTGATGAAGGTGAGGATAGAGATAACCACAGGAAGAGCAGCCCAGGTATACACACACACCGCATCCAAGTACTTCAAGGTCTTCAGGTGACTCAGCTCTTTTTTGCGGCTTTGGTTTATCTTTTGCGTAAAGTGCTGCTCCCAGTTATAGAACTTAAGAACTCGAATTCCAAAAAGCACTTCAGTCATTAGCTTAAGGAGAAAGACAGGGTGTATGAACAAATAAGAATCTGTTTGTGTTTCTCAAACTGTAACTCTGCATTTGGCTTGGACACTCTTGCAAACAACAAATAAAAAACATTTTAATCGAAAACCAGTGGTGTCTGTCATCAGACAGAATTTCTCTGTTAGCCGTATAATTCAGATCTGCAGAAATTCCTTTCCTAAAGCTCTGGATTCAATTCATGAAGGTCTTGCAAATTAGCAGAGGAGTTGACTCAGGTGTCTTTCACGTGATAGAGTGCTGACGTTTGCACCTGTGACTGACAACTTTCTCCTCACTCCAAATGCAGTCAATGAGCCAAGATATTTTTGCTTCATGCCTAAATCTTCACACACTTACCTCAAACTGCACAGAGCAGTTTCTAAATTAAATGGTTAATATACAAACATATGTGATTTAGAATGGTTTCATTTGAAGTGCTCCATTCTATACTCAGAATTGTTCATAGTGGTGGTGATGGGAACCAGATGTCAGAATAGTTTAGTGCCTCTAAAAGCTCCCTGACAGAAAGTTATAACATTTGATAGTTTCAAATATGCTGCCTAATGACTGAGACGTTGTTTTATTACAGTTCTGAGTCAATAAGCTTTAGTCATTGTAAGGCAAAATGCCCAAAGAAAACCTAGTTTTTCAGATGTACCACTACTTTACCATCCTTAACGATACATATGAATACTCAGAAGACATGCGCACATTCACAGATCATTTTAGATAGTAAATTTTAAAAATGGTAGCTTAGTGGTTAAAGCTCTGAGGAACTGATCCTAGGGTGTGGGTTCTAGTTGCATCCATTGGGCTCTTGAGCAAGGCACTTAATACCCCACCCACAGGGACGCGGCTGACACTGTGTGCCGAATTTCGCCGTACTGTGCAAGTATCATCACAAAACAGGTGCTTGTGTTGTAGACATAGAGAGCCCTGGTTCCTATCACCACCACTGTAAAGAAATCTGAGATGTCAAGTTGGTGAAATTAGTTCAACACTTCTTTAAGTAATCTCAAACAGAATGGCTTCTGATGCTATATGACATTCTGTAATCTATAAAAATTGACAAAATGCATAGAAAACCTGAGACATTTTACCATGTTTATAAATGACAGGCATGCTTCTTTATAGATATAGGCCAGGATGCCCAATCTTGGTACTAGAGGTCTACCACCCTCTAGAGTTTAGCTTCAACCCAAATTTAACATATCTAATCAAGGTGATAAAGGCTTTTAGGGAAATCTGAATATTAGAACCAAGCATGCTGGGTCTGAGCTTCCTAGGGTGGTAGATCTCCAAGACCAGGATTGGGCACCCCTAGATTTAGGCATTTCAGGGATTACTCCATTACTCATTAGCTACATTAGCCTTATAGCTCCAGCTAAAAATTTAAGAATCAAAATTTAGACACCAAACATGTCTTGGCTAGTTTGAAATTATGAAAATTTGCCTACTTTTTTCACACCACCCTTCCTTATTTATTGCATACTGCCTTATGCCAAAAGCCTATCAGATTGAAGGAGAGGTAAGGGACATTCCTACCGGATAATCCTCAGCAATCTCCATCTTAAGTTATCCAGTTTATTAAATCCTGCTTTTTTGAAACACCCACCAGACCTCTTAATAAGAGCACACATTCTGACTAGAGATTTTCAAATATTTTTGCATGCAAAAATGCATTACTTACAGTAAAGTTGCATTCATACCTTCACTCTGCTGTCCTTATGTGCCAGCATGTGTTTATTGTTCTCCAGGATGCGGGCTGCCAGGAACTTATTGAGAGGCACAAGCAGAATAGCCACGCCCAGTCCCCCTAAGAAGGCCACACCCACTTGCAGGTAAAGCAGGTATAGGGCAAGGGCGAACTGGAACGGCAGACTCCAGACTTCATGAAAACTGCGAAAAAAATTCACCAATCGGTCTGTATCGGTGCTCATGAAGTTGACCACCTCACCCATGTTGAATCGAGCCAGGGCTGAACCGCTGACCTGCAGAGCTTTGGCATAGATGGTTGACACCACAGCAGCCCGAGCCTCCAAAGCTACCTTTGACACTTCAAACACAAAGATGTTGCGCAGGAACGCTGCCAGGAACGTGGTCAAGAAGAGCCCTACAGCACACCACACACCTCTGCTCAGTGGTGCCCCCTCAGTCTCCATGAAGCCCACTAACGCACTGAGCAGCAGAGGTCCTGCAAATGCTAACAGGCTAGCTAACAGCTTTAGCACACCCAAGAAGTAGTAGCGAGGACCAAAAGCCTTGTGCAGGACCCACAAGAGCTTTACCTCTTGATGGGTTCCTTTCCTCAGAGAATTCTTCAGGCTGGACCTCACCACATAAACTTTCCTGCTGATCCTTTCTAGCATTCCTAGGCAAGTCTTGAGATGTTCTCAATGCTTTTTGATGCAGACACTGTGCCCAACACTGACCAAACCGTTGAGTGATGGCCTTGGTCCGAAGTTTGCGGGGCAGCTGGAAAACATCACATGGTCTTTCCAACTCACCACGTTGACCTTGCTTAAGCTGAAGGTTCAGCCAAAGGTAGAGGAACCTGGACAGGCAGCTGCAGCCATCCTCCGCTACCGTTTCTCCTCCACAAGGCTCTGGGACAATAAGAGGAGCTGCATCGTCTGCATTTATAAGGAGGGACTCTCCTCGTAATTTGTAACAAGGAAAGGTAAAGGCTAGTAGGTACACAAGAATCAGGGCTGCTCTGGCCACAGTTAAGGCAAGACGGACCACCTGCCAGGGGTATCCAGTATTGAGATGTTCACTGTCCTGGATATAAGCAGCAATGGTGAAAGATAGGTTAGGAACTGGAAGAACAGCCAAGACCACAAACAGTAGTGGACCTCTAGTCCTTCTGTAGACAGATCTTTGTAGAGCCAAAACTGCTATAAAGTGAACGAGCCAAGCAATGATACCACATCCATTGGTCAGTATGTCCAGGTAAATAGCCTGCTGTTGCAGTTCAAGTGTCAATACCAAATCTGTGATGAAAAGAAGAACCAGGAGTAATGCAGAAGCAGCCCTAAAATTCCAGCCAAGAGCCAGGGAAAGTGGAGTGCTACCGAATCTGCAAACAATGACAACATTTTAGTGTACAGAGTACTGAAGACATTATAAAATACTATAAAACTAATAAATACAGTTAGACAAATAATATCAAAGGGCAAATTGAAGTTAAATAGGCAAGGAGTAGTGTTAAACAGTCACATCGATTAAAGGCTGTAACAAATGTTCATGTCTTTAAAAGTCCACATCTTACATTTGTCTTAATTGGTTTTTTCCTCTTAAGGGCCACTTGTGATGTTTGTGTCATTTTATATACCAAAAAAATTTTACATGCACATTTTCCAACTTTCCCTTATCCCTTAGAATTAAACAGGGTGTTTTTGTTACTGTGCCTTCAAGACTGACATACAGTCATTTGCAAAAGTTTGAACACCCCCGGGCAACTTATATATTTGTTGATTTTGTACGTGAAAATAAATTAACATCTTCTACAGGGAACACACTTAAATATGGCATTTTTCTGCAAATCTTAGTGCACAATTTCTATTTATTAACTGAGTTTAACATATTGGAATAACATACAGTGGCAAAAGTGCCATAACTTTTGCACAGGTCACATTTTACGTTATCAAATTTGTTAAATAAGCAAATAAACAGTAAGTGTGTATTAAATTGTGCAGACAAGTGCTATATGAAGCTGACATGTATTTATTTTCACTTCAACAACCCAAGTAATACGACCAGGGCACCCTAACGTTTGCATACAACTATATGTAAATGACATCTATTCTGATTGGCTGCCCTGTTTTGTGCCTCATCCAATTCATTCAGGCTGAAACACTTTTCACAACTTCAGTGTGAATTTGTGAGGCTAATCTGCTGTAGACTGAACAAGTGGACATCTGTAAAAAAAAGTGATGTTTTTTGACATCACAAAAACAATTAATGTAAAGTTGCCTCTTGCAGCTTAGTTTCCACATATGGACTGGGAGGAACAGTACATTTTGAAACTTCAACCGTGTTTATATATAACATCAACTCTTATCTTCCAAAAAGTGAGGGAAACTAGCTTTTCCATGAAAAGCCTTTAAAAACACACAGACGTCAGTGACTACATTGTTTCTGCAGTTGTGTAGCTTACCTTGGAACACTCAAGTAACAGGCGCTAAGGACTGCAGTGACTGCATGGGCAAGAGAGCCACAGATCAGCTGGTTAAAACATGGGCTTAGTGTGCCATTCTGCCAAACAGGGAATGGATAGTCCTTATCAGTGTGACACAGTTCTGATATGATGTCAGATGGAATGGCAGCAGCTACGCTTCCTCCCATGATTTGGACATCTGGAGCATAGCTGAGACAAAACATAGTTTCATTCAGGGTTGGCTTTATGATAAGCTTGGACTAGTAGCTTGCCAGGATTCGTTTAATTTGCATAAACATACTTTCACTGCAAACCGACAAAACCTACAGCACACACTCTGAATCTGTATCTCAAGGGCAATTCCACCATTTTTCCCAACATGTCTACCTATTTAATTATCTGAGATCTTAAAAAAAAAAAACACTCACAGTGCTCTGATGGTAAGGAAACGTACCAACTTAGATTTTCTTTACAATGATGGTGATAGGAACCAGGAGTCTCAATGTTTACAGTAAAGATATAGCCATTCCATTTGCTATCCAAAATGACCAGTGAACCCACCGTTGTCTTTTGGGTTTTTAAATGTAATGCTGATCTGAATAAATACGTACTATTTTTCCTACCACATCCTGCACCTTTTAGGCCAAAACCTTATCAGAATACAATCACAGAACACTGTCTGAGGTATCAGGTAACGTTAACCATTTCGTTCCCATCATCTCCACAGCGGACAATTCTGACTCAGCACGTTTTACAAGGCTGAAGTTAGCTTCTATTCACCAGCTTCTTGTTCGAATTTTCCCGTTTCACCTTAAGTGGTACGTGTACCTGCTGCACCATTTAAGGTGGAACGGGAAAATTCGAACGAGAAGCTGGTTATCGAACAGCTTATCGAACTGTAAGTTACTTGAATATTTCACATCAAATTACTCTGAATGACTTTCTTAGCTAGCTAGTTAACAACACTAGAGTAACTTATGCCTACATTTCGAAAAATCAATGAAATTCTTCTTTTAAAACTGCCAGCATCTCAGCTAAATGTATACGTGTTCAAATTCATCACTTTAGTTGTTAAAAAATGTGACCAGCTCGTGGCTCCTCAACATAATCAAGCTCTAGCCAGCTGTCACGGATCTTTAAGCTAGCGTTAAGTAGCTAGCTAACTTACATGCTGTGACAACATATATTTAAACTAACGATGTGGTCGCGTTTGCTTAATGATACCTTTGTGCTGCTTCGTAGACTCTAAAATCATTGAATTTCTTTTTTCTGTTGCATACCTCCCTCTACCAGCGCTGGCACTTCGTTTTTTGGCAACTACGAGCCGAAGCACAGATGGAGGAGCCAAGCTGAAGTTGGAAACAACACAGCGTAGCTCCATACTCAAATCGCCGTCGATCCCCTTTCAAAATAAAAGTTTTTAGAAATAGAATTGCTCTTCTTAGCCTTTCACTTAAAAAGAGAAAAGAATATCTATATTTATCTTTGCTAGTTATCTTAATGCGTCGATCTATTGTGGATACATTCGATTACTCATTCCTTGGCATTTGCATTGAAACACAGAACCACGGCGTGATCTGAACGCTTTATTGTGTCAATCTGGGCGAGATGGGCTGACTGTAGAAAAAGTAGCAAGCTCTCTGGTTGAAGCACCTCAGTAAGTTATACAAACACAGTTACCTATCATCGGCTTTCAGAGACAGGGACTTTTAGGTGTGGGATTGATCTAGGAAATATAGAAAGAGGGTATTTTTTCATTTTCAATTCTGACAAAATAAAGCCATGGTGCATGAACAAAATACTCAATTTAACCTCTCGATTAAAACCCTGAATTTGGTCAGTGCACATAAAATTGGCATTTTTTAATACAAGTTAGACAAAAGATAAAGCAATTATACAAATGCAATTCCATGTAATTAGACAGAAATATCTTTAAATAGGTGGTGCAGCTGTCTAAGGCAACATTAAGTTGATTAAAAGGGTCATCTAATAGCCTCGTGTATTACAGGAATGAAACTATACAATGTTACTTCTTTTCCTCATTTACACTGTACACAGTCCTCGTCACTCAGGTTTGGCTGGAGCAGCCAATGCAGTCGTTTGTGTAACAAATATCCTACTTTTTGTGGTCTCCAAGATACAATTGTACATATTCAGACGCACAGTACAGATGCACAGACTTCCCCCTTAAAGCACTTTTGAGGACCAGGACATTAAACATTTACATAAACTTGATTAGAATAAACTCCAAAATGCTTGGATATCTCTTAGGCTGTGTTTCAAAACCACTAACTCCTTATAATGAACATTGAATTTGGGTAAGTTGTAAAAATCATCCCGCTCTTTATCTTCTATTCTCCTTTGATTTTGGATATTGATATTTTTATGATGTAGGTAGCATATACGTTGTAATGTGATCTTGCTATCTGAATATCAGATTTTGTAACTGACTCTACATTTTCATAAAATACCATCTACATACTTACATGACTAAGCTAATTCTGTCTTTCAAATACAGTCATCTTCTGTATGTGCTTGCAGTTTTCAGTGAGTGACTCCATGGTTCCTAAAGCTGCAATCAACTGATTTCATATTAGTCTGTTCTATACTCATGACATGATTGTCCAGTCACAGCAAAATATCTTCATTCTAAACATCTGCTGAATGAATTCCAAATCGTCACTGTTGCAACAAAACCTCGTACCTCAGAAATACAAACTTTATCGAAGAAACGGGGGAAAAATCTTACCTGTAATGTATGTTAATGTAACAAGATTTTATATAAAGTAATTTTGGACCATTTCTATTGGTCCATTTGAACTGGAATTTTTAGATTAAAAAAAAATAATAAAATCCTGAAAAAAATGGAGTTACGAGGTTTTGATATGGCAGCGCTGAAACCAATTAACCAAGTGGAGTTAAAATTTTCAGTTAAGATTCTGAAATGAACCTTGGCTGGGGTAAAGAGAAACTCCAAGCATTTCCGTATTCAAACTAGCCCAGGTATGTACAAATGTAGGTTTGTGTATGCAAGCAAACATTTACACAATAAAAGCTGTCCATGAGCTGCTACACGCTAGTCAAAAGGCTCAAAAAAAAAAAAATATGGAGGAAAACAGCTTTTTGGCTGGAGTACTTGGTGGTGCATTTCATGTCTGAGATTCAATCTTTCACTCACTCTCTTCTTCTTGCTAAGTGATACAGGACTTCCCATACTACACAGCCATGGCGTCAGGTTTCTGCATCTTCAAGTGAGACACGTATGAAGCTTGTGTGGCGTACTGGCCCAGCTAGACTGCCAGGCCCTCCCTTTGAAAACTGGGGTGAGTGGAAAAGGAGACACAAGAGGAGTTTGGGCTTGTGTGCACAGACCACTCCACAGGGCCTGGTTTAGGACACATCACATGTGTGATTTGGGTGCGGGCGGAGGGGGGATGTCCTCCACTAAAAAGCCCCCTCCCTGTTTCCACCCTAAGGGATGAGTCTTTTTAAGAGTTCTCTTTCAAAATCAAACGTTCACAAGTTCTTGGTGTTGATGTGTGTTTTGTAATGCTTTGTTAGGTGGTCACTCCTCATGAATCGTTTCTGACATTTTGAGCACTCAAAACGCTTGTCTCCTGCAAAAAAACACAGTTATAATAAGAGTTAATGCTTGCAAAAATTCAGTAAAAAGAGAAGAGCCTTGTTGCATATTCATAATTATAAAAACAATTTACCCATTTTTGAGGGGAACTGTAATAAGGGTGTAAAACTCGGTCTTTTCTGAAGCACTCCACAGAGATTAGAGTTTTCCTTCTTGAGTTCAACTCAAGAAGGCTTTGCTAATTAGACTGGAACCCAGTTTTACACTCTTGGTTTAAACCAGGGATTCTCAACCACTGGGCTATGGGCCATGTTGTTGTTATCAATAATACAGTCCTTGTGGTGGAAAAGGTTGAGAACCCCTGGTTTGCCACAATGTTTGGTATGCCTCATTGTGTATTATACCTGTATGCGTTCTGGCATGTCGCTGCAGTTCATCGCTGCGTGTGAAGCGTTTCCCGCAAAAGACCCAACTGCAGACAAAAGGCCTTTCTCCTGTATGCAGTCGCACATGCGCTCGCAACAGAGATGTCTTCCGAAAGGTCTTCTCACAACCTGGTATGTGGCATATGTGCTTCCTCTTGCCTACCTCACCCGGCCTGCAACAACCAAGACAAATGATCATTAACTCTGTCTACAGCTTTAAGAAGATCCCTTGATGCAGAGATCTTGTGACATCAAGTTATATGTAATAATGTCTGACACTAACAATTGCACAACAAAATTGCACTTCTGCTTTCACAAGTCAAAACTAAATCTGAGACTAGTCATCGTAGTGAGAGATCCTATAAGCACTAGTTGCATCCAAAGAGGAACAAATGGACAAACCCATCTAGGCACATGATGATCTTGATCTTAAGTAATGTCCCTACATTTTAATAAGGATGTACAATATATCATCAGTTCGGTTCTAGACCAGATTCCCTGTAATTTACTTACATGAATTCCGACACTTTTGCAACTAACTATAATTTAGTAAGACATTTAGTTTTTTAATAATCATATTTCAGTTTTCAAGACTGCTCAGATGTAATTACAGTGTTCCACATACAGAAACAGATATGTAAACATACAAACAATTTCAGATATTGAGACAGAATTAGGGACAGGATTTCTGTTGCCTGAAAAAGCAGCGATATGGAGATAGGTTTAATATAGGTTTTGCTTAGCTATGTGCTTTTAACTGTTAGTGCTATCATGATTCTGAAATTTTAGCTCATGATTGTCATTTAAATAATTGGAATTAATAATTTAATTGTCTTTTCTTGTTCATTGTTTGGTGCTATTAATATACAAGCCTAAAATGGCCAAACTGGCAGATTGGTTATTTTATTAACCCAGAAATTCCATATGCTAGCTATGTTTACTTAGAAGCTCAACACTGGTTGAACTGTTGAAACAATACCGTGTGTACACTCACACAATGTCAATTACACAAAATTATATGTAGAGTTAGGAACAGCAACATGTTCTTCACTAGAGTGAAAATATAAGCAAAATAAAACTCATTCTGCCAGCATTCAAGCTAAAAACATTAGAACTAGCCACATAGCTAACATTACACAGTACTCTAAACTTTGTTTTCATAATTCAAATGGCATTCCCAAATTAATGCATTTACTGCTTTCTTTTATTCATTTGCCTCAACCCAACACATCGAATTTACATTTTGTATGTTGTAGCGTATTATGACTATAAAAAAAACTAACAACTGTTCAAAATAACAGCAATCAGCTTAAATAACTGATCATCTCAAATACCTGCGATTATGTATTAATCGAGACATGCCTATTCTTTCTTTTTTTTACTAAATTAAAAGTCAAGTTCATGTTCTACTGCTAACTTACAGTGGTCAAAGCTCATAGCGAGTGAAATAACGTTGATTAATTGGCTAACAGAAATCTCGTTTTTGATTGATGGTTTGACAAGTTATTGCCCTGTAAGACAGGTTTATTCATACAGATTTATAGAAATGTGATTTCATATCCTATACAAACCTATTATCCGTTAATATCCTATTAGTTTTTTAATTATATGCTCAGGTTTGTCTCTGATGTGCTATGGCAAATGTTTTCAAAACTGGAGGCAAGCAAATGAACTCGCAGGAAGCTATTCCCCAATTGTGTTTAGTTTTATTTTTTTCAGCGAATCTTCAGTCTTCCAAAATATGGGGTAACGTACAAAGTTGTAGCTGCATGTAAGAGTTCTTTTAGTGTGCAATGTTTAAATACATGGGTATGACATGATTTTTGTTTATAGCCAAGTATCAGATTCATCGTTGGGTAATGATCTTGAAAACTGTTAGTTGCTATAATCAATCCCTATCCCTGTTCTTTATTTTTAGAATTTTTTTTTTAAACAACTGTTGTCAATGGCATTATCTGGATCTGCTAAAATGTGAAACATCTACATAAAATAATAGCAAACATTAAAATAATTAAATTAAAATTATTAATTTAAATTATCGGTTCATGACACTGGTATTGACCACAACAAATGATTAATTATCAGTTTCTTTATCAGCCCAGAAATTCCATACTGGTGCATCTCTACATTTTAGCAACTGCCAATAAAACCACAGTTGCAATTCAATATGGTCATGTACTATTATTAATATTATGATACAGTGATTTTGTCATTTTTTTATGTTTCTCCTCCCTTGCCACTCTGTGTTTTCCTTGCCTTTTCTCTGCATCTTTGCAGTTGGGGCAAGTGCATGCCATGCGCCGCTTCTTTTCGCCTGGTTGGCTCTGCAGCTCAAGAGCAAGCGTTTGGTCCACCTTCAGCGGCTGCGCCTGCGTCTGCACACTGCCCAGCTGTAGCCCTCCGCCCTGGACTGTTAAGTGCTGCTGACCTGGGAACCAAAAAAAAAATAGACAGAGGCTAAGCTTTCAGAGTTTCCTTGTTATGCATGCTGCAAAACACTGCTGTACTTCACTGATCAGCTTTATCCAGCAATATTGGCTTACTGAGTGCTACTTCTTGCTTTATAACACTTAATTGTATTAGAAAAAAGCTTACAAAGCTACAAGAGCCTATCACAGCTTGCCATAGAAAAACCTTTGACTGTATGGTTACATTTGGAACAACCGCAAGTTCTTGGATAGCTTTGCTATCTGACAACACTAAAACTCTGATGTAGTAAGGACTACAAACACTGCAATAAATTATGTATAAAACACCTTAAAATTTACACACTTCCTTACACTAGACAGGAGAGCGTACTACATCCTGCTCTGAAAGCAAATGTCCTTTTTAGGTTTCAGATGCATCAATTAATAAATATGAACAATCAAAAGTTCTAATAATCACTTGATGAATAACTTTATCATCCTTACAAAATCTACTTTGATCATTTATTTACCCTTACCCCCAGCATTTGTGATGGTCACAGGCACTCCTTGTACTTGAACACCATTGATATTAATGGTCTGAACAGCCGGACCCGCTGAAGCAAGCTGAGCTGCATTAAGCGTTATCGGACCACCGCCAGCAGGAGCGATCTTTGCGAGTGTTCGTTCTTTCCGTGCCCCTGGCTGGGCCTTCTTACTGACGACAGTCAGTGTGGTAGGGGTGGCAGTAGTAGCCGGCGTAGTTGGAGTCGTAACTATGGTCTTCTGCAGCTGCACTGCCTGCCACTCACCTGAAGCTGTTTTAATCAGCACCTGTGAAAATCAAGACAAAAGGTAGACAAACCATAAAACACAGCAACAAACAGATTCAACAGACAGATAAGATGTACAGGCTCACCACATAAGACTGACAAAAGTATTAAACAAGCAAACTGGCATTTAAAACCCAACTAAATCAAGATAATGGTGACAGAAATAAATACTCTCTATGCATACATAACTTTTTTTAATCTTTACTTCATTTGTGTATTTCATAGGAACAAAACGCACATGTACATCACAAATTTCATGATATAAATGTGCCAAGTTGCTAGTAAATTTAGAAAAATTGTTATTTTATTCTAAAATTAGCCATGAATTTCATTTGCAGTCCCTGGGCAGGTTGGTGTTAAAAATATGAATACATTGCGTGTAGGCTAAACAAATGTCACAAAGCAGCAATAAAGATGTTATATATATTTTTTTTATTTTTTTTTTATATATTTATATATTTTTTTATATTTTTTTTATATACGTTTATATATTTTTTTGGAAAATAAATCAATGCCTGTCAAACCTCTCAAATTGAAGGGGAAAGACCATCTACTATTTTAAAAATGTGTCATTCTAAACAGTCTCCCAGAGACACAGCTACTATCAGGTTTATGGGCATCAACCAAACAAACAAAAGCCAAAAAAAAAGGCACAGTGAGGTACCTGTGTGGGTTCAGAGGGGGTCATCTGCACACTGGGTGTAGCTGGCTGTCTCTGGGGCACAGGGGGAAGTGTCGCAGAAGCAGCCTGCACCACTTTTAGAGCCTGCTGGGGTATTTGCACCACCTGCTGTTCTGATTTCTGCTGAACCAATTGCACCTGCTGTACCACAGGCTGGTTTCCCCCTGGACTCTGCACAATAAGGAGATTGTTCCCTGCCTGAAAGGAAAGGAAATGCCTCAAAAAGGTTTGAAAAGCATCACATTCACAACATATTTCATTCTAACAGTCCTCACCAGTAAATATGAAATTTTCTATTGTGAGTATTTTTACTTCTAACTGGCCTTTTCTGATCAGAATTCTGGCAGTTCAGTAAGTTTCCTATAAAACAGAATCCCTATATAAATCTATACAAATTCAGTGCAGTTTCAAGTCAGATTATAAGTCTAAAACTGGTGAAAGTGGCATATGCACACAATATTTCAGTTCTAGTAGTTCAGGACTGAACTCAACTCATTTGACCACACAATTAATTTTAACTACTACAATTACTACCATAAAGCACTTTTCCCAAGCTGAAATATTTTAATGACCATGTATCAAAAAAAGCATGACATTCTCTGTGATACTGTGCACCTTTGGTCTCCAAGTGCATATTACGATATTAAAGGGGGGGCAGGCATTAAAATTTTATCACTAGTCGGCTTTTACCCTAAGTCCGCTGTCAGCTGGAGGTTTTTGGCTATAGGACTATTCTGGATGAGTCTGATGCAAACATGGCTATGATAAGGCCTTTAGGCATATTTTAAAATTTAATTAGGGATGTCAAATCCGCTATGTGTTTTCATACATAAAACAGCTGCACAGCTTAAGTAAGATCATGCTACCCTGATAATTAATACAACGTTAAAATCAGTTCCATTTTAGTATGTGCGTGATGTAACATTCTGGACTGATGAACCTTGTTTTTGTCTACTTTTTCACAATGACCATTTTATTGTGTGTTCATAAATAACCATTTTATTGTGTGCTCCTAAACACTAATCCAATTTGATTGACCTCCCTGGTCATGACTACCCATTAGCATAATATTTTGCAGTGAACTCATTTTTGATATCTGTATATGCTTATTTTAAACTATTTAAGTGAAACAGCCTTTTTACAGGGTTGTGAATATGCTTTAAATTCATATTGCTCTAACATGCCACAGCAGCCTGCTCTATCGCTTTTGAATTCACTGTTTTTACTAATGCCGGTTTAAAACCAGACATGGTGCTGCTGCCAGTAACAGCACACTTCAGTGATCGTTTTATTTTCAAAACCAGTTACAACTTTGGGGTGAAAAACATTGTGTGAGTATATAGTACTGGTGGCATGCCGCTTGAGGACAGCAACAGAAAAGACTCTAGGCGTAACAGCCACATGCTCAGATTTTACATGCTTCCTTATGTTTAGAAAAAACTGCAGATACTACAAGTTTTAATTTTCCTCTTTAAAACAGTTCCACACTGCAGACATTTAGAACCCGTTCGTTACCTTACTGTGTGCCTTACCGCTGCAGGTTGTGGAATAATGCCAGGTACGGCACCGATACACCAATGGCACAGAGCGCAAAAAAGATCGGTACTCTATTGGGCTTATTTTAGCTTGTGTGAGCTAATAAAACGTCAGGATTGGACATCCCTCAATTTAACACCTCTAAAAGAAACAAGACATTTTCAGACCTTTAACAATCATAAATTTTTCAAATCTATTTTAAGATTTTATAAGACTTTCAACTGCAAGAACCTTGTAATCATCTTCTGAGATCACATGGAAATCAGGTGTTCACTACTGAGTTTTGTGCAGTCATAAAAGCACAGACATTATGCCCACATCGCAAAGCTTAATTATATGCAAAAATCTATTATAGAACTTCTGTCTGTTAGGAATTTTATTCTTCCACACACACGCAGTACTACAGTTAAATACATGTAAAAACACATAATGCACACATGATTCTGAGCCTTATTTGCAAGTGTTTTGTTCTGTAGCTACAAACTGCACTTTTGTGCAGGGAAGTCACTTTGCGCTAAGACACAGACTTTCATTCCTTTTACTGATATGCTACATATAAAACATGTATCAGATTTATTAATGGTGCAATACATAATTAACGAATGCCACATAAAAAACACGGAGCCTACCTGAATGATATTATTAGCTGTGGTTTCTATCAGCACCGTCTCCACTTGCTCAGCAGGAGGAGTTGAGGCTGGCTGTGGGGTGGCAACCTGTTTCTTCCGTCCCCTCTTTCCTTTCGCTTGCCGAGGTGTGGCAGCTGCTGATTCTGTAACAATCTGAGCTCCACCCACTTCACCCGTAGCAACACTGAGCGGTAGCGCAAGTCCACCAGACAGACGCACAACGTTAGTGTTAGAAGTAACGTTAGCATTATTCTGCCGCCGCTTTTGTGTTGATGGCTTGATTGGTACTGTCTTCTGTGCAGCAGACACTGTTGCCACAGATGTAGGAGTGGGTGTGGCAGCCTGCACAGTAACAGGTGAGGTGATAATAGCCTGGTTGGTCCCAGGAATGATCTGGATCTGTCCACCTTGGGGCATCATTTGAATGGTCTGGGCTCCCTGGATCTGGGGCACCACTTGGTACTGGATGTTGGTATTAGTTGTGCCCGCTGGGCGTGCTGGGGTCTGGATAGTGAGAAGGATGGGGCTGGCTCCTGAAGAACCTAAGCCTGCAGGCAGTTGAAGCACAGTTCCCTTAGGTGACAGGAAGGCCATATTCTTGGGAGGAGCCGGAGCAATGGGAGCAGGCTTGATGGGGTGCAGCCGACGCGTTGTTGGCTGGGCCGGTGGAGTGCTGACAGGGGCTTGGGCCGCAGGTGGGCCGATCTTACTGCAAGTTGCAGCCAGGAGAGCCAAAGGTGAGGGCTGAGAATCCTACAAAATGGATAGAAAAACCCCCGGATAAGTGAGAAAGCTTTTTTGATCTAAACCTGCCTACCATTGTGAGAAACAGATGCCGACCACACAATCAGACTTAAATAACATACAACAGAAAGTAATTAAAGCTTCAAATTAACGAATACTGCATTCTTCAATACAGGCACTGAAAGATGACTGGAAAGACGGTCACAGACAAAAGTCCGGGCACAGGGTCTACAAATCTATTCTCAGCAATAAAAACATACAACATTCTAAGGCAAATATGAACAAGAAGAGAGATTATTTGACAGTGGTCTTACTTGAGAGGTGGTGGTAGAAGGCTGGAGGTATTCACTGGGACTGACAGCAACAGTGGTAGCCATACTGTCCTTTTGATCTATGAAAAGAAAGAAACTACTGTACCAAATGACTGACAGGGAGGTGCCTTCAAACCGTTATTGTGGTTTAAATAAAGTAGTAAGCTACAGTCTTTGAATTGCTCAACAGGTGATCAATGTGGTCAGATTAAATCTCACAGGCATACTGTAAACAAACCAAACAAAAATCAATGAACATGTTCAAATGCCAAATACCAACTACTGCATAAATTATGTTAAAACATTTTGCTTTGACTCTTGCATGCATATTCACAACTATAAGCACAAAGTTAAAAGAGGTGTTACCTGTTACTACCTAGATGACATGAATCAAGAAGGCAATGATGCTGTGATGGTCATTACGACCCACGTTACTGTCTATTAGAAATTTACTTTTTGTGAATGCGTCTATGCGTTTAGATTACTCCAACCACCCAGTAGCAGTACCACCCAGCATTACTCTATAAGCTATAACTTAGACCTACACCTACACTAGCTCACCTTTTAGGGTGTTGTACTGTCAGTTTGTATATTAATCTAAGAAAGGAGTTCCATAAAGCTGCTTAGTAAGGCCACGTTGATAGTTCACAATCTTTACTTGCAAACAAATAACACCATATAAGTGACTGCTGAGAATATAGTGTTTAGAATAAACACTTTTGTTCGCGAAATGCACTCATGCATTTGACACATACGGGAGCATCATGACCCGACGAACGGTATCTGCTCCTGCATTTGACAGTTACCCGGTAACGACATCATGCCTGTAGCACCTGTGCACTCTTAAGACATGCAAGGAATCTACGAAATCCACGTAACAAAGCAGCCCAAACAATGTTAAAAGCATTGCAAAAACAGGTCAGTTTATCAAGAAAACTTCGAATCGATTTTCTTTATCTCATTTAAAAATTCTTTAAAAAGAACGCTTTGTCTGCGAATCGTCCATCGCTTACCCTACTTATTCACGGACACCTGAACCTCAAACTGAAGAACTGCTTAGCTTGCTAACTTCATAAATACGAGCCACCACCTAAAGAATGACCACTGGATTACATAGCTAGCTAACGTTATATTTACTAAACGTGGCCGAATTATTAGTTGGAAACTGAAATGCGGAGATTGGTATTAATCTCGGCATGTTATCATGTCACTCTGTTCTCTGCGATGAAACTTATTCCTCTGTGAAAACTTAAGTCGCACTAAGTTAGTAGCAGCAAGTGAATTGGCTAAATGTAGCTAGCCAGCTAACCTATAGTAAAAATGAGCCAGGTAAGCACATTTAGAGAAAGATAACGCCACAGCAATCTGCAAAAGAGTGTGGGTTTAAATTTGGAGTTGGAGCTCGTCTTTAGTGAGGAGGGGAAAAAAGACACCCTCAGTTTGCGCGCGCGGCCTGACAGACAGCGCCACCTCAAAATAAAACTAGCGAAGCTAATGTGCTAAACAGCCTATGTGCTAATCAAACACCAACGACGACGCGTTAGCTTCCTAGCGGACGAGCTAAAAAGAAAAGCTAGCTAACTGTGTTTTACGACTAACGCTAGCTCTTTTTAACTTAAATTAGATGTCGTTGCCCTTATATTACATTTCTGCGTTTTTTACAGAGTAAACAAAGGGTGAGACGTGTCCGTATGTGTGAAGAGACAGCTAAGCAAAACTCTGAACGGCTTAACCCAAATCCGTGAAACGGTAAAACTGCAAGACAAGCTGCGCTCTGCTGGCTAGCATGCTAACGAGCCTCGAACTAGCAAAGATAAACTCTTTGATACGGAAAAGCAGCCCGATTCCGGAAGTGTGCAACCTGCAAGTGCCGTGTTATAGTTCATTTTGTAACGTAAATTTGGCACTCTGGATACATAATGCACTGTAGTCAACCATGTGTTTAGTTAACAAAGTAGATAGTAATATAAACACCAACGTTATAATTCCTACCCACCGCTCATGACGACATTCGCTCTCCGTGAAGCCTTCAAGAGCAAGCCCCTGCAGGCCACCGCCTGCACCCTTCGACCAATCCGCCTGCTGGCGGGGAGCTGAAGGATTGCAGTCCTGCCCAATCAACACAGGCCATCTTCGTGATTGAGATTTACTTTGACCAATAGAATGTTTCAATGCTGCGTTGACAGTTGACGGGCGGGTGCTGGACCAATAGCTTATCTCGGTTCAGGGAAAATGGGTGGGCGTTTGGAGAGACACGGAGAGCTAGACTGAACCAATGATACGTGGTCGTGTATTTCAGTGACGGTTAGCTCACCCAGTTAGAAATGGCCGTAACATATCAATCAAAAGTAATTGACAACCATTTTGATCGATCCGCTGAAACTTGCTCGTAGACGCTAGAGCTACCTGTGGGAGGAGATGGAGATGCTAAACCTTAGGCCGTGTCTCAAAGCTGCCCCTACACCGTCCGCCTCTCCACTTCGTCTTTGCTCACTCTCGCCATCCTTCGCCATGTTGAAGTGCGTCTCAAAGCCATTAGTGTCGAGGGGGGCTGTCTCATAGAGCCCCTGGAAAGAGGCCGGATTGGTGTTGACTCACCGAACTTCAGTACCGTTTCGAAATCTCACCGAACAGAGCGAAAACATGGAGCAAAATGCAGCATAACGTAACAAAAAAGTGTAAACCTTAGCAATATGTAAGTGTAATGACACATTAATTAGATGCCTTTTTATAATGTTTTAACATTTACACATTAAAGGGGAATTCTACCGATTTTTCAGTTTCTTCATAATTCAGTCTTTGAGATGTAACAAAACATACAGAGCATGTGAAATGGTTGATTACTCAGAAACTTGCCGACTCAGATTTCTTTACAGTGATGGTGATAGGAACCAGGGGTCGCAATGTCTACAACGCAAATATAAGCATTTTATTTACTATTCAAAATGAATAGTGGCGCTCTGGTCAAATTACCTGTTTTGTTTATTTTCTGAGTAAAAGTAAGGACACATCCTCTGCAGAGAACACACTTATGCACATTTTAACGCACAGTTAATGCTTATTTGCTGAATTTAATATACTGGAGAAAAACAAAATGTGGCCTGTGCACATTTTATATTTACATTTTATTTTTTTTCCAGCATGTTAAACTCAGCAAATAAATGGAAATTGTGCATCAAAGGGCAGAAAACTGGCAGCTTGTTCCCTGTAGAGGATGTGTTAACTTATTTTGCCATAGAAAATAAACAAAATGTAATTTTACTAGGGATTTTCAAACTTTTGCATACTACTACATAATGTTGACACGATAACATGTATATCAAATAAAGTTTTTGGGGGGGGAACTGTTTTGCCTTACAACACCCTGTATGTATCTCTCTTCCATAAGTGTTTCTCTAAAAAAGTCTTAGGTCCAAAAGCTTATCTCAAAACTATCAAAAAAGAGTGTCTCAGGCATTACGTCATGTATTCATAATCATTTCATGTAAAAACTTCCTACAAAGTAGCTTTTAGAAAACTAAACTTAGCCATTAGACGTCTGGCTCCTATCACCACCACTGTGAGCAATGCTGACTTTAAAATGGAGCAAAGTTTCTTTAAAATGGAGCATTTCAAATTAAACTGAATGACTGTCTTTTATATTTTAAAGACTGAATTATATAGATAATTTTAAAAAGTTACACAATTCCCCTCCAAGGCAGTAAATTATGCTGTTTTTTGCAATTTTGTCAGTGAAATGTTAGTACAACTCAGTTGAACTATGATGAATTTTGGAGCGCCCGAAGTTCCTTAAAATGGGCAGCACGCAATGGTAAACTAAGCAGAGGCGTATCATAGAGTAGGCAGGGTGTATAGCAGAGTAAACCTTTTCTTGGTAAACTGGGATTTACTTTATTATAACAACATTTACTATGAAAACATGGTATCTCTATTGTATTGTTATGAATGTTGAGATTATTGTGAAGACATCCACTCTGAGCACCAGTTAAACTGGAATTTCTAAATTGTTGCATAATTATATTTTTATGATATCATTGAGAGTGGTGTGCACTGTTCTAGAGAAACTTGCAGAGTCAGCATTTGGCCTAATATGTACTTTTTAAAGTGTATACATTCATGACACACAGGTACATGCAGGGCACTGCAAGGCAAACTGGTGCCTAAAGTTATTTCTCTGGATTCACCAAAATCTACCTTCAGCATTACATGTAAAACTCAGAAGACACGTCTAAGTTCACTGGTTGTTTTGGATACTAAATAAAAAGGGTATATTTGCGCTGGTTCCAATCACCATCACTGTAAAGAAATCTGGTAAATTTCCCTACAGTGCAGCATTTAACACCAAACCTAAATCTGATCTACATGACTTTATTAACATCTCAACTATATAGTTTTGCAGATTTTTAGAAAAATGGAATTCCCCTTTAACTTGAGTTTCACATATGTCAGGTGTTTTAGAGAGGGTCCCTGGTAGGGCTGGGAGTCTGTAGGCACCTGAATCAATCATATATCTGTTCAGGGGGCCAAGATGCAATTACAAAATCATTCTTTTTTTGCATCTTGATTTTTAGTTCTGTTGCCTACATGATTTTTTTCCCAGTAACCTATTTGAATTTGCTTAATTGAATAGCCTGGTACTGTTTACAGTTTTCAATTAAAAAATGACTTTTTGTGCATAGTAGCAGAATCATTCAAGAGACAATCACAATGCATATAAGAATCAATTCTCACCTCAAGTCACCAGGTACACAACTATTTTTGGTAAAACTAAGGACATTTTTCTTCACGACTCATCAATAATTTTGATAACTAAATTATTGCTGTAGTGTTACATTATCTGTAGACAATTCAATGCACAGGGCAGGAGTTGATCAAGTATAATGAATGCGTTAAGCAAAAAAGGATGGTCTATCCCATCCAATGGAACTCTTATATGGATTTATATACCTCCCCTGAAACAGATTTCTGTTCAAAATCACCTACTGTCATTGTAAATCAGAGTTTGTGGATCTTATGTTCTCATGGAGTTTAGTATAATCATTGTGATTAGGAGTAAATTAGTGTTTATCTGCAGCCTCTGACAACCAGCTATTATAGTTTAGAATGGCATTTCTTCAAATCACAATCTTTGTCACTAGTATAAATATGGGTCAACACAACAATGCTAAATATAGACCTTTAGTGAAATGCATGATTAGTACTTAATCCCAGTTTGCTCGTGCCTTGCTCAAAGAATAATACAGATCAAGCATGTCAAACACGTGGTGAGAAAGAGTGCCCAGCTGTTTGGAGTAATTTCTGTATGTCTGTGTTTGTCACAATAGCTATGTTTCCATCCAAAGGGTTTTTTTTGCAACAGTTTGTCGATGTAGGCTAAGGAAAAGTAAACTGTCTGTAATATTTAAGAATGTTGATATGAATGTTTTGAGCAATTGTTTATCGATACCTGAATGTTGCAAAAGCCTCATCCAGAAGAGAAAGCATTTATGCATTAGGTCAGACAACATTAACATTAGAAGTCTTGTGGGTTACTAACAATGTAATTGATTAGGTTGTGCACATGTGGGTCGTTTCAGGACACAGGTTTGTTCATATTAATACCAGATTTGAGTCACATACCTACATGAATATGAATCATCACGTTAAAAGATTGGATCTAAGCAAAGAATCAGAATTGAGCGATAAGGCTTATAATGTGAACGCAGCCTTAGCATCAGGTGACAGATTTCCCTCACGTGCCTCCACATGAAACGCAAACAAACACAAACAGCATGGATGGGAGGCAGAACTGGACTGAGGAGGAGATAAGACCGCTTTTAAAGGAATGCTACCACTTTTACCCTTAAAGATGTCTCCTGCAAAGGTTCCGGTGGAAAAACATTAAAAATTAAAATTAAATTAACAAAATGTCTGAAGTCAGGGAAGCCAAAGCAACACAAGTTGCGACATACATGAAATTAGAGATAGAAACAGACAAGTAAAATTTTTATCGATAAACCAAAACTTTTGCAACCACAGGTTTTTGGGGTTTTTATGTAAATCATTTTTACCGCTAAAAGTCATTTTGATGAAAAAATGCTAAGCGGCAATTGTTTTCACATTTTCACTTTATCACTTGCAATTTGTGCAGGAAGTGGATGGAAACAGAGCTAATGATAACTCTATAGAACTTAACGAATGACCCATTTTAATACAGTATGTTCTGCACTGTAGTGTCATACCTGCATGCGAGTGAAGTGGAATTCCCAAGCCTTTTTCATTTTCACTCTCTTTTACTGAAAAGACAGTTCATGTGGCCTGCTGTCAGACTGAGGAAGTTACAGTACAGGTAATGGAGAAATAAAGGGGACAGCAAGATAACAGGGAGAGAAAGAAGAACCAAAACAAAGAAAAGTGATTCACAAATGTGTCCAGGTTAAAAACTCCAATGTTTTTTTTTCCCATGAGAAAGCTACAGATGGAGGTTTATTTCATAACTCCAGATCACATTAAATGTTCTATGTGTTTCATTTTCAGTCCTGTGCCTGTCCAGACTGCCAGATCAGTCTCTGGATATAATGCCAGTTTCATATGGACAGTACTCCAGCATTCCCCTGCCCACTTCTGTCTTTTTGATCAAAAATAAGAAGGGGGCAGTTCCGATGATGTTCATTGGCTTCTGCTGGAAGACTGATGGGGAGTTAGGGCAGAGCTGTGCACCAGCAGTGTCTATGCGCTATCCCATCCGCTATCCATACACAGAACACCTGAAAACACACAATTACAGTACAGTTCAAATCACAATATGCAGTGAATAAACAAGTTTTGGTCTAGTATATTTGATAACCCTTATGTTGTGTTCACATGTGTGTGGTAGACAGACGACGGCAAACCGAATATTCCATTGTTTTCAATGCAACTGCAAGAAGCAACGTTCCGCAGATCGTAGCGCTGAGCGAAATGCTCCATTAAGAGTTCAACTTTCCCAAATTTTACTGCTGACCACAGCAGTAGAATAAACCGGATTTAGATTTTTTGGGACCCATGGATGCCAAATATCTCATTGAACTAGAGATGAAGTCATTATTATACATAACCGAAAATAAAACAAGACTCAGCGTCCTTCTGCTTTTCTCCACCTTAAATAAACAGTTTACACTGCTAAAGCTTTCCTCTATGAATCACCCATTTTTGGCAGCACCATCGTCACCATGGCAGCGTTTGCACGGCTTCATGCCGTGGTCGGCCACATACAGGTATAAGGTGCGGCATGATGTTTTTTTTTTTTCAATGCAAACATTTAAACGCAGCATCAGACGTTTACAACGTGTAATTCTGTTGTACATTTACTGCATTTTACTGTAAATCTGCACTTCACAGTTTTTTTAATCATTCTTTTAACATCAAAAATTATAAGCACATGGCAAAAAGGATAGGAGACATAACTTTTTATCAAACTTAATCTTTTGCACAAAAATGGTATTGACTGCACATTTGATAAAATGTAAGAGGGGGTGTTTCAAGGCATATACACTGTGGGAGATCTTGGAGGGTTATACAGTGCTTTACGAAAGTCAGAGACCACCCTGCATTCATTTAATTTCCGATCAAAATTACCAAAAGCTTCACAACTACATATATTATCAAATTCTTCGGCATACATAAAATTGTTATATGTATGCAGCTTCCATTCCTTTCTGGAGATTTGCTTTCAGTTTTTCAAAGAAATCTACAAAGATATTTTTCAATACCTTCGAAGTTCAGTCTTAAAAGTTGGATGTATTATATGCTTCACACTATCCAAGTATTTTCATACACATTCAGTGCATTGATGTCTGGAATCTGAGGTGGTCAGTCCATTGTTCAGAGAACATGAGCTCTTTCTCTGTGTGATAACTTTTAGTAATGCTTCAGTTTTAGCTTTTTTAGCTGTTTTTAGCTAATTTTCCTTTGATGGTCCCCTATTCTTATGTAAGTGGACCAAGCACATCTTTTCATACTTTTAATCACTATAGTGTTATTAGACTATTTTATGTGAGCTGTGAACTGCAGTTGGTTTCCTGTGTTGTGTATACTAATACTTTCTGTAAAACAAAGCTTTTAATATTTAAATACAATCAGATTGTAATATATTTTTATCTAAACTTATCTAAAGTTATATCTCCTCAGAAATATCTTGTACTTGTACTTAATGGCTTTTTAAATGGATAAATGAATGAAAGGTGGTCTCTGACTTTTGTCCAGTTTCTGAACGATTCTTACACGAACATGGCTCTTCCGGCTACGTCTCAGACTCTGGCTCTTGCTCCACGCCTGCCATCTGGCGCATGCCTTTGATTGACAGATACATCTCTTCCTCTGGGTCGTAGTAGTAGAACTTTCTCAGGTAGACAATGAGCGGTCTGGAGAAAGAAAAAAATTACAATTTCAATGCAGTGTAAGCAAAACTAGTGGCAGAGAACAATAAGGAACGACAGGTGAGATAGCACAGTACTTTGGGAGAGGGAGTTCCTGGATGTGATCTATGCGGACGAGCTGTCGGATACAGAAGCGGCAGAGGTGCTGCAAGGACTTGACATTGCAGAAGCGAGAGACTGGATACAGCAGCTGCACTGGAGTTGGTGGGAGCCCTGAGAGATGGAGACCAGACGTTAAGCCCAGGGGGCAGAAAGACTACTGAAGTAAAGGTGCTGCTACAGTACTAAAAAATTCACTTGAATAAAAGAGAAAGTATCTACAGAAAATGACTTGGGTAAGAGTTGTTTATTGTAAAACTACTCAGCTAATTACTTGAATTACATTTAAGTTAATATTTGTCATCCAGCAAGAAGCTCCAATGCTCAAGATGTACTGGGTTTATTTGCTACCTAAGCTAACCCATTAGTTTGCCTAGAATGTTAACTTACTAGCTAACAGACACTTACCACAGAACACAAAAGCAACAGTTTTAGGTTTAATAAAAGCTGTTATCAAGCATGGTAAAAAAATAAAAGTGGGTAAACTCTAAACTTTACTTAATCACATAACAGCAGAATTCTTATACCAAACACATCTTTTCATCCTTTTAATCACTATATTGCTACAGTTTTATGTGAGCTGTGAACTGCAGTTGGTTTCCTGTATTGTGTATTCTAATACGTTCAATATTTAAATACAATCAGGTTGTAATATTTTCTTGTTAAGTTCTAATATGAAGTAGCCACTGACAGAAACCTAAATAACTGGGACTGAGAGAATGGTTAAAAAGAGCAAATATTTAGGAAACCCCATTAAGTGAGAAAACTGGATAAAAAGTGAGTAATTAGAAGGGTAAACAAATGACGTTTCAAATTTTAAAATGGTATGCATACAGTGTTTACTCTCCATCACATCCCTGGCTGTTATTCTGAAACAACAAATTAATAAGCCATTTATGCTTCCTCATGCTTTATTAGTCTGTTACAATTATAAAATATTAAAAAAATACTTGTTGAATTCGTTATTAGAAACATATTCAACTACTATTATATAAAGGCTATACTATGTAAGAATTGGGGATTTGAAGACCTCTCTGGTGGAAATGTGTAATTGCACACAACACATGGAAAATCATTTTGTAACATGAAATGTGCTTTGAACCGAGCAGATGAAACTGATGATTGCAAGCGCACTGAAAGAGTATTCAAAGAGTCAAAACTTGGTAAATGACATGTCTTTCTAAGATGTGATATCTTCTGTTGTCATTATATCTTTATCAGAATAACACTGATTTTTCATTTGAGACCTAAACATTGAGCCACATTATGTGTAACATTAACATGTAAAGACAAATAAAGTGGTCTGAAAAATTCTGGCAAAATCTGACCAGACACCTCTTAATTTCAGGCTTTAGAGGGTAACTCGCAGCAGTGTGTTTTTTTTCAGTGATGCTACTTCTTTTAGTTTTAACATCTTGAATTGTAATCAAAAAGTAATGTTACTGAGAAATGTTCTTAAATACAGTAGCAAGAGTAGTTTTAATTTGTTACTTTCCACCCTGGGTTAAACCACTAGGATTTTATGGCCCACAGTCTATGCACATACATAGAAAAGTGTAACTCCACCTACACAACATACATACAATATAAAACAGCCATAACATCATGTCAGTTTAATATACTAATTTTCCACATGATCAGCCCTGTGACTGGAGATGTAATACAACCTACAGAGAAGAGGACATTAAAGAAGCATTACCTGGAACACGTGACCGCAAGAAGTAAAGGAATTTTCCATTTTTAGAATGCATGATGGCACGCTCAATGAACTCCACCACAGAATGGCAGCGGTCTTCAAACTTTGGATGGCACCATAAGCTGAAGGTCCCTAAACACAGAACAGCAAATAGGTAAATCTTTCCATATAAATATGTGTGTTTTTGTGTATGTAGCAGTCTGTTGCTTCTGTTTACCTCTATAATGCTCCATGCGTGTGTGGTGTGTGACCCCCTGCGAACGAAAGCTGAGACTGAGAATATATCGGGGGTCCGAACTGTCCCGCACCAGAAAAGAGCCATCAGGCTTCCCTTTCAGCTTCAATTCAGCATCCTCCCAGTTCATGGGCCCCCAGTACCAGCCACACTGTGGAAAAAGAGACGCATACATACAAGTTTCCCTTTCGGGCTGTTCCTATTGATTGATCATACAGCAAATTCATCAGTGCCAAGCCGACAACCATGGCGTACATCTAAAAATAGCACATTGTTTTTAAAGGTACTGGACAGCAATTCGTACCAAGAAAACTCTTTCTAGAGAATGCACTGATGGACTTACTTTACACAATGTCACACAATTCTACAATGCCTGAGTAGATAGTGACTTAAGTATGTATGTTTCAAGTATTTCATAGTGCAGGAACAGGATCTTCTTTTCATATCATTAAGTTCAGTAGAACTCAAAAAGAAAATTTTCCTGAGTGAAAAGAAGTTAACACATCCTCTTTGGCCCATGTGTCAAACACAAGGTCCGCGAGCCAAGTCAGGCCCGTGACACAGTCCTATCTGGCCTGCAAAAATATTTTAATTTTCTATTTTTATTAGCCCGAATCACAATAAGATGCATTACAGTCCCCAGCATGCACTGCAACATAGTGTGCGTTCTGACCCCCTTCCCCAAACAACAATCTATGGACCAGCGGTTACACAAACAGAAAAGATGCCTAGTGGTGTCTAGTTTAAGCAAATAGGCAGTGGTGTCTAGTTTAAGCAAATAGGCAGTTCTAAAAAAAACTACCCCAAAAAATGGATTTGCTGAGATTTCTTAAAATGGCCCTTTTAGTGGTTAAATTTGTCACTCCTGCTCTATAGCGGTCTTGAATATGGCATTTTTTCTGCAAATTTTAGTGCACAATTTCTATTTATTTGCTACGAAAAAAATAAAACATACAATATAAAAGGTGTCATAACTTTTACACAGACCATTGTATTTTTTCCCCCAATATGTTAAATTCAACAAAGAAACAGTACTTGTGCATTCAAATATGTAGTACTGTGTTCTCTGTAGAGGATGTCTTTTTTTTACAATCAGAAAATCAACAAAACATGTAGTTAACCTGGGGCGCCCATACTTTTGCATACAACAGTATCTACTCCTATACAGGTTTACATTCTCACCCGTTCTAGTTCCCTCAGACTAGCTGTGAAGCTGCTGGAATCAACTCCCCTCAGAGGACACAGATTTGGAGGTGGGGCCACTCGGGATGGGGGCGGAGTCTCCATTGGCGATGGTGCAGAATGAGGAAGTGCTCGGAAGAAAGCATCTGGAACACAAACAAATAATATTTACCTATATATAAGAGGCTTTTTTTTCTGAGGTTCAGTGATTGCTTTACGATAAGAACTATGATCTTGTAATCTATGGGATGGAGCTTAGACCAGAAAGGGCCAATAGAGATACCATACTACTAGAAGCCCATTGGGACACTAGCAGAAATTAGCATTATTATAGAAGTGGCTTTTTTCCTCATGTTTTCCCACCTAGAGTTTGACATATATATCCCAAATTAAAGGCCTAGCTCTAATAGTCACGGTTCACCACTGTGTAGTACAAATACATTCATGACTGCAAAAAAATACTAATAAAAGAGCAGTATAGACCTATGTGTGCCTGTTAAGAATTTTATATTTCATTTATGTCTTTTCGAATTCAGTATATCCTAACGCACTTGTCCTTTTCATCTGTGGTTGCTGCTGTCACGCAGTGCTAAACCTGAAGGGGAATTCTAAATATTTTTCAAAATTTCTGCATAAGTAAGAAAACATATTTTTTGGGTTTACTGTTTTACCTTTATCAACATTACATATAAAAACTCAAAACACATGCCTATGCTCACTGTTCATTTTGGATATGAATAAAATAGCCATATTTGTGTTACAGAATAGACAGTAATCTGAGTCCATAGGTTTTTCTAAAACACATCATTTCCCATCTTTCTATAAATTTGTACATCCCAACGACTCAGTTACACAGAAATGTTGAAAAATTGGTTCCTCTTTAACTTAGGCCTGTACATTCTAGCCTGCACAATCCCATTTCATGTCAAAAAAGAAAATTTTATTTTGTATTCAAGAGTCTCATGGAGCTCCGGTTTCCTCCCATAGTCCAAAGACATGAAGTCAGACCAATTGGACACGCTAAATTGCCCCTAGGTGTGAATGTGTGTGATTGTGAGCGTGAATGTGTATGTCTGTCCGTCTGCCCTGCAATAGACTGGTGACCTGTCCAGGGTGTATCCTGCCTTCCCGCCTAATGACAGCTGGGATAGGCTCCAGCACACCCCGGCCCAGAAGGATAGGCGGCTTAGAAAGTGAGTCTCATGGAACCGAAATTAGCAAAGACCAACAGCGGTTCAGTTTTCCAGCATCCACTACCGGCCAGGGTCCTATTGCAGCCCAAACTGCACCACTTGCCTGATTTGCCCCTTGCATGCACACCACTGTCACACATGCATAGAGCACATTACTTTTACCAGCACCAGCCAGGTTAGTTGAGCGTTAACAAAATGCCCATATTCCCTAATTATAATTATGTATGGATGCTTGGTTGGTATGCTATCCTGCATGTTCATCAGTGAAAACACAATTTTAAGGTGTGAATATCTACCTGTGCGGTTTTGATTTGTTTATGATAGTGTTCTAAGCCATGTGTGCTGCAATAACAATAGCATGAACAAAGCTGGGTAAAATAAAGGCACACTACACAGGTGTTAAAATACACATGAATAGTGCATTATATATCTGATAAAAAGGTATTTAAAAAGTGCTGGCGAAAATTAGCCTTATCTTATGTGACGAATGGATAAACAACCGCTGCTGATATAATGACTCCTGCATTAAACAATGCTTTACAGTGATAAGTGTGGGTGGTGTTCATTGTTCTGCTAATATTATAGCAGATCTGATGAAAGACTGTATGTTTACCAAAGCTAATCTGACAATGCAATGTCATAAAAAGATAAGCATGTGTGGTACAGACTGGGTAGTGTCGTCAAACACAATGTGTGGTGTGCATGCAAATCGGGCAGGGACACAGTTCAGGTAGCCACAGGCCCCGACGAGAAATAGCAGAGTGATGCTATACCTAGCTAATATTAGAACTACAACAGTTATTACTGCCAGCATGGCTACAGAGCCTACAGAGCAAAGAAAAATAGTTTTGCATAGTTTTTAGGATGACGTCACTATGTGCATCATCTATAAGTTACTTAAAATTTCAGCACCTCCCCTAGCTTGGCCTGTTTGATCCTTTGATGTCCAAGGTCAAGCTGAGACTTCAACATGTGCTTGCTTCAAGTAGCCAGCTTTCCTCTGATTTACTGTGTTTCCTGTACGTCTGTGGTCTCTGCTACATGCTGATATGTACAGAGAGGTTGCCTGCTGTTGTATGCAAGTCAGCCAGCCTCTCTGATGCAGGAGAGTGCACACTTGTGGCTCTCTCTGCTCTCTGTTGAGTCACCATTGCCCCACCTCAGCTGATCAACAGTGGAGATCTCAGTTCTGGGAAGTCCCTGGGAGAGTATCTTCCTCTCATCTCTTGGTTTGTGCAAAGTCCATGTTTAAAGAAGCACAAAGGGGGGGAATTCCTCTGTGAGAGAATGGTCTTGCATTGTCTCTCAGATCAACACCCTAAAGCTGAAAGCGTATCTTCAATCCATCAGCATAACTACCGGCAGTACATGCACAGCAATTACATGTTTACTGGACCCCTTATATCACTACTTATACAATTTTATACTGATGAATCATGAGTAGATTCGATAACACATAATACAGTGTAACATATTTCAGCCTTTAACCCACATTATGGCAATAACTTAGACATAGCATGGTGGGTAAACAAGCAAATTACAATGTCCTTTTGTAATAGGTTGGCCTTTAAGGTAATTATGCCACTACTTCTGTCCCTCTATTATCACTTTTCTGCAACAACTGAGAAGGTATCATGTTCTCTTGTGAACAAATAGCATATTAGTGGTGAGCGGAGCAAGTCACCCTCTCCACCAAGTTATACTGGCTTCCATTCATTCGTAGTGAGTGTTCTTTTTAGCTGGCCATTGGGCTGGCTAAGTGAGATGATCCCCTGCACTGTGCTAATTGATAAGGTTGTTTTTGGTACACTGTATTCTGCCATCTTGTCGTAAGACAAACAAGGCTTTTTTTACTGTCTAAAGGGATTTACACAGTAAGAGATGTAACCCTCAGAGTGTTTAGTTGTAGCACCAGCTGCTTCGTCCTGACTATAGATAGTCTGTTTAAACTTTTGTTGTTTGTAAACTTTTGTGTTTGTTTTGTTGGTATATGATCTATCCCCACCCAATTTGCCTTCTGTGAGTGTTGCTGGTTTCTGGCAAGATGTTCCTCAGCTTGACCTTCCAGCACAAGAGATGAGCCATATTGACCCTTGAGCCAATCTGCTTGCTGCATGTAACAAAACGTCATGTTGCATATGCAAGCCTTGTTTAGAGAATACAAGTATGCTGACTGGCTTTGCTCCCTTTGCGCATCTTTAAACATGGGCTACATGGCAGAGTAAGAATTTGATACAAATTTATGTAAGTCAGTGGCTGGTTCTCAGAAATAATATTTCACCCAGTAGATAACAAGATGCTAATCACCAGAAAGGCTGAAAATAGGGCTGCAATGATTAGTCAACAAAATTCATTCATCATTGATGACGTCAATTACAGAAAAATGTTAACGCAAACTTTACTTAAAGAACAAAAGTGCTCTGTGGTGCTCTAAAACACCTCCAATAGTGTTCAGTTAGGCTTTTACTGCAAAACTGCAATAAAGTAAAGAATATGCCACTTAAACGTCTGTTACAACCTTCAAATTTCAAATTCAGAAGTGAATGTATATCACGCTAGCTTAGCACTTAAATATTTACTATTAAACACTACTATGTAATGGCATACATGGCTGTGAAAAGTTCACAAAATGATTGAACCATTAAAGATTTCTCAAAATGTATTGGATTTTGGCATTAAAATGACTTTAAAACACTTAATTTTCTTTAATTAATTTGCCACACCTTATTTGCAGATATCCTGCTAATTCATATTTTAAATTCTACAGTAAGGAACAGAGCCTGATGGGCACACATATTTCTATGTATTTTTACCATGTAGTACTTTTTCAAAGGTGTCCTTTATATTTTTCCAGTAGAGTATTTTGCAGTCTTCGAAAATGAATTGTTCATTGTTTTAAACAAAACACTGATTACTCTATTAATCGCCAAAATAATAGGTCGATTACTCAATTACTAATATAATCAATAGCGACAGCCCTAAGAAGCTAAGGGGGACGACATGGCTTCTTTTTCACTGCATTGCAAAAAAGGAATTGCTCAATTAAGCTTTGAATGATGGTGGTGCTATAACGAGCCAAAGTGAGAAGAAACAGCAGATGGTTCAATTAGCCAATTAATTCAGTTATAATCTATAGATTAATCGATTACAGCAATAATTGTTAGTCGCAGCCCTACTTAAAAATAGAACATATAAATATGCTCACCCAGTCTTTCAAATGAAGTCAATACATGCACATAGTATTTGCCACCTTAGCATCTCTGCACTTCTATTTGGTGTTTCATGGAGTAAAAGTGTTTCCAAGGGCAGAACACAAGACGTTGGATTTAACAGAAAAAAATGGGGGGAGAGAAGGTTGCAGTCTGCTCTCAGAACCAGAAAGGCTCCCTAAAACACCAACACACGCCTTCCCGCCACCGCACCCTTACCATTGAGGCTGAGACTATGCTGGATGGTGGCATGGAGGGGGGGAGGAGGAGGAAGAGGCAGGGGGAGAGACTGCAGGGACGCCCCCATGACACTCACTAGGAAAGGCCCGGGCTGCGGCCCACCTATATCGTCTGGAACAGAGTGGCAAAGTTTCAGAGACCAGGAGGATGACGTTACGGTCAGGGCTGTTGGTTTAGAAGTCAGTGACGTGCCACAGAAAGCAACAGAACCTTACTTATGAACCTAGGAAAGGTTCATACAGTTGGTTTGCAGTTACATGTATACGATTTTAATAATATCACTGTCTTCAGTTGTACTTTGTGGTTCAGAAGAGGTTATCTGAAACATACAGCCATAATACAAGAGTGTAAATACTAGGCTAGGTTTAAAGGAGAATTCTACTAATTTTTAAAACTTTCTGCATAATTCTATCACTGAGATTGTAGAGACACTTACAGACTCTGATTTCTTTACAGTGGTGGTCAAATGAACCAGAGATCATGATGTCAACACAAATATAGTCATTTTGTTTACAGTCTAAAACTACCAATGAACTTACACGTCTTCTGATTTGAATATGTAATGTTAATGATGGTAAAATAGTTGTAAATCTGAAAAAAAATATTTTGTTGCATGTATTTTAAAAATATGTTACAGGCTAAAACCTTACCTCAAAAATATCATAAAACAATGTCTCAGACACCAGACAGTGTGCTCATAACCATTTACTGCAATAGCTTTCTGTGATGTTGCATTTGGAGGCATTAAACTCATCAGACATCTGGTTCCTGTCACCACTGTGAACAATTCGGACTTTGTAAGTTTCTTTACAACAAAGCACTTCACATTAAACCACCATGAATGACTTTGTTTACATCTTTTTAACCATTTAATTATAAAGAAAATTTAAAATAAAGGAATTCACCTATAACAGTGTTATAGATCATACCAACTGTGCTAAATAATCAGAGTTTTAAAACAAAATTGCAATACCAATTCCACATAAATAGTATTTAGTAAGTTCTCCTCTTTACGTGCAAAGCAAATAATGCAGATGTAACATGTTTTAGCTCAAACTGTCTAAACCACAGAACAACTGGGCAAATCCCTTCAATTAGATGACACTACAAGTCATCCACAGTCTGTCATCTTATCCTCTTACGGCACGTGCAGTAAGACTGACAGGCCACAAATCACAGACTTCTGCAGTATGATACAATTTGTAACAGAACAAAGGGAAGCATCTGCAAAAAGTGAGAACACACACACTAGCTGTGATGGAAAATGATTTTATGAGATGGCAAAAAAATGTGCCAAAATGTAAATTCTGCAACTCATTGTTTTAATCAATATTAGCAAAATAAGATTAATCTAAAATTATTCAAAACATCTTTAAAGACAAACTGGGAAAAGGTTTCCTTAAATAAAAACAGACAGAAAGCATCTAATCATGACCCACAGCTAATCCTGTCCCTTGCTGACCACAAAGACCATGTCGTCATACTGTGCAATCAACTATAGGATACCATCAGCGTGGAGATTATTCCTCTTTCAATCCCAGCAACCACAATGAGATCCAAGCTGACGGACCAAAATGCTGCGTAAGAACGTCTTCCAAATAGTGTCATTCTAGCTCAGCTGGAGAAATGGTTTTGAACCACTTATTACATTAGAATATGCAAAAAGAACAACATCACTCCTTAGAACTGATAATGTGAATTGGTTTTTGTTTGTTTGTTTGTTTGTTATGAACCCTGCAATTTATTTATACTTGCAGACAGATCTCAGACAGACGGACTGATGGGAAAGTGGCATGAAAGTAAGACAACGATACGTGGGAGAGATATGTGGAGAGATGGCGAGATATTTGCCAAGCGAGACATTCTGAGAATGTCAACAATGATGGCAGACAGTAGAAAAGATGTGAGATAAGCAAAGAAGATAGACAGAGAAAGAGAGAGAGGCTCTGAGAAGACAAAAACCGAAAGAGATCAAATGAGTAGCTGTTTATGTGTGTGTGTGTACCTAGAAGGCTGAGACTCCTGCGTGGTGGGGGTGGGGGTGTTGGGGGGTGAGGAGAGTTTCTCCCTCTCTGGGAAATGTCCACGTCCACCAGCGACACTGTCTCTCCTTCAACCAGCGAACAAAAAACAGGAAAAAGGGAAAAAAAGATTAAGGATATATAATAACCTTGATTATTTGCTGTAACCTTTTTCTGCAGGCCCCCTAGTGGTCATTCCGCAAGTGGAGTGGACATTGATTCAATATTTTTAATCCAAGTAATAACAAAATAAAATAAAATATTTTCCCTGTACCTCTTTTCAGATTAACCAGGATACTATTGGCTCTCTGTGTAAAATACTTTGACTCTGTGTTGAGCTGCTAGTGATCAATAAAGGCTGAAAGAGGAGGGGTGAGAACTCCCTGCTGTGAAAACAATTCCTAACTTTCCACAAGGGCAGCTGTGCCGAGACAAAATGGACAGCACAACTGCAGCTTTTTTGAAATCAAAAAATCGTGTACAGCTGACACAATCAAAAATAGCATTTAAAAACAATAACAAATCTTTTATAAATGTTGATGTGCTTGCTTATCTACAAAGACATCCAGTTCACTTCAACTAAATTCAACTGAGGGACCTCCAAAACAGGCAGAAATTGCATGTAGCTACTGTGAAAAAAGGGTTAATCGGTCAAACTCTAACTGCTAGTCTACTGAACACATCACTGCTTTCTTCTTCTTAAAAAAAAAAGAAAAGAAATGACAAAAGAGACAGCTAAATCAGCAGTGGAAAACTAGTTAACCTGTTCAAAACAGGGTGGCTAACAGCTTTTTCTAATATCTGGATTTTTTTATTTAATTAATTTGCTATAACAAAAAGCTGGCCAGCTACTGATAAACTGAAAACAAAAGATTTTATCTTAAATGCGACAATCATCACAGTTAATGTGCTACAAACATACGCTTGCAAATTATGTCACTGTCAGCATCTCTTACTGCCCACCTGCTCGGACATATTGCATATTTTTCAGTGTTTCACTGCAACCTCCTAAAGTGCTCTTTTTTGTTTCCTCTGTGCCGCCTTTTGCTTTTTCTTTTGCTTTGAGACTCTTGCTGTCCATAAAGGAATGATTCACATATGGATATCATTACATTGTAATTCACATCACCGTGCCTGTTTTAACTCCTACTTTGTTGTAATGTTTACAGTTTGTGTGTCCTTGTATTTATATGTGTGGGTTTAAAAGTTAACCCACAGTAACAAGCCCATACTGTGACCATCTAACCATGAATTCTCCTGAAACTACCACTAACAATTACTCACTCAAGCATTGGACATTGTGATGTTGCAAAGTAAAACTGTGACCGTGTGCACCACGGAGAATGGACATTATATTAAAGCCATTAATTTTGCAACTGCATTTCAAACACCAATGGACTTAAATGAACAGCATCAATCAAGTCACTCCAGCGCTCCTCCTTTCTGCTCTAATGTGTAGTGTCCAAATCTGTGTCTTTAGTTTTGCGCTGAAGCTAAACGGCTAATGTTGCAAACAAGTAACAGAAGCTTATGACCACCAATTAGCAGTGTGCAAACTGCATGCCTCAAACTGCTTTGAGTTGTTAGTTAATCTCAAACAGACTTGCTTTTGTGGTTTCCGACACTGTATGATTTACTGTTATCATAACATGGATAAAGTATGGACAAAATTAAGGCTTCAAGACACCAAACACATACTGATCAGCCACATTTGGGGTAACAAGAAAATAGCAAATTAGACTTTGGCCTTTGCTTAAAATCTGCATCTTTGTGTCATTAAAATGTAAGTTTCAATGTTGTGTATTTGAAACAAAATAACCATAATTTAATCTTCAAAGAATAGTCCAAAAAAAATTAAAACTACCATCTTTTGTGCTTCCGAAAGTAAGATATAGTGACCTTCAATAGGCTTCTTTGGGGCATAAAATGAAACATCAAAATTGCTTTTCGGAACTCCAATAGACCACTACCTCTACAACACAATATTCTCCTTGTTATGGAGAGACCTGATAAAGAATAGAGCATGTGCAATCTTATAACTTGAGACTATTGATCATTTTAACCTGTCCTCCCTCTAAAGAGAAGGAACACAGGCATCTAAATATGTCCAGAATACTAGCTATCAAGCTATTGTTATGTTAAACAATACTGTGCATATGTTAAAGGAGGTGTCCAGTATGACAATATTTAATCATTATTGTAATAAGCGTTATCATCATGACAAGCAATATGATTTTCTGAGCATATTGTGGATATTGTTAGTAAAGAACACAGACCAAATGCATGTTTTGTCAAAAAAATACATAACTAAAAAAAAGAAGAAATAAAAAGACATAATTGGACTTACTACAGTACAGTGGATTGTTGAGCAAAACCCAGAGTTTTTGGTGGCTGTTTATTAAATGTGGCACTACTGGTGCACTGTATCTGCAGTAAAATGTTGTGATACACATCGTGTATCGTAAAAATGTCTAAGTATCATAATATGATATTTTTGCCACATCACCCTCCCTTATGTTAAAGTAGACCATTATGAACCGGAGTTTTATGTCCGATCTAAGTCTTTGGATTTTTGTGCTGCGTCCTTATTCAGAAGAGCTCAGCTCACAAAAACTTCATTCAAATAATTTTGAAAAACTGAAGATTGAAACAAAAGTGTATTCTTTAAGGAAAAACATTGAAATATTACTTTAACTCCTCAAACCCTACTCCTAGTGCTAGGGGGATATGGCAAAAATAAATTTTCATGATACATAATAAGTATCACAATATTTGTTTTTCTGAGGTTTAATGAGCTGGAGTGCACTTTATGAAAAATACTATCCAAAACTATTACACTGATTTTTAATTTAATGTTTCACATACTGCACTGCACTAAATCCAACTAAGCAGGGCTAATTAAGCTCTCCTTAAAATTTCAGTTGGTCGGTGTTCTTTAGGTGCTGACAATATCCACAGTATGGTCAGAAAAGTGTATTATGAAATATTGTCATGTAATTTATCATGATACAATAACATCTAGTCACACTACCCACCCCTACCTACTCCTTTCAGCATTTGCTCCTTACCAGTGAAGACAGGAGTGAAAGCAGCAGTAGAGAAGGCACTTTGGGCCCTTGTTAGTCCATGTTGGCTGGGGGAAGACAGATGGTGTGAAAAATTATTGCAACACAAAGATGATGTAAGAAGATATGGACTATACTGTACTGGGAAACGTATCAGCATTTTATTTAACATCCATGCTGCAGTATACACACTAGAACAGAATAAGTAAAATGTATCACTATTCAGCTCTTCATGGCCAATTTCTGAAGGGCTTTGATGCTGGATGAATGTGGATGTTTCTGAACCATTACTTTACAACCAACAGGGCAAACTTTTATAACTCAAGGAAATAAATCTCACCTGGTTGTGTCTTGCTCCACACTGTTCACTCCTGACATGTCCACCAAACTGCCGGCTGAAGATATGGAGAAAGTAACCGAAGGTCTTTTATCCAGCAGGTTATTAGAGCCACTACAGCTTTTAGTTCTGAAAAGTTTGCTCAGACGAATTTTAAGTGACCCTTTCCTGGATTTGCCCGGCACTTTGAGTGTCTTCTGGCCTCCACCGCTTGCTCCTCGAGATGAAAGCGTCCCAGTGCTCCTTTTAGGGCTTGAAGCCGGCGTGTCCCGGCGCGATTCTGGTGCTGGGACGTCTGGTGAGAGTCTGTCAGCAGGACTGGCCTGAGCCCTGGGGACCAAAGAGCCCCGCAGCAGGCAGCACAGCTGCGGGTCGTGGCATGCCGCGGAGCAAAGTGCTCCGCTCACCCCGACAGCCTGCGCCGACAACATCGTTGGCAAACATTTCAGGGCAAAGGCGCCCGCCACCTCACTCGCTAGTTCCCCCTTCACCTGCCCACTGCCATCCCCATCCTGTGATCCGGTGTGGCTCTTCTGGCCCACTCCCAGGCCGTTCACCTCCTCAGAGGCGAGGCCTTCCAGCACCAACAGGGCGTCGCTGGTCTCTGTCGGGTCCTCGCCCTGCCTGACCCCGGCCGCCGCTGCCGCAGCCGCCGCCTGACCAAGGGCACTTTGGCAAGAGCAGTGTGGCAGGTCGCCCTCCTTGAGCAGGAAGTCGGGGACGCCGGCGACCCCCAACTGCCCGAATGTTCTCGCCAGTTCCAGAACAGGCCCGTCAGTCACCCATTTGGGCGAAAGTGGGGTGCTGGCGTCTGGCGCTGCCGCCACAGGCCAGTCCGTCCGCTCCTTGACCATAGCATGCCTGTGACACAGTTCGGCCCCTGGCACGTCCAGTTTGAGCCGCGGGTGGAGCGCCCACGGCGTGTGCTGTCGCGCGTCCACGGCGCCGCCTTCCCGCTCCTCGTTCACAACGGCTCGCGCCGTCTGGCCGTCCGCGGGGCCCGTCGCGCGCTGTCCCTCGGTATCGTCGCAGCCCTCGGACTCTCGCGGCAGGTTTCGGAACACCAGCAGCTGAGGCCCCGCCATCGCACCTCTGCGCGCGGCCTCGGCGGCGTGAAGCGGGGGAGGCGCCACGGGCCCCGTCGCCGTCACTCGGCCGTCAGGTGCCTCGGGGCCGCCGGGCCGCGGCGCTTTGTTGTTCGCCGCCACCGCTGCCGCCGTTGGGAGGAGGGCAGTCGTGGGCGCCCCCCGCGCGCGCTCCACTTTGCTCTTCACGCCGCCGTGAGCCAAAAGCGCTCCGCCGCCCGACGGCACGGTGCCGTTCTCCTCGTCCAAGCGGCGGTCGTCCTCGGCCGCGGAGACCAGGCGCATCAAGACGAAATCGGGAGACATATCTCGCGCGTCGTTCATTCTTCGTCCTAGGTGCACGGAACGGGAGCGAGCGAGCGAGATCAATGCGTTTCACATCGCCCCCCAGTCTCGAGGCATCAGGCTCGGCTAGTGCACCATAATGGAAGTCTTAATAATCCGCTCGCTCGTGGTGTTTTAACCCGCTCTGCCCTCCGCCACAACGAATCACAGCACAAACCGCTCCGGCCGCTCGTTCAACATCGCACGACCGTCACGGCGGCGCCGGATATTTCCACACAACAACGGCATTTACAGGCCGATCTCGAACAAAAAAACAACAGCGGGTCCTCACAGGGTCATCTATAACGCTTCATTGAACGGGCTGCTTGCGCGTCTCTGCTCACATTACCGTCTCTACGGCGCACACACAGGCCCCACCCGCGCGATAGGCTGGCTTTTTTCCCCACCCGTATTCCGACAGGCCGCGCCACGATTGGCTGATAAGCGCTTGTGACGCTTCCTGCGCTAAGATTTTGTGTTATAGTTTCAGATCGGTTCGGTTTTTGGAAAGTACTTTTCAGTTTTACAGGGGTTTTTAATAAATACTTTTTTATGTTTTTATCCTCAAACACACCGTTAGCTTAGAGGTATCAGAACTTAACGGTCATCAAACAGACAAGAATTCAGTGCATTTTGCACAGGATACGAAGTAATTCTGCATATAAATGATCCGTTTATGAGGTGTTTGTGTAACTTTGTTCTTGAATGATAATCATCGTGTTGTAGCTCTAGTCAAAAATACTTGGTCCTCTGGGTTAAAGGGGAACTCTACATTAGTAAATGGTTGAGTTGTAAACAAAGTCATTCAGAGAGGTTTGGTGTGAAATGCTCCGTTCAAGAGAAATTTATCAAGTTAAAACTGTTCACAGTGGTGGTGATAGGAACCAGACGTCTGAGGATTTTAACACTTCTAAAAGAAAGTTATTACGTGAAATGGTTAGATATAAGCTGTCTGATGTCTGATGCCTTGTTTTTTGATAGTTCTGTGACAAAGATTTGGCTTAAAATGTATTTTAATCTATTTATTTTAATTCATTAATAGAGGAGGAGTACACATGGCATTGTACGGCAAAATAGTCCCCAAAGATAATTCAGATTTACCACTACTTTAACATTATCAACATTACATATAAAACTCAAAGGAGTAGATTCACTGGTGGTTTTGGATAGTAAATAAAATAGCTATACTTGGGTTGTAGACATGATGACCCCTGGTTCCTATCACCACCACTGTAAAGAAATCCAAGTCTGCAAGTGTTTCTACAATGAAACACTTCACATCAAACCTCTCTGAATGACTTTGTTTACATCCCGAGGACTGAGTTATCATAAATTTTCAAAAATTGGTGGAATTCCCCTTTAATTGTTGGATCATCTCTGAAGTCCTGTCGCATTTTGTTGTCAGCATCATGTCCATATTAGGAATTCTGGCTGTAAAGCCAGTTTTGCCTATGTGAAAAAAGAATAGCACTTTTAAAAACTATTGCAATCATGCCCTGTGGTAAACAAAAAATGTTTTGTGACATTAGGGGGGAAATGTACACAGGACAAAATGTGTTATTAATTTATTTACAAATATTATTTAAAAATAGGGATTCATTGTACGCAACAATTACTGTATAAACCTAAAGTGGCCAGATTAGCTGTTTTTTTGCCTTCTGCTTGTTATCTTGCTTCCTACTTGTTGATATTTATTTGCTACTAAATGATGACAGACACATTACTCACTGCTGCCCTCTAAATGTAGCCAAGTCATGGCAAGTCAAGTGATTGTCATTGCTCAAGATAACTTGTATGCACTGAAATTAAATGCAATTCTTTAGGCCCCATGGTGCACCACACAACAGCAGCACATTACACAGGACTACATAAAGTGCAGATACACAACAGTGTGAAATGAGTGCAGAATTTACTATAAATAGGCCAAGTTCAAAATGGCAAAAACCTTAAGGTTTTAATGGCCTTAACAACAAATTATTCATTGGTAATTTATCCAGAATTTAACAAATAACTAAACTAACTAAAGTATGGGATAGCCTTTCTCTTTGATGTCTTTAAATGTTGAAGTCTTGTGGGTAAACTTGCAGACACCCTTTTACAAAAAGGAAATTATTTTGTATGTATATTTTAGCAATACAGTTTTATCGTGATCTAGAATACTTGTGTAGTTTTGTGTAGTAAACTATAGTAGTTTTCTGAATTTGCTCTAAGACTCTCATAGGAATCCTGTAGAAGTTCATGCAGAATTACTTTTCTTCTCTCCCCTCGCAGTCAGTGTAGCCTTTTGCTGCTTCTCCTCAGCGCTAATTACGTTGAAAATATCTCATGCTTTTAAAAACGTCGACAATAAAAAACATATATAACCTAGCAAACTGAAATACTACATTCTGTCAGTTGAAGCTAATTCGGTCAGTGTCCTATTTAAACACCGCAAAACACCGAAATTTCAGCACCTCTCTAAGCGCGAGCTAGGATTGGCTAGTAGGATAGTAGGCGATCCCGCGTTCTGTGCTATGACTGGACAGTATGACAAGCACTCGCGAGTACGAACCGTTGGCCAATCAGCGCAAGAGGCGGGACTTGTCAGAATATGGGTGGGAAAAACAACCATAAGGCCCCACCCGCGCATTCACTTCCGCAAACCGGCCGCGTTCGGTGTTGGTCCGCTCCGCTCGGCCACAGGCTGTCCGCTGCCCGCTTTACTAACGCGCTCCGGCTTCAAATAGACATTTTAAAAAATGTCTTAGTGGCCACACAGATGTCAGTCGTCCCGTCGTTGTTTGAAGGCTTTTTATATGTCAGTAACTGCTGTGTATGGCGTGTCGTGATTCATAAATAAAAAAGCTGAGGCGATTTTCTATGTAGTTCATCTGAGGATGAGACGCTTACACTTGATTCATGAAACCAACGGCATATTTATTTCATTTCTGTTGGATACTTTTTTTGCATATGCTGTGGTCGAAAGAAATTAAAGTGGGGAATATTATGACACGAGTCTACGAGCCTATGATACACGATTAAATTACTATATTATCATTTGAAGTCTTAATGATTACTGACTATTAATCATCTGTGTAAGTTATTCATTTATTTATTTATGGCCACAGAAGAAACGCTTCCACCATACATTTTTTTCTCTGCATCCACCATCACACTCAAAAATAATTTCTGAGCTGTCATTAGGTGGGCCTTGGTAAACGTACCTGCCCTCCCGTTAACTTCTCTATAATTAGATTTATTCCAAGCACTCCACGCATCCTGCATTCTTCTACACTACCACACGATGTCGCTGTAAACAAAGGATTACGCTCCTTTCGCTAAAAGGGCTTGAGATTCAGCCTAGATTTTCTTTACCAGCGTTAATACTTTCTTCTATAGGATGCAACCTGCCAAGAGCTTGGGCTATGTGCTTAATACAGCCTTTACCTGAGCATAAAATAGTTTCCCTCGCATTTCTAGCTGTCTACTTTATATGCCCTTTGAACAATTAACAATGCTTGTTTCGTTTATGTGTAAAGTCAGGCAGATGCTACTTGGAGCTTTTGTATTGGACTACATATACTGCATGCTAAAACATTATCTCGTGCATTCTAGCTTTAGTATACTTTTTTGCCTGAAATACAGACATACACACAAACAGACACACTTCCACATGCAGACATCACTGCTACATGTTCTGCAGTCTTGGTGGGGGTGGGGACCCACAGGAATGGATGTTGAATTCTCAGAACCCTGTTGCCATGGCACCAAAACAAGGATTTGCCTGCATCACCCAGTATGACTGGACTTGCTTGATTCATAAGGAAAGGAGGGCTCTCTCCCTCCCTCTCTGTTTCTCTCTCTCTCTCTCACACACTCACAGGTACAGTGTTGTACTTGCCTCTACAGGTGTTATATTTTCACTTCTTTTCAGGGGTTTGTTTTTTGTGTCACAATGTTAACAAGATCCTAGTTGCACACTTACAGATACACATTAATGCAATAATTTCAGACTAACACTAATGCACACACATCAACACTTCAACACTAGTGCACTATAAGACCATAAAAGACCACTCACTCTCTGACCCCCGCAGGAGAGTGGCGGGTTAATCCAGAGAGCGGTGAGATTCTGCTGCAAGCCCAAATAGAGAGGATTACCCTCCATTCCACTCGTCCATCATCCTATCTGAGAGCGCGCACACACACACACACACACACACACTGTACTCTGCAACTCCAACATTAACAGATGTGTCACTCTCATCACCCCCACAACTCTGAGTGCCTCTCACAGAGGTGGTAATATCTGAGAGAGAGAGAGAGAGAGAGAGAGAGAGAGAGAGAGACAGGGAAAGGGTGGGGTAGGGGAGAGAGCGTGAGCGAGTGGCAGAGGCTTTGCAGACAAGCTGCAGATCAAATGAAGAGCGAGTGCGAGAGAGAGAAGGGAAGACTCACACATATTCCCCCCTTGCATACCTCCCCTGCTTCTGCCTCTGCCTCTCTGTCCCTTATACAGACACTTGGCTCTCGCTTCCTTCTCAGCACCCCTGTTGTCACGGTAGCACTGGAAGCCGCAGGCTGCGTAATCTCCGGCTGTCTCGATCGCTCCAAGAGTCAGAGTGGGCTCATCGCCGTGGGAAACCCATTGATTCTCACAGTGCTGGCAGGGACAGCTGGCTTATCAACAATGCCTCTCTTACTGATTTACATCTATGGCAGCAGGGAGTGGGAGAGTGCCAGGGAGATACACTCACAACAGCAGTAAAGAACGGCTGCCTGCAACCTCTCCTGCCGCCACCACGGACACCTGCTGCTGCTTTTGGAAGCACTGGAGAAGAACAGTCCCAGGGAGAAGTTCCTTGCCAAGGAAGTTCATAGTTCGTCAAACCTGACCAGGATGGTTTCCATAGGTGGATTTCCATAAAAGAACACATCAGGAGATGTGGAGCTCCCTGAAGATGGGCTTCCATGCCACACTGCTGCTTTTTCTTCTTCTGCCCTCCATGGCATCTGCTCAACTCAGCTCCAACTTTGACTCCAATGGCCTGGAACCCACTCCAACCATCTCCAACACAAGTTCCACAGAAGAAGAGGAGATTGCAGGCATTCCAAGTGTAGGCCCAAGTCTAGAGATAGGAGTAGAGAAGGCAGAAGAAGAAGAAGAGGACTGGTCTGTGCCTGAGAATTACCTCTACACCGGCAATGCCTCTGTCCTGAGCTCCTCCAATTGCCGCCAGCCCTTCTGGCTGGCCGTCCAGCGTGGCATCGTCCCGCCAGACCTGAGGCCCCTCCTGCGCCAGGCCACTGCGTCCCTCACCAATGCTGCCAACTTCCTAAACCTCATCTTCCAAGCCAGCGAGCTGCGGGAAACCAGCGTGCGGGAGGATATCGAGTGGTACCATGCACTAGTGCGGGCCATGCTGGAAGGTGACAGGCCTGGCCTGGTCAGACGGGCCCTGCTGACCTTTGATGCTGACCCCACAGCATCTCAGCCACAGCTGGTCCTCCGTGCCTCCAGGAGCCCATCGCAGGACATCTACCTGCAGGTAGAGACATCTCATGTGAACAAGCAATTTAAATGGTTTTATTCAACTCAAATACACTTTTAATGAAACTAGACATATCAAAATAAATAGATTACTGAGCACTGTGAAATTTAATATCGTTAAATACAATGAAAGTTATATAGTTATTTAAGTGACAGGCCTACATAATGTGCTCTTAGATTTTTACGGGGACCAGGGCACCCCTGGTCAAATGATGTTATGTTGATTTTCTAAGTGAAAGTAAATTAATAACACATACTCTGCAGAAAATACACTTCTGCACATTTTAATGCAAAGTTACTGTTTATTTGCTAAATTTAACATATTGGGAGGGGGGGATAAAACAATGTGGATTGTGTGAAAGTTATGGCATATTATATATATATTTTCTTTAATTCTACAGAAAAATGCCATATATATGTGTTTTCTCCATTGAGAATGTGTTATTTTCAGTTAGAAAATTAACAAAACATGCAATTTGACTGGGGGTACTCAAACTTTTGCACATGGCTGATTATTTTTATTCAGTTTGGCTACATAGAATAATGTTTAAGTGAACAACTGGCAAGTGACAGAAATAATTTATAGCTTGCAAACAGAAATATTAAAAGAGCTTCTGAAATTCTCACAGTTTGGAAACTGATTTTTTAAAATTGTGGTTAATCATTATTTATCTCAACATGTCTACTTGCAGGATCTCACTTTGGCCTGGGAGAGTCTTAACTCTCTGCCCTCTGGCGCCGGTCACAGCTGGTTCACCTCTCTAAAGTCCAGCAGCCCACCCCTCCCTGGCCTGTCTAAGCGGGTTCTGCTCAATGACCTCAGCACCCTGGACACACCCAAGTGGGCACGCGGAGACAGCTACGTAACAAACAGCAGCGGACTGCGCTGGGGCGAGGCTCCTTTCTTGGAGTGTGAGGATGGACGTTTCTCACCTGGTTGGCTCCTCACCCTGTCCATGCCCTTTTACGGACTGAAGCCGGACCTCAGCCCAGAGTTCAGGTCAGGCAGCTTTCTCTCTCTGTCTTTAGTTCCCTGTGATACTGGTTCTAGTGTGTTCTTTTATGTTTCAGGTTTGGAATCACTTATCATATTAATGATTTTTGTCATTTTAATAACTTGATGATGATGTGGATTTATATATAACCTTGCAATTAAAAAGTCAATTAGTACATATTTGTGGAACAGCAGGAAGTTAATAAATGATAAATAATATACTGTTCATATCTGTGTAGAATCATTCTTGGTCAACCTATCTGTCAAAGTGGGTTTGATAAATTTTGAATATTTATTTTTCACTGTAATTTCATTCTTCATAATATATAGCTTTCAAAGTCATTTTAGGATTATCTGTAAATCTTTCATCACTCTGGACACATCTAAAATTCCAACAAATTATTTGAAATCTGGGAATTTGCACAGGACTAGCACCATCTTGAAATAGTTTTATACATTTTACATCTGTCACAACATTGTTTTTATATTTCTTCATAACACTGATTCCAAACTTTGCATAGTAGTGTAAATGAGCTCTAATTTTCTGAAGATGTCTTGTAGTAGGTACCTATGTTCTGGAACAATGTGTTCTGTCGTATGTAAAGGTTTGGGCACTGCCGTGACATATGTTTTGTTGATTACATAAGTTAAAATAAGTTAACAAATCCTTTTCTGCACATGTTAATGCACAATTACTGTTTACTTGATGAATTTAACATATTTTTTTTTCCAATATGTTAAACTCCGCAACATTTAAGTTTGTTCCCTGTAGAGGATGTGTAATTTGACCAGTGATGTTCAAACTTATGTTAACAACTGTATAACTTTAAAATTAAATATTAAAATTATAAAGATATATGGTCTTTATATATATGTAAAAGTAGTGACTGCTTAATTTTCATCAATAATACTGCAATGTGTCTTGGTCTTGGTTACTAATATTGCCACATGTCTTGGTTTTGGTCACTAGTACTCTAGCGTGTCTTGGTCTTGGTCACTAATACTGCAGACTGTCTTGGTTTTGGTCACTAGTACTTCAGCGTGTCTTGGTCTTGGTCACTAATACTGCAGACTGTCTTGGGTTTTGGTCACTAGTACTCATACATCTTGGTAACAGCATGTCTTTGTTTCAGGTCACAACTAGTGCAGACTGTCTTGGTCATGGTCACCAATACGGCAGACTTTCTTGGTCTTGATCACTAAAACTGCAACGTCTTGGTTTTAGTCAAAGTCTGTTAACTGTTTCTACATCTATCATCTTGGTCTTGGTCACTAATACTGCAGGGTATCTCGGTCTTGGTTTTGATCACAACTACTGCAGACTGTCTTGATCATGGTCATTAGTATTGCAGCATGTCTTGGCTTTGGTCACTACTACAGCAGACTGCCTTGGTTTTGGTGACTAATGCTGCAGACTGTCTTGGTCTTGGTCACTAATACTGCAGCGTGTCTTGGTCTTGGTGACTAATACTGCAGACTGTCTTAATCTTGGTTACTAATACTGCAGCATGGTTTTAGTCTGTTAACTGTTTCTACATCTGCCTATCATTTAACACCTGAATTTTTTTCTTTTTTCTGTTCTGTTGACAGGGGTGTTGTCCGTGTGGATGTGAACATTCAGGGGTTTGATGTGGACCAGTGTGCCAGTGGAAATGTGTGGTTTGCAGACACACATCAGTGTAACCGTACCAGCATGGAGGTGAATTCATAGTCTCTTATAAAGTTCACGTTCATAGAACTTATTTAAGTAGGCCTGTAGTGTTCCGTATAGGTGTGTTACAAGTAGGTACAACTCAACCCTGATGTTATAAAGAGAGATCATAAGTTTATGAATTATGAATAATTTGTTTTTCCATTTTAGTTGTTTACAATGTCCCTGTGAAAGTTATACAAAGTTTACTCCTGGTTTGTAGTGAGGATGTAGTTGAGGTTAGTTGTTATTTTACAACAGTGGTCACCAACCTAATCTGCAAATGGCCACAGTTTCTGCAGGTTTACATTCCAACCACGCATAACTAATCACTTGTGTGAAGACTGGTTACGTTTGAAACCTCATACTACCATACTAAATAGTACACCACCTTTAGAACTACATTCATTAGTATGTATAGTATATAGTTTTGGATGCAGCCATTGAGACTATTTGATTCATCAAGTGAAATGAGGTGTACTTCTGTTTGATTGGAATGGAAACCTACTGTCACACCGATCCTTTGTGGGTAAGATTGGAGACCCCTGTAAACAAGCTGTGAACAGTACTGCTTAGCCATCAGAGCTTGCCTTCTAGCAAGCTTTCTAGCTTTGAGGTAAAAGGCATTAATAATCAAGATAATGCAGCCTATTTTTGAAATGAAACCAAACATCAGTTAGACCCAACTGGGTACTGGAATGCTTACTGAAGGCAGGGGTGTAACTAGGATCAAAATATTCATGATTTTAGTCCATTCTGCAGAAAATTGACTTACTTCACACAGTGAACAACTGCGTGTTTTACAACAATGATTTCTAATCTCCCTTATGGTTTTCACTAATTCACTGCTCCCTTTTTTACCAATCCATAATGTTTATTTACTTCTTTTGCTTTCCTTTATTAATTTCCCATTCTATCATTCTTCCATAAACTGCTGTTGCTGTTGATTTGACTGACTATAGTCACTTTGTTTCATTTTATTTAGTTAATTATATATTTATTTGCTTATCCGTTTATTTAAAGCTGAAAATACCTGTTGAAACATATTTATACTATGAAATTATACTATATCTGATTATAATTTTACATTCATTTTATTCTCTTCACTTATTACTGAAAAAAATCTGCTATAAAAAGCAGTCTCTACCAAAACCCCTGCTAACAGGAAGGTACACTAACCATACAGCTAACAAGACCTGCTACAGCATAATGTACCTGTTGATTTTTTAAGTATGATACATGATATGATTCTATCAGGGTAGCTAACACAACTTGGAAATGGAATTAATTTCTCATCTAATGGCTAATATAAGCCAACTACACAGCTTGTAGCCCAGGCATGTCAAACTGGGGACCTTCTGGGCCAAAGAGATTAGCGTTTACCCTCAGAATTCAGTTCATGAAGGCCTGGCTACCCATTTGGAAAAAAATATATGAACATTTTTGTATAGTTGAAAAACATTTCAAATACAATGCAATCCATGCTAAAATATGCTACAAATACTAAAATGTATTACAGAATATATTGCCATATTAAGCAAATACATTTTAAAATACATTTATTTTAAAAATGTTTGGGGGAATATTATACAAAGAAACGCACTATACAAAAATAATGTATGTAAATGTATTTATCAAATACATTTGAAAATGCATTAAAACAGCCAAATACTTGTCTAATGCACTTTACTGTTTGGAATACTTTTTGAAATAAATTTGAATTCCAGTATCTTCATTTTTAGTATTAGCAAATGAACCATTAACAAGACAATATCAAGTGTTGTAGATACTGATACACGGTAAAAATCAGAAAGGTGGAAGTAACAAGTCTCTTGACACGTGATTCCCAAGTCAAGTCCCAAGTCAAGACAGTCGACTCTTGATTCAATTCCAAATACATTTGGAAAATACATGTATTATAAAAATTGTTTTAACAAATACATTTTTGGCTATTTGCATACATATTTGATAAATACATTTGGGATACGTATTTTCCATATGGGTTTTTAGCTGATGAGCTGAATCAGGTGTTTAATGACACAGTTTACTTTAGTCTGCAGTGTTTTGGCCCGCTAGAAAGGGAGCCTGACACATGTGCTGTAGCCGAAACTGAGCAGCTACTGGAACTTGACTAAAGTATGCTAAGCTAATTGAGCTAGCAATGGTACGAGTGGTCTAAATATTTAAAAAACGAATGAAATTGTTTCAATTTTACAAGCGTAATCTGTTAATTACCATCACAAACTCTCACATTTATCATAGTGATGTCATGTAGTAGTATGTGTGTTGTGTACCTCAACATCTCATGAAGTCAAACTGGCGCTGGGTAGCGTCTATCTCTCGTTCAGAGGTAAACATAGCGTTAGGTAGCTTAGCTAACATAGATAAAGACATGGCCACAGCTGTTCTTAGGTTAGCTGAAAACTAGTTGCTGCTGATTGGTAGTCTACAGATGGAAGCTTTTCTGCATAGTAGGATCGTTAGCTAGTTAAAAATACCAAAGCGTCTGTTATTCCCTAACGGGCAGCATAAGGTCATAAAAGTCTATTTTATATAAAACAAAAAGTCCTAAAATCTGATTGGCTGAGTCACGTTCGAAACCGTTGTAAAATAATGCATATAAGCGCATCTTTACCGCCTCACAAAAACTGAACTCTGTATTACTGCGCCACTCACGAAAAACCCTTGTGTGGTCAATAGCATAATCTTTGCCTGTAATAGACCACTGTAGTCGTGCGTCATTCTGTAGTCCTCGTTATGCCCATATTAGGAACTCCGGGTCTAAGCCCCATTTCTCTATGGCCAGAATGAATAGGGTTTTCGAAAAATCGCCTCTATCGCCCCTGTGTTAAATAAAAATGTTCAGAACCCGATACGCTTTGTCCTGTGAACATTTTTCTCCAGAAAAGGACCCACAGGATCCTCCGAATTACGAGGTCGTTAAAGAGCTATAATACTAATATTGCTACATGCGAGCTAAAGCTACTGCGCATCAATTTGATGTCACTAAGCTACACGAAACTAAGGCGGGCTGTGTGCTACCTTAACGAAATCTTCTACCGTGGCGCATATTCACAGGTGTACTCGTAAATAAAACCTCTGTGTAGGATATTTTGATAGGCTAAAACTCATTATCAAAAATACTGCCCGTGTTAAAACTACGAGACTGAATTTAGCTGCTTTTTCGCAGCTTCTTTTTTGAATGTTCCCATTCCACCTTAAATGTGCAGCAGCTGTGACTAGCCATCACAAACCTGTCGGTTCTGTGAAACAGTAAAAGTAAGTTAAATGTTACTCAGCTGTTCAGCGGAAATAGAGAAACCTCCTCATATCATGCCTTTCCACCCTCCATGAAGCTGAAGTCAGCTTCTTTTTCGCCGGCTGCTTATTCGACTTTTCCCGTTCCACCTTAAATGGTGCAGCATTTCAGAACGTGACTGCTGCGCCATTTAAGGTGGAACGGGAAAAGTCAAACAAACTGCTGGCGAATTACCTGAAAAAATGTCCTCAGAATTTTTTTTACCAGCATTAAAATAAAAATTAGGATATTCTGAGAGCCTAAATCAGTTTATCAGGAGGTGATAACCTGCTTAAGGAGGCTGTCAGTCTAATGACGTGAATTCGGTGCGCAGTAGCTTTAGCTCACATGTAGCAATATTCATATTTCAACTCTTTAACGACCTCGTAATTCGGAGGATCCAGTGTTATTCGGGAGAAAAATGTTCACAGGACAAAACGAATCGGGTTCTGAACATTTTCATTTAACAGAGGGGGCGATAGAGGCGATTTTTCGAAAACCCTATTCATTCTGGCAATAGAGAAATGAAGCTTAGACCCGGAGTTCCTAATATGGGCATAACAACATGGCGCCGACTACAAAATGACGACACGACTACAGTGGTCTATGCTGCTCACATGGACCACCGAGTGTACTGGTGAAGTAAGAACCCATTTTTTGCTTAAACTTTTTTATTTATTAGAACTAGACTGGTCAGTTACCTAACAGGCTAAAAGATCCATTATTAATATCACAGGATTTAATTAAAGTATTGACGATATGATTCGCTGTAGAACTGCAGTATAAAAGTCTACAGAATTTAACCTAGATAACTTGAATGGTTTAACGTTACACTCTTCAAATGATCATGCTTCAGTCAGAAGTAGCATCAAACCCATGCTTAAATAGCTCTAAATAGTGTGCTGTGTAAGTCTGGAAATGCTAGCTTCTACAGCCAAATAGAGTATGGATGTGGCTGAATCCCAAATGGACGTTTGTTAGCTTTATTATGCACTGTTGGGGTGCAAGAACCGTAGTGCTCGATGAAGCTAGAGAGCACGGAGCCATTTCAGAGTCAGCCCCAGCGTGGGAAAAGGGGCACCGTTAGCTGATAAAACTCGCGGTGGTAATTTGGTGACTTTGAAAGTAATGATTAAGTGAATATATTTGAATTAAACAGTATCATGTTATCATATTTATTGTTATAGGACAAAAAGTTCATGAAATGGCCACAATATACAGTGATGTGAGATCGAACGGTCATTCAGAGGTCCATGGTTGCTTGGCAACGATAACGTTACCATACTCTAAAGGAACTAGCTACGTTTCTTTGTGGAATACGTGTTTATGTCGATTATTATTAATAAAAGATATTTTCTGAAAAACTGTGTATTTTATAATGTTTTTGTTGGCCGTCACTTTGCCTTATACTCTTCCCCATGATGGAATCGAAGTAAGGCTTATTGCTTTATTAGGAGGTTCTTGGCTACAAGACTGTATTTTCTTGGTTATGACCAATGAAGTTGTTCAATAAAGAAAGCGCACATGCGTCTTAATGTGCACAAAATGGCTCCAAATTCATAATTTAACAAGACAAAGATAAAAACTATACTGGACAAGTTGGTCTAGTGTTTTAAATCTAAGCAGCAACTGAAAGCGGCTGCTGTTAAGTCTTCACATCTCAAAGGAAGATATGAAAAGCCTGGTGAAGCCAGCAAGTGGCATACTTGAAGCTGTTATTGTTTTAAGAGGTTTGTGACCAAAAACAAAATTTACACTTCAGTTTTCTTTACAATTTTGTATCAATATTTATACTCAGCCACATTTGGGAAATTTAAAACATAACCTGTAGCTATATATAAAAAAAGAAAGCTAACATTCTGTACTTAACCCTTGTATTCACTTGTTGGTTTGAAAAGCAAGTTCATGGTTATGCAGTAAAAATAACCAATGTTACTTTATTGTCCCACTACTTTTGCTTCTCACTGTGTTCTAGTAACAGTTTTACAATTTAGTTACAATTGTAGTTAGAATGATTTAAACAGACGGCATAGTATGGCTTCTAGTATAATGTGCACTGCATTATGTACATTATACATTGATACATATATAATGCATTGCATGTATAATATTTATGTTCTTGATGCCTCAAAGCACCTTTCTTTTATCATCACAAGCTTATCATATGTACGCATCAGTGCTGTTTCTAAACATTTGTGCCAATTTTACTTTGTATGCATAACTGAGAAAGAATCAATACTTAAGTACTCAGAAATCAGGAAAAGATGTGCTGATACAAGTGGATCAGACACAGCAGTGCTGCTGGAGTTTTTAAACACTGTGTCCACTCACTGTCCACTCTATTAGACACTCCTACCTTGTCAGTCCACCTTGTAGATGTAAAGTCAGAGACAATAGCTCCATCTGCTGCTGCACAGTTTGTGTTGGTCATCCTCTAGTCCTTCATCAGTGGTCACAGGATGCGGCCCACTGGACGCTGTTGGCTGGATATTTTTGGTTGGTGGACCATTCTCAGTCCAGCAGTGACACTGAGGTGTTTAAAAACTCCAGCAGCACTGCTGTGTCTGATCCACTCATACCAGCGCAACACACACTAACACACCACCACCATATCAGTGTTACCGCAGTGCTGAGAATGATCCACCACCCAAATAATACCTGCTCTGTGAGGGTCCATGGGGGTCCTGACCACTGAAGAACAGGGTAAAAGGGTCTAACAAAGTATGCAGAGAAACTGATGGACCACAGTCTGTAATTGCAGAATTACAAAGTGCACCTATATAGTAAGTGGAGCTGATAAAATGGACAATGAGCATAGAAACAAGGACATAATGTTATGCCTGATCGGTGTATACTACAGCAAGCTTGATAAAGCCTGAACATCAATTCAGAACAGAATATTTTTGTCACTGTGGCCCACTGGTGGCTCGGGGTCCTTACCGACTTACAGCAACTTCAGAAGTGGTTCTTTCAACACCTGTCTTCAGCTTTAGATGTCAAGGTCACCACTTTGGTGTTTAGTAACTAAAAGTAACATCTAAACTACACTGTTCAAACAGGATAATAACACATAGTGGTTAGCTGTAGCAGGACATACCAAAGACAGTTGTGCAACATAGTGGTGACACATCTAAGCTCTGAACCAGTAACCTGGCGTGCCCTGTGGGGGAAAAATCACTCTAATTTGGTTCATGACATGCTTTGCAAGTGCTCTCTCACCAGCAAGTACTTCTCACCTGCCACCTTTCTTTATCATGTTGTGGACATGTCATCTCTCTCTCTCTCTCTCTCTCTCTCACACACACACACACACACACACACACACACACACACACACACACACACACACGCACACACACACATTTCTCTTGGTGACACCTCTCTCTCTCTCTCATCATGTGCTCTTGCACTCTTTCTCCCTCTAGCCCTCTTTCATCCCTCCCCCCGTCTGCCACCATTCTCTCTCTCATCCAGACCTTCTATTTAAAGATCTTTGTGCTGGGTGGTACAGGGATGATCGGGGGGATTAGGGCATTAATCCAGTGATGTTGACATCCTTTTCCCCAGCACACCACTCATCTGGTTGGGAGAAACAGGCAAAAAAAAACTCACCCAAAATTTACCTGCTGTCCTTTCTAACAGGGTCTAGGTATATAGGTCTCGTCAGATGAGCAATGCGCTTAATAGGACGAGACAGTAGGATTTAGAGAAAGGGAACACCTGATTTCAGGAGAATTTTACTGCACCATTAGATAATAAATACTGTTAAATATAAACAGACAGAGTCTGAAACTTGCCACCAGACTGTACTTAGCAATAAAGCAATACAGTGCATCCATAAATTACACAGTTCTGCTTGTTTTGGTTCTGTACTCTATAGCACATATGACTGTAAAACACTGGTTATGAAGTCAACATGCAAAATGAAAGATTTCATTTGAAAATATTTACATCTATACTGGGTGAATCATATTGGAACCACAGCCCTTTTATACATAATCCCCCCATTTCAGGTGCTCATACATAAGATTTATGCCATACAGGAGACACTTTTGGTTCTCTAAAAAGTTTTCCAGTGGACGGCTCTTTAAAGAACAACTTTGGCCATAGCCGCTAAGCATTGACCCAATCATGGATGACTTTATGTGACTTGGAGGAAGCATGCATCATCCAGTAGCCCCATTACATAGTGGTATCATGTAAAGGGGGAAAACTACCTCCAGAGGTTCTGTGGCAATTTAAGGTTTTTCATTAACTGTACTTCCAAATCAATAATCATTTAGCATTTATAATTTTTATGTACTTTATTTGCCTTTTCAATTGCTAGGCATGGTTTTGCATTATTATTTCATGCACAAGGGAGCTAAACAAAGATTTATAGTTGATCCTAGATGTGGTGTCTGGAGTCTGTTGCTGTTATCTCTCAAGAAGACCAAAGATTCATTGTCATTTTTGATAAAGCAAGACATCATGAAGCTTAAAAAGTATAAATCAATTAGAGATATAGCTAAGATAATTTGTATGTTAAATTGCCTAGAAGCAGGACTTCACTGTGAGCTTAGCAATAACAAACAAGCAACCAGACCACAAAAGACCACAGTAAGGAAAGTCCAAAGAACCTTTTAAATCATGGAGAAAACATAGGCATAGATATGTACAAAAATGCCATAAATAAAATGACAGCATGACTGCAGTGTTTATCACAATGTGCAGATCACTGGAAAGCTTCACAGCAACAGAAGAGGCCACAGTATGCACTATGGAGGAGTATAGAGTAAAGAAAAAAAAACAATTCAAAATATGTCACTGTCCAGTTACTTATGGCTGCACTGTTTGTGATGTGGTGGATAAAACAAGCAGACTTTTCAGAGAAGTTATTTGACCTGCACTGCCAAAAAGGATTATTTAGAACAGAAGTAATTAGGCTGATCACCAGCAAAACCAGCATATCATGACTGTCCAAAGAAAATGTCCATTTTTTTCAGATTTTACTTTTCTACATTATTTGAGCATGGCCGCTGCCGTGTGTGACAATTTCATGATAAATTGCTAGAAATGCTCCAAAATTGCTTGGAATAAAATCTCTTTACATTCACTTACACTGAAACTAAAGGACGTTTTTGCTGTCCCCTGTAAACATACCATTTTGAAGATAATTGTTTTCTCTTTAGACAGGAACGATTTGTTGTGTTTTGGATGCTGGTGTGCTGCTCATGCTGGGTGGCCAACTTAACCCACGCCAGACCATCACGAGACCAGCATTAAATGCATGTTGCTCTGCTGTTTTTTCAGCAGGGATATCTCTTTATACCAAGCAGTAGCCTCTTCTGTGGTGGAGAAAATACATTAATGAACACAACACAAATGCTCAGGGAAAGCACAGGCTTAATGAGCTATCTTGGTTTGGGAAAAAATGTGGTTGAAAACCATGAACAAGAATTGAAATTTCCATGTGTTTGATTAATAAGCAGAGATTTTTTTATAGAAACTTAGATTAATTGAGCATGTTGTGTGTGACTGTGTGTGTGTGTGTGTGTGTGTGTTGAGGGGTTGGAGTTTTGTGAGAAAAAAAAAGAGAGATAAAGCTCTTTCAATAGGAATTACCCATCCATTTACGTTTTAACTTAGATTAACTCACAGCTTTTCTGATGAGTGGGTCAAACGACTCTAACTGAGGGAGCGCTGATGAGAGTTTGCTCATGTAATTAATGAGAGAAAGCACTCAAAAAACACACACACACACATACAAATACACACAATTATCCTCCATGGGCATGAACTGGCAATCTGGCCTCTGAGTGCCTCTTTCCAGGCTTAATCTCTCAGCCAAGAATTATCAAACTGCTCACATACTCAGGGTCTGGAGTCGGTTGGTCATTGATCTGAAAGCTATTAAGACACTGTTTTTTCATGTTCAAAAATAGGAGTTTGTCAATAACTCACCAGTAAAGGTCGACAAATTCAACCGAAAAAAGTCTTAACATTTGTTTATACTCTCTCTCTCCTTTTCTCTCTCTCTCTCTCTCTCTCTCTCTCTCTCTCTCTCTTTCTTTCTGTCATGTTCTACCCAGTGTGACCCAATTCCCAGACAGGGCTTTCGACTGGGCCAGTATTGCTGCCGGTGTAAAGAGGGTTACTACAGTCCAGCACCAGACAACAAGGACCAGTGTAAGGCCAGTTGTCTGCAATATGCAGGATCACTTTTTTTTCTAAATAAATGTTTAAGATGTAAACAAAGTCATTCAGCATGGTTTGATGTGAAATACACTGTTCTAGAGAAACTCAATGCTGCCTGATGCCTTGGACACTATTTCATAATAGTTTTGAGAAAGGTTTGGCCTAAAATATATTCAGATTCATGGGAGAGAGGGACACACAGGGTGTTGTGTGGTAAAATAGTCCCCAAAGAAAATATTTTTTTTCAAATTTGCCTCTATATTACCATTTTCAACATCACATATTACAATCAGAAGGCATGTATAGGTTTACTAATAGTTTTGGATAGTAAATAAAATATATTTGTATCAGTAGGTTTCTTTATAATGAACCATTTCACAGAAAACCACTTTGAATGACTTTGAAAATGCCCTTTATCAAGTAGCTGAATTGACTTATATTGTGTTCTGCCCCGCCCCCCCCCGGCGACCCAGAAGGATAAGCGGCTTAGAAAATGTGTGTGTGTGTGTGTGTGTGTGTGTGTTCTGCCCACTAGAGTCTTTTTTCCTTGTAATTCTTGCAAAGTTATTTTATAGACTGTTGACAAAATTTCCATTCAACCTAGTTAGAAACTGAATTCACTACGTAATGCTGAATTTTGAAGTTTAAAACGCTGCACTACCGAGCTGGACTGTGTTGTTGTAGCTAATCAAAACCAGTAAGGGTGAAAACGATAACGAATTTTCAGCCATGCTAATGTTTGCTTGATTACACAACAAAAAAATCCCATTTAATCAAACAGTACCTTTTCACATGTATACAACAGAAATATAATTTAAATGAACAAGGCACTGTAAAATGTAGGTATTTGTAGGTGCACTACAATTTCTGATTAGGTTGAAAGGGATGTTTGCCAGGGTTCTTTAAAGCTTGGCCAATCTAATAGCTAGTCATATATAGACACTAAGCTGCAGTTGAGGTTTATTTTTGAATTCAGCATGGTTGTGATATCAAGAGCATAACCACATTTCCATACAACTGGCCATTTAGCCTATTGAAATGCGAATTCACGTTAAAATGATAAAGAGTGTTGTTCCTGCAGACAGTGTTTAGCAGAGTTACTAGAGAAGATGTAGGGACAGTGATTCAACATTGTGCTGTTCATGGCTGTTGGGAAGATTTCTCTGTGTTACTGCAGCCTTCCAAAGGATCCAGACATAAAAAGGGAGCGACTGAAGCGTTTTAATTTCAGTCCAGACTTAATAGTTTGCCCTAAATGTTTCAGCCTGGACTGCTGTTTGAATAAGACCCAGTGCAGTGCAGACATTCTGAGCAGAGGTCATTTAAGTCCTAAAGGCACAGAAACAAAAAATAGCCTACTTAATACTAGGGTATTAGGAGAGATTAAGAGAGACTATCATTTATTTGATAAATACATACAACTGATATGTTAGTTTTGTATTTATGAGGGTGAGGAATTCAAATGTTTAAGTGAAAAAACATACATATAAGGGCTTATACCTTATTATCTTCAAACATTCTGCTGTCAGGACAGTGCTAACCCTACTTTTATTCCCTGTGATTCTGTGTGATGAAACAGTGGATGGTGGTGTGAATGACACTCGGGTTTGTTACCCTAACCTGCCCATATGCCTGCCCTGCTGGCCTGGCTGTAAGCAGTGCAAGGACGGCTCCCCCTGTTGGGTGCAGGAAGACTGGCTCTTGAGAGCGGCAGTCCTGGCTGTACAGGGGCTTTTCATGGCCCTAGTGCTCATCAGCATGTTGAGGGCGTATCAGTGCCGCAGGACCAGGGTGAGTTGACTTGGATGGAGGTTATTAACCTGGTCTTTCTCTGTAAAAAAGGGGTTTATTAGGGAAAAACTCTGAATTGACAGGACGTCCAAAGTGTTTAATGTCTCTAAAAGCTACCTCAGGAAACCTAAGATGAAATGATTAAAAATACCCTGCCTGATGCCTGAGACATTGTTTTAAAATAGTTTTGAGATAGGTTTTTGGACTAAAACTTAAAAATCCTGCATGGTGGAGGGGTACATGCTTGTCATAGTAAGACAAAAAAGCCCCAGAGAAAACATTTTTTTTTCCAGACTTACCACTATGTCACCATTACCAACATTAGTGGTTCCTGTCACCACCACCGCAAAGAAACCCAGCAAGTTTCTCTGCAATTAACCAGTTCACATTTTGACCATTTGACTTTGAGTAATAAATTATGCAAAAAACTTGAAAATCTGTGGAATCACCTTTATTTAGCTACATTTAAGCAAATGCGCAAATTTCATTAGATAAGAGGGTGTTAGAGTTTCTTATTGTTATATCTTGATCTAAAAGAAGCGCTAGTAAGTTTAGACATTTGGAGACCACTCTGGTGGAAATATGCAATTGCAAGTAACCAAGCCTTCTCTTGAATTTCTATTATGATGTCAATCCAGAAAGCAGTATGCTGAAGTCTGAAAAATTCAACCTGCAAGCTCAGACTTCTGAATGAATATTTTAGGCATGTTTTAGCATATTTTTCACTAAGGACTTAGTAATCCTGCTTCATTCATTTCTTTTTACAAAATTGCCCTAAAGTAAAAGATCTACACTCTTAAAACAGAGGTTTTAAATGGTTCTTGGCCTGAGCATATAGTAGAATTTTTTCTATAAAACAAGTTTATATAAGAAAACAACTTTAATTGGTATAGAATCTTTCCATTATATGGAGGTTCCTTAACTAAAAAGGCATTTTTCAAAGAACTCTTTCTGGCACCTTTATCTTTAAGTGTGTATAGTATATAACCAGATTCCTACAGTGAATATATTTTATTGTGAGTTCAGACAACTACTGTAGTGCTCCGCAGGATACCACACAAGTATTATAGGTTACTATAGCCCAGTTCCATAGGAATTACTGAAGGTGAAGATATTATAGATTATGAAATCATACTCAAAAAAAGCCTTTTTACACCTTATCAGAATAATTTCTTTCTCTCTTTGCTAAATTTCCTGCAGAAAGCAATAAATCACATTTCCCAATCCCTTTGGCAGATGCGTTCATTATATCTGCATTTCAGTGTTTATGTCAGACTGCTTGTATTAGCGTAATCTTATCTTAGCCGTGCAGTGCTCTTGTTGCCATTATAGTGTTTTCATATCGTCCTGCAATCTGAGTACATCCCAAAGTCCATACTGCCCAGTCAACTAAGCTCTTTAGCTTACAATACATTCCCATGACCATTAGGAGTCTTTATACATGTATATGTATATATGGACCATTCTACCGAATTAGTTCAATCTGCAATCCCACAGTGTTACGATCTATTTAAACCCAGTGCGTAATGAGAGATAGTAATAGCTAAATATATTTCTATTGGGAAGTGTCTGTCCCAGTCCTTTACCCTTAAAATTTAAACTGTGAATATATTACTTAAATGCTTTTGCTTTACAGAGATCATTATTAAAAGTTGCTGCCTAACATTGAGTTTTCAGTGCTATTTCCATTGCTATTCTAGCTAATTGAAACTACAAAAAAAGTTGTGTCCTTTCACGTGCATGAAAGAATAATGTAATTTGAATTACGCACTCTAAATTTAGGTATTTGACAATTTAATAAAGAAATGACTGTGCTACAGTTTCTCATTGGGTTCAGTTAGACATAGATCAGCATTCTGTAAAGCATGTTGAACCTCGCAACAGTTGCTGCAAAAGAACACATTTGTGGGTGGAATTACCTTTAAGGTCACCTCCTCATGCAATAGTTAACAGCCTTCTGCAGCTTTTTACACTTCATTTCTGAAGTGCTGTCTCATTTCTCTCCAGACCTCTGTTTTACAGTGAAGAAAGAATGATTCTACTGTTTGCTCTGAATAAGAGCTTCTGCTAAATGACTGTATTTGTGAAAGTAAATATTCTTTACATTCATTTTTCCATTACTTATGCTTGTCCACAGGAGTGGAAAATACTTCAGCAATGTTCTTTGTTACTGTACACTCTCAGTAAACTATGATAGACACCCCTCACACTGTTGGAAAGAAAGGTACATTCATCAAGGTACAAACAATGTAAATGTACCCTCAAAGGTAGAACAGTAGTTTTAAGGTCAATTGTGTACTTCAAATAGGTTTTCCCAGGTGAAAAGTACATGTTTGTACCTTTTCTTAAGCTAATATTTTAAAACAGAACAATGAAATAAAAAGCCTGGAGACAAGATGGGGTGTGTGGAGTCAATACAACTTTCAATGAATTATGGTACAATTATATTCCCTGTACTAAAGGTACTGAGATGTACCCTTGAGTGTACCACCCCAGTGACAAGAGAGGTAATGCCCCAGTGACAGTTTCGTAACTTTATTTCTGAGAGTGCAGGATAGATACCTTTAGTTATTGTGCTGTAATCCATTGCAGTTATTTTTATTATTTTTTTAAGTTGAATTGACTCTGCAAACCCTGTCTTGTCTCCAGGCTTTTTATTTTACTGTTCTGTTTTAAAACATTAGGTTATGAAAAGGTACAAATATTCACCTTTACCCTGGAAAATTATTTACATAGTTGGACCTTTAAGGTATTGAGGTATGTTTACATTGTACATTGATGAACAAAAAATTACCTGCAGAGTACCTTTTTTCTGAAAGTGTATAATATATTAAAATACTAAAGTATTATTATGGAAGACTTGTATTTTACTTGAGCGTTACTGAAATCAGTTGAGTTCCCGTACATTTGAATTCATTGTTTTAAGTACAAACATCCAACCAAACTGATCAGTGTAAACTGAAACTAATGTTTTTTGTGCAAGACCTTGTGCAAGTACCTCTGATTAGTCAGTGCACCCCACCAGCAAACACAGCAAACTGTATTGAAAAAAAATGTTTTATCATACAACAAAAATAGCAGTTTGACCTCACTTTCTCATTATTTATGGACTGCACTGTAGATGGCTGTAATTAATCCTTCTTTCTGTCTATCTCTGTCTCCTCTTCCCTGAATCTCCCTCCACTCTGCTGGTCCACTTCTGCATGTTAGCGGATCCGAGCGTCAGGTCTGTTGCTGCTGGAGATGATTCTGTTTGGGTCTCTGCTCCTTTACTTCCCTGTGAGTGTGAGATTAAAAACGGCACCTTCTTTCCAGATTACAGCACTGCATTTTGGGATTATTTCATAATGGGTGCAGGGGCAGGATTGGTGGGGCAGAGAATGAATGAGGCATTGCATAACCTAAGGTTACTCAAACTTACTTTAATGATGACAGTCCACCTTCTCAATCAGCTGTAATATGCACTGGGATGTTTGACGTCAGTGGTCAAATTTTGAATCATTTTAATCAAGTTTTATTATTAAAAAAGCCTGGTGCATGTTGTAAGTTACTCGAAAATACGATAAGTTACACGTAGTAAAAAACAGTACAGTATGAAATATTTAACTGCAAAAAAGTAACTATTAAAAAAGGTTCAGAATGTATTTTATCCTGTTGTAGCTGTGTGGAGCTCTCTGTACAGGAAAAAAACTTTTGACAGTGTTGTAGTGCTTGAGTCCACTCTTGGTCTTGAGACCATAAACGAGCAGTCTTGGTCTCAGGATAAGGTGGACTTGGAAATTGTTGTCAGGACCAGCCAAGTGTGATGCCTCTGTCTGAGGTAACTGTAAGCTGAATTAATATTGAATATCAACAAAACCAGATTAAACAGAATAAAACAGTGTTTTCTCTGTATCAGGAGTTCCCAATCTTTTGCAACTTGCAGTGCAAACAAACGAACAAACGCGTCCACGGATTTACGCAATTGCGGCTGCCGAGTGCTGGATTTCAGGCTGAAGAGAGGGAAATTGCAAATGGAGTTCTGGCTCAATTCGACATGTTTAGATACATATCCACTGTGTTTAGTCTCTGAGTGAAGGTGTAAGTTGTTGGGTCTCAAAGCCTTATTTTAAAAGACCCCTGAGCAAACAGCAAAGAGCTGTAGTTACTCATTTTCAGTTTCCATGCATGTGAAGAAGCCCAGAGCTATGTATTTCCTTTATTTCAGTTATGCTTGCACTAAAAATGTAAACATAACTAGCTAACGTTTAGCCAGAACAATCAATAAGGTTGATATAAATATAATGTTTCATTTTTGCAAATAATTGACAATGTGTGTTATTTACCAATGTCTGTTTTCTTAAATTTATTCTTGAGAAAGGTCCTAAGAAAAAGTCTACGTCAGATTCATAATGTGTTCTTAAATCACATAATTGTTCGCATCTTTGTGCTCTTGAGTGTGCATAGATTCTGTTCAAATTGCAAATAAGAAAACATTATAATCAGAGTTCTCATAAAAACTGCGTAAGTGGGTTTTAGGAAGAATTTTTTTCATGAGAAGAAGTTGGTGAATGAGGCCCATTATTTGCCATATTTAAAATTAGCTTTCGTTAAATGTTTGTATTGTAATGAATTTTTGTATTTAAAAAACTGCAGTAGATCAGATCAGAATATTACTATTACTATGTTTTTATTGATTCATTTAATAATAATTCTGAATAAGTTGTAGAGAAGAAAGGAACAGAGAATATCCTCACCACCGCTTCCAGTGACAATGACAGTTTGACTAAGGCTATAATATAATATAAGCTATAACAAAGGCTATAATACTAATGTAATAATAATATAATATAATAATAATTAACCATTTTAGGCTATATAATTTATTATTGTATATGAATTAATTAATTACTCTGACTCTGTGTGTCCCAGTCTTGACTACAACACTTATCAACTGATATCAATTTTTTTTTCAACTCAGGACACACTGTTCATGAGGCAAAGGCTGGAACCATGTGGCAGTTGATCTGTTGAAACTCTTTGAGTTGGTGTTCCATATTAAGCCTCTGAAAATCATTCTTACTCTACATCTAGAAACGACACTGAGCAAAAGTCAGAGACCACCCTACAAGTTATTAATTTTCCAGCATCAGAAAATTACACAAAAGCTTCAACAACTAAACATAATATCAAAGTTTTCAAGTTTCCTCCCTTGGCCTTTATTACAGCTTCCATTCTTTTCAGGAGGCTTGCTTTCAGTTTTTCAAAGAAATCTGCAGGGATATTTTTCCACACCTCCAAAGATCAGTCTTAGAAGTTGATGTATTTTTTGCTTCTCATAATCTAGGCAATTACAAACACATTCAGTGATGTTGAGGTCTGGACTCTGGGGTGGTCAGTCTTTGTTTGATTTGCAAATGTTCCTCTTTTTTGTCTACTTTCTTTTCTCAGAAAAAACTTTCTACACATCCTTTCAGATTCATAGCATTAAGTTGTTTTCTCATAGTGGAAAGATGGATAGAAAACTGTTTTTTTTTTGCTGAAGCAAGAGTGGAGCTTGATTTTCTGCTTATCTGATGTACAGTTTATCTGATGGTTTTTCAAGGTTATATTTTATGAAAAAAATGTTGAACTTCCTGTTTTTTTTTCACTTTCCACCTCTTCATTCGAGTGGATTATATTTCCTAAAAAAATAAAGGGTGGTCTCTTTTTTTGCCCAGTTTTGTATTGTTTGTGCCCAGAAGGTCTATCCTTTGAATTATTCCAGATAGATTGATCATTAGTTTGTAAAAAACATTAATATATATCTCTGTTTGTAGGTCTTCATTTTATATTTCAAACCCAGCACGTTCCGGTGCATCCTGCTCCGATGGGTCCGTCTGCTTGGCTTTGCCATCGTTTATGGAACTGTGACACTGAAAATGTACCGGTCTGTACAGCTTAGGCTATCTTTAATCCCTTCAAAAAACCTGATAGTCACCCATCTCATCCAACTGAGGAACAGTACTCACTCAGCATCCACCCAAACACCCTTGGGCCACATTTTGCTTGTGAAATCAACAGCAGAATCACCACACCTTTCTAAGGATCCTCAGCAGTGGGGTAACTACTGGGGGAGAGGGGTGGAGAGTGCAATTGCACCAAGGCCCATGGGGCAGGGGGGCCTGGTAAATCTTTACTAGGCTCCTCATATAGATACCGACATAATTGTACACCCGTGACTCACAGAAAGATCCTGTTTCACCAGTTAGCTTCCATCAACCCTGACGTCTGCTTATGTCCCTGTTCATAATTCATTTCATCTATGGCAACAGTTTTCGTATGGATCCTTCACAACCTGCAACATTATACGTTTTTATATATAATTGGAAAATCTTAAAAGATCAACGTTATTCCATTCAAATAATATGTTTAAATTATGTACGTCATGCAGCAAAGGTTCTCAGAATCTATGTAACCTTCATACATGGCCAATAGCAAAAAAACAACTAAATTATACTGTCAGTTCTTTATTTATTAAGAGTAATTATGGGTGCATTAATTTTTACATTTTTTTGTGCTGGGTCCCAGCACTAGTCACTCCACTGATCCTCAGCAAAACCTTACAACATAGTCTGTGAACTAACTACAGTTGTATGCAAAAGTTTGAACATTAATGTGCACCTGCATGTTTTGTTGATTTTCTACGTGAAAATACAGGAAGCAAACTTAATCATGGCTTTTTTTCCTACAAATTTTAGTGCGCAATTTGGGGGCGCTCAAACTTTTGCAAATGACTGCATATGAAATGTATTCCAAACATATACATGTTCCTATTTTTGCTTCATTAAATAAGACCTTCCACTTGTGAAAGGTTTTGGTTGTGGCCAGTCTGATCATTCAAATTTAAAAAGTCTGCCAATTTTTCTAAATCTGAAGTGTAGAGATTATCATTGACTGTTTCTGACTATTATCCTCCATCTCCTCAGGGTGCTGAGGGTATTCCTGTCACGTACTGCTCAGAGAGTCCCCTACATGTCTAGCACTACTGTCCTGAGGATGCTGGGAGTGATGGTGCTCACCGTGAGCTGGTTCCTATGCGCTTGGACTGCAGGGGTCCTACAAAACCGAGACCGCAATGTTCCTCTATTGATTACATCAACCACCTCGGATGGGCAGGGCTTCAGTGTGTGTGACTTGGACCGGTGGGATTACATGATGGCTGTTGGTAGGTGAAATTTGCAGGATCATAACCATATGATTTCCTTATGTTCTTATTTCTTGACAAATAACACTGGCCTATGGAACCATGTGCATTTGACAACCAGACTCTTTTATGCTAAGAGGAGCCATCAAGAGATTGACTAAATAACTGATGAAAACTAATCCAGTGGATTTTCAAGCTTATTTCAAAATCATTATTTGAAATGATTAGATATGAGTAGCAAATCAACAATCCATGGCCTAAAATACTCAACTAGCAAAACAGCACATCAAACAATGGCTACATGTTAAACTGACTGCTGTCTCTCTGTGTCTCAGCGGAGCTGCTGTTCTTGTGCTGGGGGAGTTTTCTCTGCAAAGCAGTGAAGGCTGTGCCCTCTGCCTTCCATGAGCCTCGCTACATGGGCATTGCCATCCACAACGAACTACTCCTTTCTGCCATATTTCATCTTTTCAGGTAAGTAGTCAATGTCATGCTGACATGCTCAGTAAAAGCAATAAGCTACAAACATCAATTCCAAAAAAGTTGGGACAGTATGTTAAATGTTAATAAAACAAAAAGCAGTGATTGCTAAATTCTGTTGATGTGTATTAAGTTGAAAGCAATACAAAACTATGATATCTAATGTTTTACTTTATGTATATTGTTTTTTATGTTAAATATACCCTCATTCCAAATATAATGTCTTTAACACATTCCCCAAAAAGTGCTTGCCATTGTCATGTTGAAATAAGCATGGACATCTCTGAAAATGATGATTGGACCAATAGAAATGCTGCAAAATTACTTTGAATGAAATCTCTTTACATTAACTTACATTAAAAGTAAAGGAAGTTACCATTGTGGAGATACTAGTTTTGTCTTGGACAGTGATGATTTTTTGCTTCACAATGTGTGTAAAAATATCTTTCAGCATTAATGGTGCCTTCACAGATGTCCAAATTGCCATGGGCCCTAATACACCTCCATACCAATGATAGATGTTGGCTTTTGAACAGGAAACTTTCTGGATGGTCCTTTTCGCCTTAGGCCTGGAGAACACAATGTCCACTATTTCCCTAAACAACCTGAAAGCCTGACTCGTCAGACCAAAATATGGGTTTCCACTGTGCATCAGTCCATGGCAGATGAGCTCGAGCCCAGAGAAGTCGGTGGCATTTCTGGACGTTGTTGACATATCTTCCACTATGCATATTACAGTCTTAACTTTTAGCCGATGTAGTGATATCTAACACAGAAGCATAATGTACAAATCACTGTTTTAATATGCGTTTAACATACTGTCTCAACTTTTTGGAATTGAGGTTTGTAATCTGACGTACTGATATGAATGTATTGCTAACTTTTGCCATTCTTAGATTTGCAAGGCCATCTCTTCATCCTGACTGGATGCTCTTGCTGTTCTTCACCCATACTCATGTCACAATCACTGTAACTCTTGGACTGCTGTTCATTCCTAAGGTACTTCTCCTTTGTTAAAGGGCCATTTCAGTTATATGCATACATCAGAGTTCAATTTGTAATAACAGATTAGGATGCTTCAAAATGTGCTTGTTGTTTCAGTTCCTCCACATTTCTCGACCTGTGAAAGAAGAGATTGCAGCAGAGGTGTATGAGGATGAGGTGGATCTTCGGCGTTCATGTTCATACCTTAATAGCAGCTTTACATCTGCCTGCTGGAGTGACCACAGCCTGGACCCTGATGACATCCGGGTAAACTCTTTTACCCCCATGCAGCCCTGCTAGCAACCCCAAACAACCTCTCTGGGGCTCACTGTATGATAATGTCTGCATATATGCCAAGAGACAGTGTTAAAATTATAATTGCTGCTAATGATGGACAGTTTTTACAAATAACAGTGCTGAAAATGTCATAACATTTTCAAATATACAGTATACAATGTATAATTGTTTGGCAAAAGAGCAGATATTATTATATAGTGTCTATGCCCATCAAACAATAAACTAACCATAAATAAACAATAAACCCTTTCTAACTCAAGCAACATCTACTAACACTTTATTTAGCCTATGAAAGTGTGAAAATAAGATTCATTATAATAAGATGATAAAATATGCTAATCATCATGTTCATCAGTTCATATTGTATGACCTCTTCTCCCTCTTTCTTCCTCTGCCTGTTTCTCCTTGAATCTTTCGCTCTCTCAACAATAATCATCAACACCATTCCTATGCCCCCTTCAAACTCTTTCTTTTTTGAACCCCTTTCTTTGCACCGTTTACTTTGGCACTAGGATGAGTTGAAGAAACTTTATGCACAGTTGGAAGTCCACAAGACCAAAAAGATGGCAAACAACAACCCACACCTGCAGAAGAAGCGCAGCTCTCGGCTTACACTTGGCCGATCCCTTATTAAGCGCATAGCTGAGATCCCAGAGAGTCTGAGTCGGCAGTGTAGTCGTGAGGACAAGGATATTTCAGGGGCTGGAGGAACACGAAAATGGTCCGGATCTTACATGGCAACTCCTGACAGTGCCAGTATAAAGAATGAGACAGTAAGGCTGCCATCTCCAAAGATGCGAAAGTCCCTTAGTGCCTATGAATATGTCCCAGAGAAGGAGAGAGGTAGCTCTCGGAAATCCTCGATGAGAAACTCCTTGGACAAGAGGTCCTCACATGTTTCTGAGGCTGAATCCATCGACACAGCACTACTTATTTGCAAGTCAGCCAGTGCTCACAATCTCGCAGTTGACAACAACCTTCTGCAACCTGGCTCCACCCGTTTTCAGAAGTCTCTCAGTTTCACAGAAAAGCACAGAGATCATTATCCTCTTTGTCCCACTAGAAGCATGGAGGACACATCCCTTGCAGCCAAAGCAAGCACAGAAAAGGTTCATCGACCACAGGGATCTATAAAGGAGCAAACCTCAAATGCCTTGCTTTGTCTGTCATTTGACAAGGCTGAGGTCTGCCCTTGGGAGGTTGAAGAGGAGCAGCCTGCTGGCAAAAACCTGTCAAACCAAAAACATGTCACATACTCTCTCTCTCAGGAACAACCCCCAGCACCTGAGACTACATCGTCACCCACCCGACTCTATGTCTGTCCGTGGGAAGCTTTGCCTCCCCCACCTCCCCCTGTGGCAGAGGGAGGGCATGTAGTAGACACAGATGTTGACTCTCCAAGGCCAAAACCTCCCATCTCCTCCAGTGCTCCAGGATCACCACATGGCTTTGCCAAGCCAAAGGACCACCGTGGTTTCTCTTTCCGTTCAGCTACTCAAGGCCTTCTCTTAGCCAGGGGACTGGTGTCTGGAAAAGGAAGTGGCAAAGATAGGAGTAGAAATGAAATCAGTAGTAAAGAGGACACATCACAACAGGCCCGAACAACATCAATGAAACTGACTCCAGGCAGTGCTGCAGGTTCAGGAAGGAGGACACCACAAACACCAAGACGAGCTATGACCACTATCGATACAAAACCTTGTCTTGTAAAACAGGAGGCGATAAGACTATCATCATACGATTCTCCAGAGAGGAGCCCCAAAACCAGTGCTCCTACTCATGTCTGCCCATGGGAGTCAGAAGAGATAGTAATGGAGGTCAGAAAACAAAACCCCTATGAACATATAATACAAAACCAGGGCAGCAAGCACAGACTGTCTCTGACCCTTAGTACTGACAGTAACAAATCATTGTTGCACCAGCTTAGACCTTCGCTAACTATTCCAAAAGCAGAAGTGTGTCCATGGGATGTACCAAACCAAACTCAGGCTGTGCATCAACAAAGTATTATTGCTAATGTTTGCCCCTGGGAAGTGGAGGAACCAGATCAATCACAAGCCAAGGGTTCACGTGCTGACGTTTGTCCTTGGGAAGTAGATAGCAAACAAACAGAAATGACAACAGAGAAAAAAGACCTATTAAATGTTTGTCCATGGGAAGTCTCAGAAGAGGCATCTAGTATCAGTCAAAAATCTAAGGAAGAACAACGTCGGAGCAGTATAAAGGCTGAAGTGTGCCCTTGGGATGTGCCAGATACCAGTACCTCTCAAGTTAAACAAGATTCAGCCAAATCACCTTCAGAAGCAATGAAACCAGCTGAGAGAGTTATATATGTAAATACTCATCCAGGGGAAACGGCACCAAATGGGAAAAGCCCAGTGCAGCAAGAGACAGTTCGTCCAGATGTTTGTCCATGGGAAACAAGTGAAGCAGACAAACATCAAGAAAGCATTCATGGTGATGTATGTCCTTGGGAATCAGAGAACACAACAGGGCAAGGCCCAGAAACAATTAAGGAAACTGATGCAACTAAGGAGAGCGCAACTGTTACAACACGTTCATTAACTAAACAACTCACCAGTACTGCAGAAGCATGCCCATGGGACTTCCCTGAGACTTCTCAATCGGATGTCACAGATGCTCAAGGTCAAGAAAGTGTTCGTTCAACTATATGCCCATGGGAATCAGAAGAGAAGCCAAAAACCGATGCTGAAGAACAATCGGGAGAAGCTGTAGTCAGGAAAACTACAGAAACACCACACCAACTAACAAAACAGCTCACAAACACAGCAGAAACTTGTCCTTGGGATTTCCCTGAATCGCCACCTACTGGGACAGAAAGTGTAGGATTAACCTCGCAGGTGTCCACAACTAAGAAAGCAGATGTATGTCCATGGGAGGCAGAAGAAAAGTGTAGTGCCATAACCAAGGAGCCAGAGAAATCAGTGCTAAAACAATTATCTGTACATGCAGAGGTTTGTCCTTGGGAAACTACTGAGCCAGTCAAAAAACAAGAGGTTGTTTCTGCTGAAGTCTGTCCTTGGGAAACGAGTGGAGTGGAAACTGAAAAGCCTGTAAAATCATGCCAAAAACAAACAAGTCTTCGTTCTGATGTATGTCCATGGGAGACAAGTGAGCCAGAAAAGCAAATCCAGAAACAAGACAGCGCTTGTGCTGATACTTGCCCCGAGGAAAGAGAACAGTCACCCAAACCAGCTCAGAGTCAAGACAGCCCTCAAGCAGATGTACGTCCTCAGGAACCAGAGGACTCAGAAAAGTCACAAATGCAAGAAAGTGTCTGTACAGATGTTTGTCACTTGGAATCAGCCTCTGAAACACCAGCAAAAGCAGAGGACAGCACTGATCAAAGTGAGAGAAGGAAAACAGATATGCCACTATCTGCAGACACTAGTCCACATAGCGCACAGGGGGCAAGAGCTAATCGGCCTCTGACTCGATGTGATGCACTGTGTCCATGGGAAATGGACGGGGAATCACAACCACCCATAATAGAGCATGATAACAACTCAGATGTTTTTACATGGGAGGAACCAATACCAGAAGAGGAAGAAGGTGATGCAGAAACTGCTGCAGAGGCCTTTATTTTCCCACCTGACTTATAAGCTGTGAACTATTTAGCACTGTGCTTGTTCTTTTAGCTTCAGCGACATAAACCAAATTCTAAAAAAATGGGCCACTAGTCATACTCCACAGTAAATATATAATGTCCATTCATGGCATCTGGCATACTGTAAAGGCCACTAAAGAAGACTGCCATAGTGAATGTCCATCTCAAATTTCAGCTCATCAAGCAATATGCCAAGACTGAAAATCATTGTGATGGACTGGTCTCCCCACCTAAGTGCATATCCCCCTTTGGTCCTAAATTATTGTCAGTCCCTCTTTGAACTTGGTATTGTTTTGTGTTTCTTTGTGTTTGTATGACAGTGCAGTCTCTTTAATTGCCAGCCCCACCTCTGCATCACCTTCAAATCAGAGACTGATGTAAACAGACAGATATTGATCAAAGGATCAACACTAAGAGCGAACATCTGTCAGAGGAACTTTTAAGTTTTATTTTTCTGATTTAAGATTAGTGGAAATGCATTCTACATCTGTTCATTTATGCTGAATGCAGCTGCTTTCTGTGATATAACCAACTCTGAAACTACATGCAATGCAATCATTAACTAAACAACTGGCATGACAGTGATGTATGTCCGAGGAAGGGTGTTCAGGAATGTCCAAGACCATTTGCAATCATGAACAATTTATAAAGCCATTTTGTTTACGTTAAATTTGATAAGTATGTATTTATTATCAGACTTGTTTTGTTTACAAAGAAATGTAAATATAAACAAACTATTTTGAACTTTCAAACAGCCTTTGTGTCATTGACTTATTGTCCATTTCCAGTTCTTGCATTCAGTGGTCTGTCTATGAATTTGAGAAGGAAAACATGCCCAAACGTCCGTCTGCAACACTATAATATTCAGTCCTCAGTCAATATTTATGTTCAGGAATCACAGTTGTTTGATAATAATGATAAGCTGGGCTAAGGCAGGTTTTGTATGCCAATAGTTCAATTTTAAGTAACATTTAACATTTGAAATGTACATGTAAACATAAGTACGTTTTCCATTGGAATTGGCCAGCGTCAGAGACTGGTGGTAGGTCAAGTGTGCATGCACATTTAAACAATACATGGCTTAGAATCATGCTAAGAAACCTGAGTAAAAATCTAGTCTAGTCTTTCACACGTATAGTGGTATTGGCTCTGTACTCCAGCGCATTTGAAAAATTGACCGTAAGTCCAGAATGTCATCTAAATTGTGATTTTGGAAGCGTGTGAGCACTATATTTTATAAAGGGTGTGAATAACATGGGATCAATATAGTTTAAGTAGTATAACTTAGAGTCTTCAGCACCTCCATCATGAAAATGTGATCAAAATGAACAGCCTACCTGGCATAAATCAAATCAATTAAATTCCTTATCTGTCAATTCCGGCATCAAAATTCTATCAAAATAAATGATACCTTTCTGACAAAAATCCAAACAAAAGTCAAAATCTAGAAAACTGAACTGTTCAGAACAGTCCACCCATCTTAGCTCAAAAACACTTCCTGTCCTTTTTTAAAGACAGCTGTCTGCTGTCTTTAAGAAACTGGGGGTAGATACAATTAGATTATCCAGAATACTTGTGAAATGGTTCACCTCTGTGCAACACGGAATAACATCAAAATAGTTCAGTACTGGACCTTAGTTCTGTTTGACGTTCACACAAAGCAAAGACTCCGGCCCTATTTAACCCCTGGGTGAACGTATCACAGGCCATTTTATACATAGTCCCACCATTTAATGAAAGCATTAAGCGGCAAATACTGAATTACTACTACAGGCATCACTAGATGCTGACTCTCATATCTGGTAAATGTTCTGCCAAGTTTGTAATGCAGTCATTTTCAGTTCAGCTCCTTAGGACACCTTTTTGCATTCAGTCTTGTCCTCAGTATGTGAAATGTATGTTCAATGGGACTCCCTAATTGTTTTAGTAGTACATTCATTATTGATCCTGCTGGCTTACGCCTATAAGCTTTTTTTGGCATTTGTTAGCAAATCAAGGCAAATCAACAAAAATTGTCACTCTTCTATTACGTAGAAACAGAACAGTTTTGGAATTAATTGCAATAAATGCTCACTGCAATAAAGTGCAGACTCGAATGTGAGCCTTTCTGATTGTTTCCAGTAAAACTTTCAATGAAAATAAAGAAAATGAAGCATTTGTTTGGCATCACATACCTTTTTTATGATATTAACATTCAGATTTTGGATAGCCAAAGGTCCAAATAAGGGGGAAAAATGTATTTTTATATTTTTTAAAAAGCGTCTAGCAGTCATTGTGAAACAAACATACAATACCAAACATTCTTGACTACAGTTTAATATATTATCTGGATAACTGTACCCTTTTATTTTCCCTATATAGTGCAAAGCCATTTCAGTGATAATGAAGGACAGTCACGCAGTGTTTGATATTTAGTGGAAATAGTTTATTTCAAAAGTCAATACTGAGCCTGGACATAGGGGATTGATGCGCCACCCTCTGGATTATTTGTGCCACTGCACTGCAATGGGCTTGGGTACCTCATAATTGAGACTATCAAACTCCTCATCCGGCCTAAGCTTGGGTCCTGGGATCATAACAGTCTACAAAGGGGAAGAAGAATACAGTGAAGGATTTGATCAACAGAAACATGAAAGAGATATTAATGACTACTGCCTTTTTAACATAAATTCAGTTTGAAAGAACCATTAAACTCTCAAACCTTAATGATGGGGTCTTTAGGTGGAGCCCAGGCAGGCACAATCTTGCCATGTAGCCTCCAGCGGCCATAGGGGTTGACCAGGTGCCTCTCCATTACCAGGTACTCCAAAACATCTCTGGGTTCCTCCTCATTTCCCAGCATTAACCGGCCAAATCGGTCATAGATTGCCAGTGTCTGAATGACGCCACAACCCCAGAATAAAAACATCAGTTGTGTGCTACAAAAAGCCCTATGCCCTTCAAATTTGAAGAGCAGACTCTACAGGGGGAAACATACACAGTCATGAACGTGCTTCACTCACCTGTTTGGAGTGCATGCGGACTGTCACTTGACCATACAGATTGCCTTTGCTGACCATGTCAGGGCATCGGGCATGAACCACCCGTGGCGGCTCCAATGACTCAATAAAGCGCCAGCGCAGCGTTTTATACCGGTTGCCTCGAACCATTTCCTACAACACAGAACTCCCTCATGATGTGCCCAAGAGACTAACCAATAGTTCACTTAAAACAGTCAATCTGTTTTGATGTAATATTTATATAATGTACACAGCTTGTATAATCACAATCTTCCCTAAATATTACATATTCCAAAAGCTTAATTATGAAAAAGTGGTATACATACGGGGTAACACCTTTCTGTGACCAAAGAATGGAGTTTCTCTTTGTTAAACCTACAAGGTGGGAAACAAGGAATAGGACAAATCTAAATGTACAAGTATTGCACAGACACCCAAAGTTATAATTTTACCCCAAATTACCATACAATCATAATCCAACAGCGACAAGCCAAGACTGTGAGTTTCAGGCATGTGAATGTTTAAGACTTTTGAATCCTCTAAAGTTACATTTGAATGGCATCTGGAAGATTTCCTGCTGATCTTTTGCTAGCAGCTAAAATTATGTTACTAGCGTGCAAGATTGAAAGGGGCACTCTGGCCAAAATGAGAAAACCATCATCACAACATATATATATACACACACACACACACACACACACACACATATACATACATACATACATACAGTGGCAAGAAAAAGTATGTGAACCTTTTGGAATTTTATGGTTTTCTGCATTAATTTGTCATAAAATGTGATCTGATCCTCATCCAAGTCAAGCGTATTGACAAATATAATGTGCCTAAAATAATAACACAAAAATTTTTTGATCATTCATGTCTTCATTGAGAACAACCATAAAAACCTCATAGTGCTAGTGGATAAAGTATGTGAACCATTGAGTTAATGATCTCAAAAAAGCTAATTGGAGTCAGCTGTTAGCATACCTGGAGTCTTGTTAAGAAAATGAGTTTGGAGGTGTGGACTAGAGCTACTCTGACTGATAAAAACCACTCAAACTTTTTGAGTTTGCTCTGCACAAGAAGGATACGCGTATGTGAGCCATGCCTCGCCAGAAAGAGCTTTCAAAGGATCTAAAACGATCAAAAATTGTTGATTTAGATAAAGCTGGAAAGGGTTACAAAGTGATTTCAAAGACTTTAGAAATTCACCAGTCTACAGTAAGGCAAACAATCTACAAATGGAGACAATTTGGCACTGTGGCTACTCTGCCAAGAAGTGGGCGCCCAGTCAAAATGACCCCAAGAGCACAACAGAAACTCATCAATGAGGTAAAGAAACGACCCCGAGTAACAGCCAAAGATTTGAAGGCGTCACTGGTACAGGCTAACATCTGTGTTCATGGAGTCTACAGTCCGTAAAACCTTGAACAAGCAGGGTGTCTATGGCAGGACACCACGAAGGAAGCCGCTGCTTACTAAAAAGAACATTGCTGTACGCGTGAAGTTTGCAAAAGAGCACATTGACACTCCACAACGGTACTGGCAAAATGTTTTGTGGACAGATGAAACTAAGATTGAACTATTTGGAAAGAACATGCAGCGCTACATCTTGTGTAAAAAAAAGGCACTGCACATCACCATGAAAATATCATCCCAACCGTAAAGTGTGGTGGAGGGAACATCATGATTTGGGCCTGCTTTGCTGCATCAGGGCCTGGCCAGCTTACAATCATTAAGGGGAGATGAATTCCCAAGTGTATCAAAAAATTCCACAGGATAATGTGAGGGTGTCTGTACGTCAGCTGAAACTCTTTAGAAGTTGGGTGATGCAACAGGACAATGACCCAAAACACTGGAGCAAGTCCACAACAGAATGGCTTATGAAAAACAAAAATTCTGCCAGGAAGAACGGGTTAAAATTCCTCCTGAACGATATGCAGATCTGATCCACAGCTACAGGAAGTACCTGGTTGAGGTTATTGCTGCCAAGGCGGGGGGGTCAACCAGCTATTAATTCCAAGGGTTCACCTACTTTTTCCACTACCACTTTAAATGTTGAATGAGTGTGTGCAATAAAGACCTGCAAAATCATATTTTTTTGTGTTATTATTTTAGGCACATTATATTTGTCAATACACTTGACTTGGATGAGGATCAGATCACATTTTATGACAAATTAATGCAGAAAACCATAAAATTCCAAAAGGTTCACATACTTCAAGTTCACTTAACACCAAGCAGGACACAAAAAGCCTTTACTTCTAAAAGGAATGCTTTTAAGAATGCTTAAAAGGGTCATGCCTGATGAAAGCTGTGGCTGCTCTGTGTGGATAGCTTTCTCTATTATGCCCCAGCCTTTCTATTAATTCCTTAATAGATTTGCCTTTGAAATAAAGGCAGTTTTTAAATACAATATTTAAGACAGCCTTAGTGTGAAGTGAACCTGGTGTTGCTGCAGCACTTTATTAAAGAGCAACTTAATGACTCTCCATGATTTATTGAGAATAATTCACCTGAGCACCCCATTAAGTCACTTTTTTCTATCTATACATCCATCTATCTGTCTGTCTGTCTGTCTCTCTATCTATACATCCATCTATCTATCAACTTAAAGTCTATTTGGTACCATGAAAAAGAGCCAAACAAAACAGAATGCACTTCTTACTGGGTCAGGGCCAAATGAGCCTCAATAAAGATTTCCTGAGCTCGCACAGCAAAGTCCTTAGAAGAAAACTCCGAATCGTGATCCTTTATTTTACGTATCCTAAGGAAATAAATCAGCACAGAAATGAGAAATGTTAACGTAATGCTCTTACAAGCCAATGCTTTACAACATAATAATAGCAGCGCATGAAACATATACTTCATGAAATACCACATTACACATTGAGTTATCATTTTATTGGGAACATCTACCTTGGATCTGCACTCACTGGCCATTTTATCAGCTATAGCTACCCTATAGGTGCACTTGGAGGTACAACTACTGACTATAGCTTATGTGTTGCTGTACATGTTATCAGCCACTCTCTACCCTGGCCATCAAAGGGACCACCACTGGATCACCACTGACCAGATGACCAGATATTTTCATTCTAAACACAGCAGTGATGCCAAAACGGTAGGGGCACATGTTCCTAATAAACTGGCAACTCTTAGATAAAGTATTGAAGGCATGTATAAAACAGAGATTCTTACGCCAACTGTGAGGCAGCACTCTGTCGCAGCTGCTCTGCGCGCTGTTTCAGGCCCTCTTTGGACAAAGTGGAAAGCCGAGCATCGCCCTCGGGAGGGACGTACGGATCAACGATTCCAGCTATCAATCATATAAAGCAGGGGAAAAAATAATAGCGCTGAAAAAAGCATCAGACAGCCCAATCCCTCCAAGCAGTCATAAATGACTCAGAGTGGACTTGAAGACAAACAAAGGCCATGACAACACGCACAAACCAACCCAGAAACTCTACAGAGATGACAGGAAACACTGACATTGATCGTGTCTGACAGTAACCCTAAAGCTGATGTACCTGTGCATGCAACGTTGATGGCTCTCTCCATGTACTCCTGCCTGATGACCACACCTGCAGCCCGTGCCTTTGCCTCCTGCTCTGCATGGCTCTTCTCCTTCAGGCCCACTGCGGGTGGGATGAAGTACCGCTTCTTTGTCCGGATAGGAATCACCACAGACTGGGGGAACTGCACGTCCAGCAAGGGTGCGACAGCCTGGATTCATAGGCACAGGTCATAAATTCATCAAGTGTTCTTTTATGGATGTAAAAATTAATTATGCATAATCATACTGGATTCTAAAATTTAAGCATTGGACAGATGTTTAGATTTGACTGATATTTCAAACCGTTATGTATGTATGTTTGGTAATTTAGAGGAGCAGAATGCTTAGACCCTTTAAAAATAAGTGGTATATTTACATGCAATGGTTATTCAGGTAGATGCAGTCCCAATTTCTACATTTTATAAACATTAATATCAGCATTAACATAATGTACATGAAAAATATTGGATACTGGCATCAGTAAAACCCAGTGAGGCATCAGTATTGGAATGACAGGGCCGATTATAACCCACTACAGTAATATTCTTTAACATGTGCTCATATTCGACAAAAATTAAAATTAGTATTTCTACAGTTTGCCTGAAATCTGGCACTTCTTGGAAACAAATGTGGTAAGAACACAAGGCTTGGAGTATTTTTTAAGGGCTATATTCCACCACTAAGTAAGAATAGTTCTTCCAGTTAGATGTGCACCATATATGACCACTGTCGGAAAAAAAACCTTGTACCTCCAAATGCTGCCTTTACAAAGGAGGATTTTAAATGCAAATTAACGTAATAAGATTTTACTCCAGTCCTGCGTCAAATACCATTTGTGTTGTTTTATGTTGCAAAACCAGTCATATTTTTTACATGACCATCTTCCAACCTTTCTTTATCCTTTAAACAGACTGTTTTGGTATACAGTGCCTTTAAGACTGATATGTAAATGAGCTCTGATTGGCTGCCCTGTATTGTGCCTCATTCAAAAACCTTATAAACACTCCTTATAACTTCAGTGTGAATGTGTGAGGCTAAACTGCTGTAGGCTGAATAAGTGAATATATGTAAATAATTTGTTTTTTTGTGACTTCACAAAAATAATGAATCAATAGTTTCCACATGTGGACTGTCACTGAGAAGTGAACAGTATTTGAAACTTTAATACTGTTTTAATCCTACATCAAACACTTTCATTACAGAAAAAAAAGGAAATGGTGGGTTTCATGGCTCAAGTTGCCGCAAGTCAGAAGTCAGTCTGCCCAATAAAGAACAAAGTATTGTGATTACAAAAGGAGAACTCTGCAAATTTTACATTAAAAAATCTACATTATTGAATGGTTGAGATGTAAACAAAATCATTCTAGAGAAACTTATCGAGTCAGAATCGTTCACAGTGGTGGTGATAGTGATCAGATGTCTGAAGAGTTTAATGCTTCTGTGAGTTTCCTCATAGAAAGTTATTAAAATTAAATGGTTAGATATACACTGCCTGATGTCTGACACATCGTTTTATGATGAAGTTTTCGCTTAAAATGTATTTTAGCCCATTCAAGGCGGAGGGCTACATGCAGTGCGTTGTAAGGCAAAACAGTCCCCAAAGAAAACTTATTCTTTCATATTTATGACTAGTTTACCATCAACATCACATATAAAGCTCAGAAGACACCTTTAGGTTCACTGCTGTGACATTTGATTCATGTCAACCTACTTATTAAAAAAAAGGTACTGGCATATTAAACTGCAATAAAAAATAAATAAAAAACTCAAGCAAATGTAATAAACTAAATATCTGTTCGTCCAGCTGTCCGGGCTGCATCATTTTGAAGCGTGCTAGGCGAAATGTCACTTCTCCGCCTGCAACCTGTTTCTGTGATCGCCCAGAAAGTCAAACAGTGCTGCATATTATTAGTAATGCACTAATGCGCTCGTTATAATAAGCGTATAATTCCATACCTTTAAACTGTTACATGTCGACTGATTAAGAAATTTTAACGTCCTACAGATGGACGTCGCCATGATCGTCCCCAACTTCTTCTATGATGTTACCAGATACGTGGAAGCCTCAATAGCGCCGCCGAGTGGAAAGGCGAATAATGAAGCCTAGCGCGCTGGAATCGGCGGCGGATTTAGTGAATCCGGGGCTCTACGCAAGAGACAGGAACGGTGTCTTCGGAATACACATTTTTAAATTAGTTGAGACTCTGTGCTTCCACGTTACACATCCGTTTACACTGCGAACATGTCTTAAAATGCTGAAATAGTCTTAAATCTAGTCGACATATCTAATATTTCTCATTTTGGGGCGGTTGTAAGCGTTCACCGCTGTTAAAACAGACATCGCTTCCGCACAAGCCGCAGCTACGCTGTACATAAACGCAAAGCTTTCCTTTATTTAATAGTTCGCTCTCTCTCCACAAAGAATACATATAGGGTAAACCAAGATGGTACATGTCTATTCAAGTCAAAAGGGCTTAAAGGAGTTCCTGTCTGCTTAAGTCTTGCGTCAACCGCTTCGCCCCGCCCCCGTCTCCCGGGGCAACAGCAGCAGTCTTTGCAGAAAGACTAGGCAGCGCGTTGAACAATCCCGAAACAAAACTGGTTTTTCTTAAAACCAGCTCATCGAAAAATACGTATATATGCTTGAAATACTCACAATACCCTACCATTTATAAAATGGCCAAACGTCACTGTAATCTTAAAGGGGGAAAGTGTAATTCCTACAGTTTGGAGAAATGGGCAGGATTTCCCGCTTGTGTGATCGGGGACTCGAGTCTCTGTTGTCTGCTTAAGGGGGAATGTTTCCCCTCCTCCCGCTCTCCAAAACCACGTGACTTCGTTCTCGGAAATATTTTGACATGGCGGCTCTCGGTCTCATGTATCCTCTTTGCTCTCCCTCAGCTCACGCGCACACACACACACACACACACACACACAGCCCCGCGGGCGGCACTTTAGCCCCGCCTTCTACAATAAGAGTCCTTAGCACACCAAATGCAACAAGGGCTAAAGAACACATAACCTAAAATTAACATGCAAAAGCATTTCTTAAAAACATGCTACAATATTATACGTTTATTTAATTATTTGTTTGTTTTACTTGTTTTGAGTAATTTTATGAAGGAAAATTATCTCACTATATTGGCAGATATTTGCTTTTTTTTAAAGAAATATGCTCTGCCGATATAGTAAGATGATTAGGTACAGAGTAATATAGAAATTAAGTGATGAGTAGGGAGATTACTTATTCCAAGAATAAGTAATATAATACCATTGCAGTTGGAGAGGATTTATGATTAACTTGGAATGAATTACTGTTTTTTGAGTAATTACCCCAACACTGTAGCCATCTATACCTACGTTAACTCTAGCATTATGTACAGTCTGCTGAGCCTGTGAAGCACTTATGACTGAACAGAAATTAGCTCTGGGAGTGATGTGACACTCATTTTTGCGTTTCACTGCTGCACTTTTTTTTTTGCAAGTTTTTTAGATTTTCCCTCTCAACACTGAAACAAGCACATACACACACAAAAATGTATTAAACCACTCATGCCGAGTCGCAGGGGTGTGCTGGAGCCTATCACAGCGGTCAATGACCGGAAGGCAGGATACACAAAAAGCATCCTCTCCATAATGTATCGGTTAATTGTCTCGTTCATACCATTCTGTCTTTATGCAGTAGTGTCATCGTGTAACAACATGGAACAGTCCATTATAACCATGACTGAGGGGTAGACTCGCATTGATAAAAATAAACGCTACAATCACAAATGACCATTTATCTCAGAATAGGTTATTTAACATCAACACACATAGTATCTCATTTGTATTTTCATAGATCCCTTAATTGGCTCATGGGCCCCTAGGTGACTGCCTACTTTTGCCTAGTGCCCCACATGCTTTTAAAATGGTTAACTCCTCTAGGTGGCTAATTTTAAAATGATACAAAAAGGTATTTGTGTCGAAGGTTTTACCACAGCACAAACTTCACATTTTCCCCACTCAAACTCAGATCTTTTTAGTACCTCTGTAAAAAATGATTCAGCTAGCCCCCCCTTTAGCCTCCAAGATTTTAGTTTTGTAGATGCTCAGGGATAGAATTTATTTTTATTTGGCAAGTCAGGGACACTGTGTTTCTCAACTTCGATCCTTTCACCCACCTGCACTGCACCTTTTCATGTGAAGGTCATCATTACGATGTGACTTGAAACTCTACGATCCAGGTGGACTACAAGAGTAAAGACAAGAGACATATAAAAAAACATTACAAACGCACAACTCAGTAAATTACAATTCAGGAGCTGAACTGCACAGATCCTGCCATCTCACATTAGGTACAGAGTAACGCGTTATAGACTACCTTACTACGTAGTAGATACATTGGTGACGTATCCGCATTCCATTCCAATTAACGCTGTCATTGAGACCAACATTTTAAAGCAAATGCTTGTGTTTATTTTTAAAAAATTTAAACCTCATTATGACTCAACCGAAATGGAACATAAGCCGCGATATAAAAAGCTAAGAAAAGAACGTTTAGTCAGAGAAAGTGTAGTGAGGAGAATTGCCACTCAGTCACGTGTTGCGGGTTTGTCAAACGCTAGAGGGCGCTCCCGAGCGAGTCCAAAATGAAAGGAATAATATGGAGCATTTGAGCAAAATTATAGTTTGTAAACGCTTAAAGATCTTTATATAGAGGAATAGATTACCTGAACAAAGAACAGCATAAAACATTTTTACACTGCTGTTATATTTCTGAGTTCTTTTGAACTCCAGCTACAGGACTTTATAAGGGGCCTCATGTACGTTAATGACGTCAGTTATAGCGAACCGCTTCCCTCAGCCAATGAACAGATCAGATGGCCAACCTAGCGCTCAGTAGCAGTGATTCCAACCAATCAGCACTCAGTAGCAGTAATGCCAACCAATCAGCACTCAAGTAGCAGCAACGCCGGCATCCTGCCCAAAACCCATTTGCTGTAGAAATAAAGGAACTATAAAGGTAGGTTTTCTTTGCTTTTTATTGAAATACATCCTTTTACATTCCAGAATTAAAGGAAGGTCCTGGACAAGTGGTTAGAAACTATTTTAACTTTTCATTTTTATCCGTTTAGCTCCTTTCACCCCCGTTCATGTTCTTGCTCGTGGGCGCCCTCCAGCGTTTTGCAGTCATGTTTTTGATATAATCGTAGAAAGTGGATGGGCCACTCTTAACCGGCTATGGTACAGCTTAAGTCCATAACTGACTTCCATAGCAATGAGGTGCACTTTTTGAGCTCGGAAAAATGGAGTTCAGTGGAGTTCAGGCGGCCCCTGCTGTTCATGACTGAGCAGCAGCAAAGGGTTTTTGTGGGTGGGTCACGCTGTTTTCTTCCAGATTTGAAGCAGAGGCCAATGGCAGTCGATACCCATGACCCAGACATCTGAAGCTAGCAAGCGCTATAATTCTAAGCCATAAAGCAGACTGGTTTACAATTACCTCTAGTTACCTATAGTAGTTTTTTGAGTACTTTAGTAGCTACCTGTGTTAGCTAACGTTAGCCCCGAGAGAGAGTTGTCTAAATCCACAACAAAACGTTCCCAAAGGCGTTATTGTGTAAGTGTGGATTTTTTTCTCTCTCAGAAATACATTTGAGTGCAAGTATTCTCATTACAAAAGTAAATATCCACCAGAAAGTTCCCCTGTATGTTTGAGCCTTCATTCACCACCACTCACTCTCTGTTGTTTAACATGACAACACGATACAGTGAAGCTGCAGTGAATACAAAAAAAGAGGACAAAATAGTTCACAGAGCGTAGACCACTGAACCTGAATTTACACAACAGCTGAACAGCGCTGACCCGGAGGCAGAGATGGGGAAAGGGATATGGGAGCAGAGAGAGGTAGACGGCCCGTCTTGGTTAATTTGTAAACGGTTAATACTTTTTATACAGATAAAATAACTCATTTTCTGAGAGTACAACATAAAATAGTTCAATAATGACATTATATGGCTGTCTAAGCCAGGGGTGTCCAACCTAACTTTGGGTTTTCATTACAAACAAGGAGGAGCAAATTTGATTCCACGTGTTTATTTAGTTGGTCTCAGTCTTCAGTTGTGCTTCCGCTTTGTTGGAATGAAAACTTACCCCAAAAATTGACAATAAGATTGAAAACATCGTTCTAAGCATTGGCCCTCATCGTTAGTTTGCAAGCTTCATTCCCACCAATGTCTCAGCCGTCAGTGGCCGGGAGTCCATGAGAGCGTAACTGACCTCACTCTCTCTGGGTGGGGAGGATGGCTCCCCTCCATCACTCAGCATGATACTGCTACCAGTGTAGGTGTCTGTTAGCTGACGTCACAGAATTGGCAGTTGGCGTTCTCCTCGAAGTGCATTGAGCCGTCTGATGTTGGGTTAGCAGCAGTCTGAAAAAAAGCTTAGCAGCGTCATGTGATTGGGAACACCTAGCATGTGGAATAGGCAGTGACTAAATTGTGAGTAAATTAGCTTTAAAAAGCAGCTGTCATAAAGCAATCAAAAATATATCACTTACCCCTACACAGTACACAAAAACAGCGGTTTGTGGTTGGTTTTTTCGTATGTCAGTCTAATGTAAGTCTAATGATCCCTTCCTGTCAAAGCAGGCAATTTTTGGCCAGTGACAAAATACATCACATTCTCTAGCAATAGGCAGGAGGCTGACTTGGGACTAGGAGAGGCACTGCTACAGTGCCATTGTTAAAAGGAGAGATTGTAGATTTTTATATAAAAAAAACATAAGCCCAGTTTTTTTTTTTATCATGTTTTCTTTTCCCCACCGAAGGAAGCTCTGACAGTATCATTAGTCATTCAAATTTCTTTGGTGCATGTACGCATACACAAAGCTTAATAAGTATACCCTGTGTCCAGGTAATTTAGCTGTTCATCTGTTCAGTTAGCCACAGGGAAGAAAAAAAAAATGGGTTGAGCCGACACTCCCAATGTGAAAAGTGCTCCCAATGTGAAAAGTGACCACCCCAAATATTAAACTACTTTTGTTTACATTATTGGTAAAATTATTTTCCAGTATCAATGCTTGCACTACCTTACTACTAAAGGGCTGAAGGTCACTAATAGACTAGTGGGCAGTATTAAACAATTAATGATAACATAATAATTATAGAGTTTAAAATAAAGCTTTTAATTGTTTGCTGAAGTCTCCAAAGAGTATCACTCCTCCATTTATCATTCACTGACTATCATTTCACATTCTTAAAGAGAGACTCTAAGGTGACGTCAGTGAGTTTTGTTTATTGTGAAAAGTCTGTACTGCATATATGGAGCAATGAAGAGTTAAGTTGCTCCATCAGAAAATAGCACTAGAACTGGGAGATTCAACTCTGTGTACAGTGTCTTGCGAGGCCTGCTTTTACATGTTTAGCAAGTTTATGCAGTTTTTCCTAGAGGGCAATGCAACCCTACATTTCCAACTGCACCATTTGTTAAAAAAATGCCTTTGGTGAATTAATCTAATAGCAGAACCCTGAGCAGATGCAACTGTTCAAAAATAAAACAGAAAAAAGAAAAAGTGGTGCTGTATTCCTCCATCAAACCCATAGGAAACCATCAATATTTACGGTACGCCCAGCTATGTAAGCTCAAGTGTTTAATGCTTACACTGAAATCTCATCACCACACTGAGGAAAGTGTCACATGGCCCAGAAAGTCTTGTGGACATAAAAACATGTAAACATGAATTTAAAAAAAGTACTCACATTCTGAATGACCGGTTAAACACGAATAACTGATGAATTTCACTAGAGTGAATAATTTAATAGTGGTACGTATAATTGAACAGCTCATTATTTGAAGGCTATCTCTGGGACAGGCACGTGACTGCAGCTAAACATCGATGGACTCTACTTACAATATAGAATGGCTTCAGCTATTTGTTGACATTTATTTAGTTTGCTTCTTGAATAAGCAATTAATAGTAATGTAGACTAAAAGGATCAGTTCATTTTTAGCATTATTGGGAAATACAAAAGTAAGCATGCGCATTCACATCTGACACATGAAATCGTTTTACTACTTGAGAGTAGGCTTTTCTCTTCATTTCTTTTCGTCTTTAATGAACACCAAGTGTATCCTTAAACAAAAGCACAACAAATGTTTCAGGGAAAGAGTTGGACAGCTTGATCTCCCGTAAAGTTACGAGCCACATTGGATATATTTTTAATAGACATACTTGCTCAACAAGCCTATGTGTATCTGTAACATTTGATTGACATTTACCTGCTTGTTTAAGTACAATTACCAATCTGGTCTGAATAATCATTATTGCGAACCAGTTTTACCGATTTAAGGCCTCAGAGCACAATTACAGAGTAAATCACCATCCTTGTCACTTCAAAGTTTCAGGAAGGCCTTGACTTGATATATTCCAAAGGCCCACGTATGTTCATTCTATTTCAGCTGTGACTTTCACAACAGTAAAATAATTGTTGAATATACACTTTATAAAATGCATTTGTTTTTTTTACAACTCAGTTTTGATGTGGCAGATGCAGGGGTATCGTAAATGACTTTCTCTGCTTTAAATCTTGCCGTTGTGTTGTTGTTTGAGAGGGACAGGCCATTGGGAGTGTGCTGCGGAAGAGGGGATGGTTTCATACAGAAGGAGAAATGCATGACGCAATTCAAATTAGCTGAAGGTCTCAGCAAAGAATACTTGCATTATACAATATACATACAGTACCATGCTTACGCTGTTAGGTCTGGTCTAACCGTTTCAGCGTTGGGGGATCAGTGCCGTTGCCATTAAATGTCCATTCTACAACCACTCCACCATGACCTTTAACCCCATTCTGCCAAGCCACATCTCATGGTGATTCTAGGTAAAACTGGCTATAGCCATCATCACGGATGACACGGCAGAAGAAGTTGATTACTGTTTGCACAGAAAACATACATGGCAAAAAAAAAATAAAAATAAAAAAAATAAAAATAAACTTTAAATCATCGATATCAAATGTTGCAAGCATGCCTCTTATTAAAGAGAAAAGTGTAAGAGCAAAAACAGTTCACAGTTATACTACTGTGTAAATGTGCATACAGAAATGTCTGGCAGAGTACTGTACTGATCGAGTGCTAACTGTAGAAAGCATTTGCATGCGTTACCATCTTTAAAAAGAAAAGAGAAAGAAAAAAGAAAAATCCAAAATCTGGCATTTTGGCCATTTCCATTCACATTTTTGCACGTACATCAACTCCAGCAGGCAGAACAGGGTACGGCATTCCTCATCACGCTTCTGACAGTTTAGGTTCTTCCGTCTCGATTTTGATTTCTCTTGGGTAATTCTCAAGATGAAGCTGCAGTGCTGTAATCTTCATTTTATTGTCACTGGATATAGAAAAACAAAGCCCGTTTGGTTTCTGGATACTCTCGCTCTCTGGTCGGCGGAGGGGCGGAGGCAGCGATGATTTGCTGGGAGATCTGAGTGAGTGAGTGAGCAGGTCAGGAGAGGCCAGGGTCAGAGGTCAAGGGTCAGACAGGGGGCACCCTGCGCTGCACTAAGTACTGGTGGATGTCGTCGGCATCCCGTTTGAGCCACGCTGCATTTAGAAGAATGTTCTCGCAGCACTGCTGGACAGTACGCTCAGCTGCCGGTGCATGGTGACTCTCAAAGAAACTCTGCAATGTCACATTGAAAAAAAAAAAGAGATGGAGATGGGGATTAGCATTACCTGTCAATGTACTGGAGCAAAGAAATCTGACTATGTTTCAAATCCTGATTGATGCTAAGGGCCTGTACAGCATTATTCATAGCCATGGACTGACTGGGAGGACTGAAATGCAATCATATGCATTCAACATAGGACTGAAAGCCTGATCGCTGTCATATCAAAAAGGCAATTTGGAAGAATGTAATTTCCAACTTGCAACCTACAATTTTGATAGTCCACATTATCAAAAGTTTGCCCTACAATCTAAAGGCTGGGGAACTTTATAAGTATATATAAGTTAATCTTGCTCTTGTAGGTACACAATCACAGCACCACCAATCACAAGGCTGAAGTGGCCTGCCCTGTTGACAAAGCTTTAACAAAAATGGGTTCCCCAACTACCTCCTTCTCTCTGTTCATCAGAGAAACTTATCACAAGAAAGCTAATGACAAACAAAAGCTAAAAGAGCATAACTAGCTAGCAAGAACGTAGTTTCAATTAATCAGTCAACCAGCCATGCCAGCATTCCCTGACTTCACATCCAGCAGTAAAGTGAATTAGAAAGTTCTTTAAGACATCACCATGTAAATGCTGGATAATGTTTTCAGTGAGCTGTGAACAAAGAGGGGTTTACAGCATGACCTGTTGGCTTGTTTTACTCATTTCTTCCTACTACACTCACACTGTTGTGTTTAGTTCTGCTTCAGTGGCGTAGCAGGCTGTCAGATTGAGGGCTGTTAAACACAGGAGCTCAGTAAAATATTAGGACTACGTCCAGACAGTTCTCAGTTAGGTCTGATAAGCTGTATAAAAGCAGTGTTTTATTATATTATCATCATACTATGTTTTTTCATTCAAACTTTAGTGGGTATTTAATATTAATTTTAGTAATTATATAAACTGTAATATTTTACTCTGTGTTCCCTGGGACTTTGGGTTAATTTAACCCAATAACACAGAGCTTGTGAACTGCCTGTACATGAGAGACCAATAAAGAGCAAGTGAACACCCAACACTGTGTAGGTAACAAAACAAATCACAACTAATTGGCAGTCCAGCACACTACATTCATTTTTCAAGCCTCAAGCCAGAAAAAGTAGATATGGTGTTTTTAGCTCCAAAACAAAAAAAAACAAAAAAACAAAAACACAAAACAAAACCACACACGCACAGTCATGGTTTAATTTTTGCATTACTGTTGCCAAGGGACACTACACCTAAACAAACCTAACCCTAATCTGAAACTCTCAAACTATCATTTTCTGCTGTTTCAGTTTTTCAGAAGAATTTGTGGTGAAAATAACACATGCTAAAGGAAGACCAGCAAAATGTTCTCACTTGAAAAAAGGTTAGCAAGATGTGTGTTACACACACACAAAACTTTAATTCAGAGATAGTCATCACTTTCAAAACTGCAATCACAACAGTGGTGAATAGTGGGAAAAAAACTAAAATTATTTTCTTCAAACTGTTCGTAACACTTCAACAATTCAGATCTCAGTTATGTGGCTTACCTTCACTTCTGCAGCCATTTTGTCAATTGCAAATCCATCAACAGTCAGCTAAAGGTGAAACATACAAGGAAAAACTGTCAATTTATAATATACTTTTCTAATTTTCTAATGTATACAGTGAGGTGAAAATCTGTGAACTTCTACAAAGAATAAAATTAAATATGGATTTTTTACTGCAAATTTTAGTGCACAATTTTTATTTCCAACATATTGGAAAAAGATTAAACAAAATTTTAATGTGCCATAAATTCTGCACAGGCCACATGAATGTTTTTTCCCCCAATATATTAAATTCAGCAATTAAACAGCGACTGTGCATTACTATGTGTGAAGTGTGTTCTTTGTAGAGAATGTGTGCTTATTTCCACTTCAATTCAACAATACATGTAATTTGACAAGGTTCACCCAAACTGTGTTTTGTATATGACTGTATACTAAATAAATAAATAAATAAATAAATAAATGCTCTAAATCGTTTGCCATAAGTCAAGTAATTTGTGGTCAAAAATCTTTGCATTAAGCGGTTCTAAATGACATTATTCACTGCTGTATGCCAATGTAAAAAGCATATTTTTTGCAAAAAAGTCTTAGTGCAGATAGCATTCCAAAACATGTAAACTGATATCTGAACAGATGAGATCTTTCAGGCAGCTGTATAGTTTGATAGACCAATTTCAGCTGAATAGCCGTTGCTATGACCTTAAAGCTTGTTTTACCATAAAGGACCTCCTGACCAAGTTACAAAATGGAAGTAAACTGTGTTCTGACAAAGGAAAAAGAAGTGAGAAAAGATTCCATATTCAGCATGAGGACAAGATCTGACATTTACAGGTGTTTTCAGTAACCTTGCATGATGACGCACAAAAATGATTGTTATTTATGCATTCAAACATTTCCATTCATTTTGTACTGACCGATTACTGGTTACTCATAAAGCAATATATGCACCAGTCGAGTGCATAAAGGCTGTGATTATTAGTGCTAAGACCCTCCCACCTTGATGAGCCGTGATATGAGGAATCCACCCTGGTAACGGTTATGAAGCTCCTCCCAATTGTCTTTGACGAATTTCCAGGCTGCTTTGCGGCCATGCTTGCTGCTACCGGCCACACCCCCGATAACTGACACAGTGTCTTGAGGACGCACCTCATCCTGCACGGACGTATAGCAGAGTTACAGGGGAAATACAGTCCAGCAATTTCAAATGCTCTGCCCACACAAGAAGACAAATATGGATCTTGGAATGCCTAAAGCAGTACATTCTATAGCTTCTGAACGCTGATTTTTTTAAACATGTCTGTGGGATGATGCTGCTGTCTGCTCCAGACTAGAGCTTGCCATACTTGTATGAACGTGACATTGGTCTCAGACATCATTTCTTAAATGTGTCAACAGAGAACAACGTTACACTGCAAATTTAAACTGTAAAATCTATTTATCTAACTTAGCTAATAGTACTCAACAAGATTCTCTTCTGTCCTCTCTCCATCGTTACTCTCTCCCTTTCGTAAGGTACATAGACATAGATACCCCCGGATGGTTGTCTCCACTTTCTGTATCTATCGTTTCAAAAAGCTCCCTACAGAGTTTTGTAATTGTGACATTTCATAAAATTCTGAAGCAGCGGTAGCAATAATATTTATACAGTGGAAACATTGCAGTGGCCAGGACCCATACTGGACCACCACAGAGCAGGTAAGATGTGGGTGGTGGATCATTCTCAGCACTGTAATGGCACTGACGTGGTGGTGGTGGTGGTGGTGTAAGTGTAGGTTGTGCTGGTGTAAGTGCATCAGACACAATAGTGCTGCTGGAGTTAAACACTGTCCACTTTCTATCTACTCTATTACATACAATTACCTTGTTAGTCCACCTTGTAGATGTAAAGTCAGAGACAATAGCTCATCTGTTGCTGCACAATTTTTCTTAGTCATCCTCTAGACCTTCATCAGTGGTCACAGGACGCTGCCCACAGGGCGCTGTTAGCTGAATATTTTTGGTTGGTGGACTATTCTCAGTCTAGCAGAGACACTGAGGTGTTTAAAAACTGCAGCAGCACTGCTGTGTCTGATCCACTCATACCAGCGCAACACACACCAACATGCCACTACCATGTCAGTGTCACTGCAGTGCTGAGAATGATCTACCCAAATAACACCGGCTCTGTGGGGCTCCTGTGGGGTGAAAGGGCACGAATAAAGTATGCAGAAAAACAGATGGACTAGTCTGTAATTGTGGAACTTGTAGAACTGCACCTTTATGGTACCTATATGGACCTGATAAAAACTGGCCACTTTTTTGGAGATAATGAGTGTATGTACCAGGAGGTGTACTTAGTGAAGTGGCCAGTTAGTGTACATTAGTCAATCAGCTACTATTATAAAACCAACAAAACAGCTCTGGTTATAACAACACATTCACTGCTGCATGCCAGTGTAAAAATCAAACTAAAACAGTCTAAAAGATGTAAACTGATACCTGAATATATGGGATCTTTCAGGTAGCTGTACACTTAGTTTTACTTAATCAATAGTTACACAAAGGTAGCTAACCTGTCTAGCACTTGTCTTTGGACAAGTTGTTTGAGCCAGCCAGCTAACAATTTCTTTCAGTAATATTTAAAGACAGCCTTCATGATTACTGTTTTACTGAAGTGGTCACTGTAATAAATTACAAAGTAAAGTGTTACATTAATTGGCTGTTATGTACTTAAATATCTGTATTTGGGCAAGACTTTCTGTAAGTTGCATAAAACCCAGTGTGGGAAAGCGATCTGACTATACACCGTCCCTAGCTTCATGTTAACACAAAACTGAAAATTTGGTGCTTCCCCCACTGAGCTAGTACAGTGACAGGTACTTTGCACATCACAGATTAATAAAATAATGTAACGATAAAAGAAATATTGACAGTCATTTTTGTTTAATCATATTTTCCATCATCAATATGTGACATAAAAATCTTTCAACGTGGCCAATTTCTCTTCTTTTGTCACCATCTTTAACAAAATTTTAAAGGAAAAAAAGGAAGTTAGCTGGCTGGCTTAAACTACAACGTATTCAAAGATGAGTGCCACACATGTGAGTAACACTCTTCAAGAGGCTGCAATGAAGGTTAAGTGGGCAAATTCTAAAGGATTACAAATATAGGCATGTTATGTGCAAATTCAAAATTAAAATGTATGTCAAAGGGTAGGCCATGCATAAAATAATTGCTTAAGATGCCATTTCACAATAGTGGTTCAAGCAAATGCTTCAGTGCAGAAGCACCATTCAACATAGCATTTTGTTTTGTTTTCAAAAGAACACTGGAGCTAATTTGAGTTTACAAAGATGTTTTCCAGGCGTTATCCTAAGATTTGTAGATTAGACATTTTATTCTCATTGTTCTGAAAAACCACATTTAAGTGAGCTTGGTTTCCTCTGGTAATTATACCATGTCTTCCTTTCTCTCATTGCTGCTCATAAAACTGCATAACCACAAACAATGGTTTTGTCGACCTTGTGGGAGTGTGCATGTTTGTGAGCGTTTCTGTGTCTGTGTTTAAAAACACTTACACATACATACCGAAAGAGCAAAGTTTAGCACTCTCTGGATGAGCTCAGGAGCTGAGATTGCTCCCAGAACTCTCTCTATGCGATTCTTTTCTTCCTGCATGTCTGCTTGCTTGTGGAGCTAGAAAGATTGAAAACAGCATAATGCATACTTACTATATAATGTGTAGATCAAGCTAAAGGATTTCAATTTATAAGAACATTTGTATTGCACCTGCCTGTAGGGATTATTCTCTGCGGTCAGGTTTGGAGTCAGCAACCTACATGTGGCAAATATCCTATCCAGATTAATTTACCTTCAACATTGTGTCCAGCGTTGAGCTGTCCCCATGCTTCAGAACTGTTAGGTAGACCTGGGATAACACAGAAAACACCTGTGCAATGCATCTCCTTCAAGTATTACTTTTCATACAGGGTGTTTGATTTGAAATTGAATTAGGAAGAACTATTCAGTTCTGTTGCCAAATATAAATCTGATGGGGGATAACTACAAATAAATGAGTTCAACATGCCCACAACTCATGAGGTGAGTAAAAGCTGTGGTCTAAAGGAAAAGGGTCTAAATGTGTTTGGCTGGGCAGGTCTTACTGGACTCCTGAGGTCTGCGGGGAGGATCTGCTTGCCTTCCACATGCTGTTTAAATCTCCTCCGAGCCTCGTCCAGCGTGGCCTTGTGTCCCGCCTTGCCCAGCTTCCCCAAAACCAGTCCCCGCAGCAGAGCGTCCAAGTGTCCTGGTCAAGACACCATTACAAAGGGATACATGAAGAGAAAGAAACAAGAATACCATGGAAAGTAAACATAGTAGTTTACGTAACATAAAGGGATACAAAACGCTACCGGGAAAGAAACAGAAGAAAACAGAAAGGAAAGGCCAATAGAGATAAATACAAATTACTCACCAGGTTAATCCTCCCCCACTTAAGACACTTAAAGTCAATTGTATCACGACAATGTTTTTGTTTGTTTTTAAAAGTGCAGAGCAAACAAAGTCTTTTTTTGAGATTTTTACATTGAAAAATACAATTATATGAGTTTTAAAAAAGTAAGCACACACTAACAATTGATTATGATTATAATTGAATGTAACATTCCAAAAATCATGCAATTGAAACAGCACCTTCACCTTGATTGATCACTTAGGGGGCGTTCACACAATGGCTTTTTAACTTGTGCTTTGCAAGAAGCAGGAAGCATTTCTTAGGGGATGGGTTAATGCATTTGACTGACAAACAGGTAAATGTCAGACAGTGTTTTAAGAGAATGCAAAAGATCTAGATGATGACAAACATTTTGAAACTGACCTATATAATGATAAATAGAAAACAGCTAATATGTGAGCCAATATATAATAAAACACAGGAAAAAAAGCATTAATACAGTTCACTGTGCACAAAAACAGCCAAAACTAATTTTCCCTCCATGTTCTCTCCATGAAGGCATCCTCCAAATTCATTGGTCAGCTCTGGATGACGTGACAGTTTTGGAGGGCAACCAGCAATGTTTTTTTTTTTCCCTTTACATTCAAACTCATGGTCTGAAGATGTAAAGTGCACTGTGCAGGCTAAAGGAATGCTTCGGTTGCATGTTTCTCCATAGACAACAATGAAAAACACGCTTGAGGAGATCTGAAAAGACACCGTTTGAACACCCCCTTACTGAACCAAGCCCCACCTCTTTACACCCACTCACCTTCCCCAGACTTGCTGTCCCAGCCCAGCTTTAGGCCAATGGGAGTGAAGAGGTCTCTGATGAACTCCTGGATCTCCTCATGGAAGTCAGTGTAGGAGAGCAGAGAAGACAGCACACCCAGGTTACAGCTCAGGTCACTCCACACAGTGTAGTTAGGCTCATTCACAAATGCCTCCATCAACTTCAGCACCTCCACTGTGCTAATCATCCCAGCGCGTGACTAAAAGAGAGAAAGATGGGTCTAGGATGTAGCACAATAACAATAACTATAAAAAAAACATTTTTAACATTATCAATCAGGCAGGTGTGAGGTACTTTTTTTCATATAATTATTATTAGTATATTTAGTTTACTTAGTGTATCAGTATTTGCAGCGAAGGTTTATATTTATAAAGTTGCTATTTCAGTACACTATGTGCACCTTCTACTCACTACACAAGGGGATAGGGGCAGTTTGCCTGCTTATAACTCATAACGGCACAAACCAGTGCGACAAGATAGTTAGCTAGCTAGCTATTTTTAGTGTTGATATTATGAAGAGTAAAACGGCACTGAGTTTGAGAAAAAACATCTCATAACTAGAGGAGATTACGGGGAAAAAAAACCACGTCTTACAGAGCAACTTTAATAGCCTTTAAAATTTTTGTTCAGATCTGTTTTGTTTCTGTTGACAGTTAAGATTAAATATGAAAACCTATTAAAATGTCATCTCCTCAAAACACTTATTTTTATTTATATTGTATTTAAACTCTATATTACACCAGAATAAGCCTTTTGTCTTATTTAGAGTCCACAATGCTATTTCAACTCAGAAAACTGAACATTAGAAAATGCATGACACCATTAAGAATTATCAATGCTTAATGATACAGAAAAATATCAAGGCAATATTACCAAAGCAGTCAGTCATGCCAAGCGAGAGAGAGATCGTCAGCAAGCTGATGGATATGTTGTGGTAACCTATAATGCTGTGTGCATGTTTGTCTCACCAGGGAGAAAAGGTCGTTCTGAAGGCCCAGTCGGTCCACAGGGAGCAAGGTGAGGTCTCTGATGCCTGGCAGCAAACTCTCCAGCATGGCAGAGCTATACTGGATCCTATAGAAGCCCACTGTGCCTGGATTTATCTACAAAGAGAAAGGTGTCTTAGAGAAAGCTAAGTGCGGCCTCACCAATCAAAACAACTCTAGATTGGAAATTCAGAAGAAATAAAGGGAGGTTTGAAGTATAAATTGCAATATTAATCTATGAAGAAATGTACCACATCAACAAATTGTACCAACATCAATACACATCTACAAAGAAAGTGAGAGAGCTAACCTTGACCCACTTATCTGGTCCAAGGTTGGGGATGGTGACAGTGCTTTCAGGCTGGTCCAAAAGAACCCTTATCTTGGAGCAGCTGGGGTCTTCACTGGTACAGATGCTAATGGGGACCATCCAGCTAGGGCAATCCTCCCCTAACATATACACATTTACACAAGAGTGCCTCAGCTGTGGGAGATTACTTTTCTTTTGCTTCATTTATCACAGAGCTGCCATACAAATATGCAAAGTTTTTCTTCATTTATCACACAGATACCTTAATGGTTTTTGTGAAGATGTCAGTAGCAGCAAAATATGAAGCAGCTGCAGTGTGTTTTGCTTTTAATGGGATTTTTTGTTTTTCATCTGCACTGTTGATTTTTTTCCTGCACATCCTTTGCATTAATCTTTTTACTGTGTCAAATCAGAAGTGTCCATTTGGGTTAGTCAAAGTCTTGTGTGTGCCTTAACATATATCCACCTATTCATGCAATAGCAGATCAGTGCTGCCCATTCACAGCAAAGTCCAAAGCAGTGTTTCAGCTCTGAGTGCTTTTTAAGTGAGGCACAACACAGGGCAGCCAATCAGAACAGAGCTCTAACAAGTTCTAACAGTCCTAAAGGCACAGTAACAAAAAAACATTTCTTTAATTTTAAAGGATAAGAAGAGGTTAGAAAATAGTCATGTAGAAGTGAAGTATGACCATATTTGGTACATAAAGCCACACCAAAAGTTAGAAATTGGGAAAATGTAAAATTCAAGAAAAATTGAGGACCTAGGCATATTGACCTAAAAGAAGAAAACCAAGATGCCCTCTACAATGCAGACTACATTTATCGTTATTGTAATATGCTATGTCACAGTATATCACACTATGCTTTTTAAAGCATATTGTGAATATCATCAATACTTAAAAGAAAAAATCCCAACTGCATGTTTGATTATAAAAAGAGCACAAACAAAGAGAGAAGAGGAGAAAGGAGGCAAAGGAGCTTTACACAAATCAAGGGTTATTCTCCAGTACATTATATTGCATATTCAAATCATTTAAATATTTGAAAAATACACCATTAGTTGCTCAAAGAGTTGTTTGTACTGATCACTGACACACCAAAAACAAAGGCAAAAAGGATGTACACGCTAACAGTTTATACTGTTTTATCAGAATTTTGTAGATACTCTAGTCAAAAACAACCTCACTCTGCTTTGTAATATTTTCCTCAAGTTTTTTTTTGTTTTAAATAAATTTAAAGAAACTGCTTCTCACACTTTTCACAATGCAGTCCCACAACATCTCAATAGGTTGTAAATCATGCCTGAACATCACTCACTGAACAGTGTGGCATATTGCATTGTTTTATTGCAATAGCTATCATTTGGTGTGGTTTTCCTCTTAAGAGGAAAGACAGAATCAAAAACTCATCAAATCAAGAATATTAAACATGCTGCTAAACATCTTTATGATGTGCATGTGAGCATTTTTTACTGCCAGTGCACAAAACCAAAATGAATCCCCCTTTAACAGGATTTATTATTAAATCAATACTTCAATTAATCCTAACAATCACTTCTGATCTGACCAATAAGATTTATGTCAAGGAAGTGCAGGGACATATTGAACCAACCAACAGTGCAGAAATAAAAAAAAAAACCTCACTAAATTCAACACATACCACCGAGTACTTGTTTTTTGCGGAGCTGTTTTGACTCTGCCAGCATTCAGTGGACTAGACCAGAAAGACATGTCAGAATGACATAAAACCTAATACTGACCATGGAAATTGCTAAATTAAAGGAAACACTTGTGTCCATGACATCCCTAGAGATAACGGAGAGCCTCAGGCAAACTTACTGGTGTAGGGAAAAAGCTCTGTGCAGTTTTGGCGGTGTATGCTCAGAACATTACAGTGAGGGAGAAGCAAACTGTGCCTGTGCAGACTAAAGCATCATTTGAAAATGAATGCTGTGTTCGCATAAGACATTTGTCTGAACCTGCTGATTTTCAATTCACTACTCCCAGAAATGGCTTATAACAGTACAAGGCATGCATTGCTCAAATGTATCCTCAAATCTCAAACATTTCCTTCAAATGTTAAGGAATAAAGATCAATGTAACATGCAGAATTTAGCTTCATATTGAACCCTGAGGGCATCTTACCATTGTGTGGTCCACTAGCACAGAACTTCCTCTGAGATATCTTCAGTACTCGATCACCTCCTTGCTAAAAAGATCATAGAATTATCATCAGAAAATTGTTTTGTTTTTAGTATACTACTAATATTCTATTGATGCCTGATGCACATATTCTCAATTTCTGTATTCTGAATTGCTACTATTTCAAGTATTCTACTTCACTGTGACTCGAAACAGCCAAAATATAATTTAAATCCCTTATCTAAAAAAACCCACCATGAAATTTTTTTAACGTGGTCTTGAAGTAATTCTTCATTTACCACTGTGTATGATTTACAAGAATATATGTTTCAAAATTTTTTCCAGTAGTTTTTAAAATTTTATGGCACCTTGTTCTGAAATTCTGGACTGCACTTTAAAGAATGTTTTCTCAACATATCTTCAGCACATCTTAGTTAAGTCTTAAAGTATAGGGCGAAAGCAACTGTCTTGGCTTATAAGGTCTGTGACTGCTATTTTTCTCCCCCAGTCAACCACCTTCACAGTCCAATATAGTGTTTCAGCCCCCAAAGTGGACTTCAAGGCCACAACTATTATGTTGCTCTAGTTGCCAACACACCTGAGCCTCAAAGACTAGACTGGAAACCGCCATACCTGCTCTTGGTCCACTACAATAATGGGGAATCCCATCTGTTTGGTCCAAGAGCTCATTACTGCGGCGATGGGTTTCCCACTAGCCTGCTCCAAACAGTCCCATAGGTCCTCTAAAAGAGAGAAAGAGTGGTTAAAAGAGCAACTGAAAGAACAAAAGTGTGATGTAGGTTAAACATTTGAGACAGAAAAACACAGAGTAAGGCCTGAACAAAGAGACAGAGAAGGGCTAAATAGAGACTGAATTTGTGACTGTCATTAATACAAGCAAGATCCTCATAGAACAATACACCACTTTAATAAGAAAAGAGGCACACACAGGCACAGGCAGGCACACACATGTAGACCCTATGTCCATGCTTGCACACCTCCAGATTGCTATTACATAATCCAACATACATTACATTCCTAACTTTTAAGTTTTTTTTTGTTTTGACATGCAAGAAGGAAAGACATAGTGGCACCTTATCATGTTTTCAATCAAACCGGCTTCACATAACATCCAGAGTACAAAATTAAAATGTTATACCATTCCAAATTCCACTCCAATGTAATCTTTATGTTTTGGTTTGTAAAAGTGAAAAACTGAAATACCTAATAAAACTGGAAGCTGTTGCATACTGTTACAATTAAGCAGGAGAAAGAACTGATAAACAGTAAGCCCTATTCAATCTGGATTCATGTTACCTGCATTGTGATTCAAGTCATTATCCCTTTAACCCAGTATGAATCTGCAATGTCTAATACTAGAGAGAATGATATTCTATAACTCATTGAAACCTCAGTATGAGCAGCCCTGTTTAAATCAATCAATTTTACAGTAATGCAATAACAAAACCTGCTAACAGACTTGTGCTGAGTTGTTACTGTTAGTAAGTGTTGTGCCTGTTGACTAATGGTGAAGCATACATGCAGGCTACAACATTTCAGTCTGGGCTATCTGTGGTATTTTGGGGAAATCAAACAGTTGGGGAAATTACACAATAGCCCAGACTGAAATGTTATAGCTTGTATCAACCAATCAAGCCCTTACAAATTATGTTAAAGAAACTCTTCTGATAAAATGGATCCAACTCAAATAGACCTTTAGACAGTTCTGCACAGTTATGTATTTCTGACCATGTGAAACTCGAAGGAAGACCTTTAGTGTTTCAAACTAAGCACAAATCCATGGCTGTAACAATTTCAAAAATGTAAATGAACACTTACCTGTTGATGCATTTTTGTGCTGAAACTTTAAAAGGTAAGCATTCATTCCCTTCCTAAAATCCTAAAAACATAAAAAGCAAAATGTTATTCAGAAACATTGTGGCACTAAATGCAACACAGACATGTCAGATCACATTAAGAGTACGTATGTAAGATTTTAATGCAGTCTAGTGCCATTACAATTCAAGGACAACCAACACAGCCCTGCAGATTATTGGCTAAGTAATAAGTAGGTCAGCTAGCGTACGATTCATCCACCCTGTTAGAGGATACACATGGATATAGCCTCTTATTAATCTTAACACTGCCAGTTTCAGTGCTCAGAGTAAGTGATTCCTATATTTATGGTGCGTGCCCCCCTTATGCTTAGGCCATTCTCTTACCTCGTCTCCTATGTAGTTGTGCAGCATGCGTATAACGGAGGCGCCTTTGCTGTATGATATGGCATCAAAAATTTCATCTACCTCTGAGGGGTGTCCTACATTAACCTGTCACACAAACACACACAGTGAAATACTACCTCATATTTCAGTAAGCTAAGCCTAGGCCTGGAATGCAAATGCAGTAACTGACACTTCAATGTAGACAGAAGTAGACTTCATAGCTGTGCAGGTCTGAAGTAAACATGAAACTTTATACTTCCTAAACAGAGATTTTTGAAATAGATTTACCTGAACAATGTAATTCAGAAAGATTTGTAGACATTTAAAGAAAACTTAAGAGAAAGAATAAAAGTATTTTGGGTGCAGAGACAGGGGAAAAATAATAGCTTTTGCACACCTCAATGGGGTGGCTGTTATCAAGAGCATCGAGATCCAGAGCCCTGGTGTAGTCAGCAGACACAAACTGCGTCCAGATGTCGTACTCAGGGAAACAGTGGTCCACACAGAGGTACTCGATCCATGATGCAAAACCCTCATTAAGCCACAAATGGGTCCACCACTCCTGCAGTGCAGAATAACTCTTTCAGTACATGGACGCCATTTCTTTCTATAAATACAAATCAGCAAGTTCACACTTGCCACAGGGTTATTAAAAATACACAACATGACCAAAAACCTGAATCAATGATTTCACTGATTTCCATCATTATGAAAAATACTGATTCAGTTTTAGTTGCAATTGTATAGAGATTTTATTTTTAATTCAAGGACCACTACATTGATAACATCATTGTAAGTGTACTCATGCTCACAAAATAAAAAAAAATAAAAAAATAAAAAATAAATAAATAAAAAAAGCAGCTTGCATGAGTTCACCAAGTTCACACACTCACCATAGTAACCAAATTCCCAAACCACTGGTGTGCCAGCTCATGCCCCACTACCAGGGCTACCCACTGACGTGAGGACGCACACGAGTTCTTTGGGTCGATCAGCAGAGCAGTCTCCCTAAAACATAAATATTTGATGTGAGGGCAGAACAGATGCAGTGTTTATGTGTGGAATACTATGAAACATTAGCTCAAAAAGGAATAAAGCAATCTATAAATTATGTTTTAAACATAAATATTTAATATGACAATTAAAGCACTACAACTGCATGTCAGGAAAACAAGACACACACACACACACACACACACACACACACACACACACACACACACTTAGAAATTCAACAAAGCATGTCATTTGATCAGGGCTGTTCAAACTTTTGCATATGACTTAATTTGCTCTCTACAGGAAACAACCATAAATATGGGATTTTTTCATTTTAGTGCACAATCTTGATTTAATGCTGAATTTAACATGTTGGAAAATATACAATAATAAAAATACAAAGACAATACAATATAAGACATGCCATAAGTGTTACACAGACCACATTTTATGTTTTTCCCCCCAATATAGTAAATTTAGCAAATAAACAGTAATTGTGATTGTATAAATATGCAGAACTATGTTGTCTGTGTGTTGCCTTTAGAGCACGTGTACTTATTTTCATTTATCAGCATGTAATTTCACCAGGAGAGTTCAAACTTTTGCATATTTATATAGTCTTATATTTGTGTATCACTGAACAATCAATGTGTATTAAATGTATTATTAGTGTTTAATTGTACCTGTAAGTAACAAGGCCCCAGTTTTCCATAGCACCTGAACAGATAGAGCAATAAAATGTGACACCATATTATCAGACTTAATGGGAACATTTTATCAAAATTTATTCTAGAGGAAATTCTACTACATACCAGCAGCAAAATCAGCAATAGCTATTAGATCAATTTTAGGCAATGGATAAGGAACACTGAAATAGTCTTTGTAGAAAGGTAAGGTCTTTGTAGCCACCTAAAAGAACAGAGATGCAAGATTTCACATTAATTTGACACTAACAGAACACACAGCTAGTGTTTCAGCATGAAATTGCTACAAAGAGCTGCCACAATGGCAGATAGCCAATAAGCAGTAGCTCTGCTTTGTTTGTTTTGGTCATACTAAATTCGAATTATGACTTTGGGAGTATGTATGTGTGCGCGCGTGCGTGTTGTGTCAGAGGGCTCATGTTCAGCTTTTAGACGATTTAAAATGCAGCCTTTCTTTATAACACCATAGGTCAGGGTAAATGGATTAAAAAATATTCCTCACCTCCAGCGCAAACTTCCCTTGCTCTGCTTTCCCCACAGGCGTGTACACGCGGACCGTCACTCCATCAGACGTCTGGCTCTCCACAAAATCATATTCACCAATTACAAATGCCACCAGATACGTGGACATGATGGGTGTAGTGGCGAATTTCACCTCCACCAGACTGTCATCTTCTGCATATGGCTTTCGATCAATGACATTCTGAAGAGCGGGAACACCGTAGTGACAATCAGATTAATGAGTAGTTTCTATTTTATTTGCAGTGTAGTATGAAATAGCTCTTAAAAGGGAACCTTGACTCAGTATGGTACACATACTTCATATGTACCAATACTATTAAAATATGCTGTATAAACCAAACAAAAACAAGTGAATAACTATTGAAAATGTTGTCCTGTAAAATTCACAAACCCTTTTTAATCCAGCTCTATATTGCTACGAAAGGCTCAGTCATAGCATAGAGAGCAGGCAACTAGACATCCAGATAGATAGGCAATTAGAATGGAACTGACAAAATCATGATAGCTGTGGCCAGCTTAGCTTGGATATCAGACTCTCTGTCTACTGTCTGATATATGGAAATGTGGAGTGTTTCAGCCCAGGCTGGTTTTTGCATGGGGTACAATACAGGGCAGCCAGTCAGAAGAGAGGTCATATCATTCTTAAATGCACAGTAACAAAAACAGCCTGTTTAATTCAGAGGAATAAAGAGAGGTTGGAAAATATTAATGCAAAAATGAAGCAAGAATGTTTTGGTACATAAAACCCACACAAATGTTATAGAGGACTTTAGTGGAAAGAGTAAATGCTGTATATGGGCCCTTTAAGGCACACACATCTTAAGAGTCAGGACTCCCTTTAACTTGCTTAATTGGATAGAGGACATTTAGAAACATCAGCCATCAGCTTCCCGATATGTCTGCCATTTACTGCTTGCATCTCTTCTACATTAGCTGCTGCAATTAGCAACCTTTCTTCCAAACAGTAGTGAAACTGGAGCTGTGCTGCCATTACACTCCTAACCTCTCTCAACTCTAAATCGAGATCTATTGACTTAGAACAGGGAAATGAAGCTTTACATACATTACAAAAGGTCTGAAATAAGATCTGAAATAAACAGGGCCAAAATGCAAATAACACAATATTAAATATTTTGCCCTTTAAACCACAAGCACACCCCCTAAGATATAATACGTCAGTATCACACTAACAAAGGACTTTGCAAGTCACCACACCCTCCGATCTTGACCTGAAAGGATTAATATATTTATTCATAGATAAAATGGACTGCTGTATTATATGTTGTTGTTGCTACAAACAATCAAATCACCACAAAAACTAACAAAAACTCACATTGCTAACATCAAATGGGTCAACTGAAAAACAGAAATTAGACTGGCTTGAGAGTAAAATGGGGGTCAACAAAATACCTTGCATGTAATGACAATATTACTGTCTGGTGATTATTATAATTTTAGTAATGTTTTCTCCAGTTTAGATTAAATCACTTATTGTTATTCTAATTAATTCTATATTTGCCCTGATTTGTGTATAAAATGCCCCTGAATAATTAAACTACTCTAGTATTCATTATGTTGGTATTCGTTTCTCTATTTAGTATTCGGAAGCTTCTGTTGTTAACAGTATTCTAGAGTTAGAGGCTTATTTATCAATATTAACAAAATATTTTATCATCAATCCATGATGAAAATGGCAATTACTAGTTGATTCCATCTGAAAGTTAATTTGAAAGCCCCTTTTCTACCATGTTTTCAAACATTCCCTTCATTCTTGAAACAGAAAATCTGCATTTAAACTCCACTGTTGAAGGAACAGACCTGAATCTAGGTTTTAAACAATTAGCATTTTGCTCCAAGACACAAAGAGGACATTAAAGACGTCCTCAGCACTACAGAGTGACAGCTGGCCTGCATCAGCTGGAGGAAGTACAATGCCTCTGAGCCTGTGTTATGTAACACACACTCACACACAGTCTGCTAGGGAACACAAAGCCTGCGCTGAGTAATGTGAATCAAGCTGTTTGGGGGTCTAGTGTTTCCACAGGGGCAGAGAGAGGTTTGACACATACCATATTTGACAAGGCTACTCGGTCCTTGGGGACAATGAGGGTGATGTCAAAGGTGGCTTTGATAGCTGGCTCATCCCAGCAGGGGAAAGCTCGGCGAGCATCCGTGGCCTGAGGGCAGAGAAAGAGAGAACGGAGGGGGTCAGTGAAAGAGAAATGGGGGAGCAAAAGAGAGAGGTCACAGAGAGCTAGTCATGTGACAAGGGTTCAGACACGTGCATGTGCACATGCATAGACATAAAGAAACCCACAGAAACAAAAACACAACAGACAGTTCCAAACCTACATGTATGTGCCGCCAGTCAAAAAGAGATACTACACTAAACACTCAAACACCAACAGTAAACAAAAACTAAACTCGTCATCACAAACATACAAAAGCTAAAGTGAACAATGCAGGTCCAACACAAATATATTGACAAAAAGAGAAATAACTACGCAGACAGTGCACTGAGTGGTGAATAAGTGCCCTGAAATTTCCTCTTTCCTCTGTCACTTTTGCCTTTAAACCAATATCCTCTGTTTGTTCAAAGAGAAGCTAGTTACTCATTACCTAAAAAACAAGGTCTATTACTACAATATTTGTCAAGCGACCAGCATGAAGTTTTTTTACAGCGCTGTGACAGATGTCTGAGAATATACAGACAATGAATGAAGGATCCACATGCTCAAGAAGACAAACAATCTGCTTGTGGAATTACCTCAAACTGTGTGACAGCAGCGTAGCGGATTTCTCCTGAAGGAGTTGCATATTTACTTCTGTAGAATCCTTTCATTTTGTCATTCAACTCTCCAACGAAGTCAATCTTCAACGTACCCAACCCTAAAGATCAGGTAGAAAACATTTGTCTTTAGTAAGGTGTAAGTAAAATATAATTCTGGTTAGTTTAATTTCAGGCACTGCAGACTCCAAAATACAGATTTAAAAAAATCGCTCTAGTAAAAGTCTTCCCGTATCACTTCACCCTTTGATCTTGACCTGACAGGATGAACACATTCATCCACAAATACAATGGACTGTTGTATTATATGTTGGTGCTGCTGCAAACAATCACGTCACTGCATTTTAATATCACTGCCCTTTGTCTTTCATTTCCTTTTATGTTTTTATGTACTTTGTACTTTCTTCTAATTGTGTGTTTTTTTTTTTAAGCTACCGTCCCTTCATTTTTTATTTTCACTCTTAAGCACTTTGTCTTTCTTTTTCCTTTTGAGATTCCTTTTGCTTTTATTAATGCAAAGCACAACGAATTGCCTTTGTGTATGCGATGGTATGTACAATACCATTTGCAAAAAAGTTGGGACGCTGTGCAAAATGTAAATGAAAACAAACTGCAATGATGTGCAAATCATTTAAAACCTATATTTATTAAAAAAATAGTACAGAGACAACACATCAAATGTTGCAACTGAGAAATTTTATTGCTTTTTGAAAAACATTTGCCCATTTTGAATTTGATGGCAGCAACACGTTCCAAAAAAAGTTGGGATGGGGGCAACAAAAGGTTGGTAAAGTTGTGTAATGCTTTATTAAAAAAAAACAAAAAAACAAAACACCTGAAGGTTAACTGGCAACAGGTCAGTAACATCACTGGGTAGAAAAAGAGCATCCCAGAGAGGCTGAGTCTTTCAGAAGTCAAGACAGGGAGGAGTTCAGCACACTGTGAAACACTGCACGATCAAATAGTGCAACAATTCAAAAATAACGTTTCTCAACGTAAAATAGCGAAAAACATAATATCATTAAAAGACTTAGACAATCTGAAGAAATCTTTATATGCAAAAGACAAGGCTGAAAACCAGGACTGGTTAGCTAAGATCTTCGGGCCCTCAGGTGGCATTGCATTAAAAACAGACATGATTCTGCAGCGGAAATTGCTGCATGGGCTTAGGGACACTTCTAAAAACCACTGTCTGAGAACACAGTTCATCACTGCACCCTTAAATGCCAGTTAAAACTCTACTATGCAAAGAAGAAACCACATATAAACAGGACCCAGAAATGCTGCAACCTTCTCTGGGCCTGAGCTCATTTAAGACGGTCTAAGGCGAAGGGGAATAGTGTTCAGTGGTCCGACAAATCAAAATTTATCAAAATCAATTATTTTTGGAAATCATGGACACTGCGTCTCCCAGGTTAAAGACCATCAGGCTTGTTATCAGCACACAGTTCAAAAGCCAGCATCCATTATGGTATGGAAGTGCACCAGCGCACATAGCAGGGGTGACTGGCACATCTGTGAAGGCACCATTAATACTGAACGATATATACAGATTTTGGCAACATATGTTGCCATTCAGACATTTTTTTCAGGAAAGGCCTTGTTTGTTTTAGCAAGACAATGCCAAACCACATTCTGCACAACAGCACGGCTCCATAGTAAAGAAAGTGCTAAACTGGCCTGCCTGCACATCAGACCTGTCACCAACTGAAAACATAAGGCACTTTATGAAACAAGAAATATGACAAAAGAGACCCCGAACTGTTGAACAGCTGAAATCCTATATCATGCAAGAATTGGAAAACATTACACTTTCAAAACTACAGAATATTGTTAAAAGAAGAGGTGATGCAGCAGAGTGGTAAACATGCCCCTGTCCCAACTTTTTTGAAACGTGTTGCTGCCATCAAATTCAAAATAGGCATATATTTTCAAAAAAAAAAAATCTTAGTTTTAGCATTTGATATGTTGTCTTTGCACTACTTTCACATCAATATAGGGTTTAAATGTCATGTCATGTCATTATAATGTCAATATAGGGTTTTAATATCACACGTGGCTACCAAACACAAGAAAAAACAAGTCACTGCTGGCCACAAATAAACCACACAACAACTTTACAAACGTTGGTAACTCTTTTGCAGCTCGGTCATTCTGAACGGAGCGACATGCATAGTTTTTATGAAATTTTTAACATGGTTGGCTACTAATCATGTAATAGTGATTCACAAAAATTAGAGTCATGTTCCTGGCTCAGAGTTGCAGACTGGCAGCGAGCAGTGGCAGTGGGAGACTCAATATTTAGTATTAAGTCCGTTACTTGTAGTTGCAATCTAAATGTGATTGATCATATCATTTATTTTTGCTGGTTTGTACAAAGGTTTTTTTGCACCTGAAGACCACACTTCACAAAATAAATAAAGAACATGTTCCATTCAAAACATAAAGAAATTCTTTGAAAGCAGTGTTCAAGGATAATGGCAATTAAATATGTTAAATTAAATGCATGTGATGTTTGGATTTCATAATAATTTTTCCTTTAAATTTTAGCCAACTAGATTAGTACTGTGAACTCATGATACTTTTTGACTAGGTAATCATATTGTGTACTTCTGTAATTAGGTACATACTATATGAAGAATCAAATCACAAGGAAGAAGTTCCTTGTGTGATAGATACAAATGACCCACATTTATCCTTTGACGGTAAGGTGATTAAACACGTTCCAAGCTGTTGAAAGAATAACTATAGCAACTGATCACACAGCGACTGTTTGCATGGCCACAGCTGAGCTTGTAATAGAGCCTGCTGGTGTTGCTGTGGGGTTTACCTTTCTGAAGAGCACTGGGGAATGACAAAGTGACCTTCTCATCCTCATTCTGATAGTTGAATCCTGTAGCATTAATTTCTAAGTGAACAAAAAACCTGGGTTATGAATGTTATTACAAAAGCAATAAATTTAACAGACAAAACTGTGCAAATTCATCAGTAAATCCCATCTTAGAATATGAGAATATCTAAGAAATACGGATGAAATTCTGTAGTGCAGTTATACTGCAACACGTTGTGACTGTATGCAGAAAATAAAATAAAACACATTAGTGAATCCTTGATGTGACGTAGTTAATGATGAGCCTGTGTTACTTTGATCAAAACGATTTATTCTTGCTGGATCATGTGAATGCCTCGATTTACCCAGAGAAACTCATCTGGAACATCTGAGGTTTGCTCAAGATGCTCACAGCATGCAATAAAAAAGGGTGACTTGTGACAGTCTCATTTGCATTTTGCCTTCTGTGATATCACTACTGCAAAAGCCAATATGGTGATAATGATTAACAACGACATACTGCACACCTGTAAACTAAACAATAATCTTAGGTATGTAGTTACCAGTTATGCCTATATCACTAAGCCCTCAAAAGCACAGGCAAGCACAACGCAAAGTGTTTATAAACCCACATTGAGCTTTACACATACACAGAATACACTTAAAGGGCACGTCACAAATCAGCACATCTAAAAATATCCGCCTATTCAACATACAGCAGTTTAGCTCCACCCATTCATGCTACGTTTATCAGTCTAAAACACTAAAAAAAACAACTAGTTTAAATCTAAGGGATAACGAGAGGTTGGAAAATGGTCATGTAAAAATTAATTCCAGCTGTTTTTGCACATAAAACTACACAAATGTTATAAGTGGCCCTCAGTGAAAAAAAATAAATAAATAAAATGCAGGACAACTGTGGGATACGGGCCCTTTAACATGTACAAGGTCATGCACTAAAACCAGAATTACACACTCACCTTCCCCCCCTTCTGGTGCAAAAGATGCAGTGATAATATCTATATCAGCACAGTTCATCACTATCTGGTTTGTCCCTTGTCTAACCTGGAAATAACAACAAAACACATAACCTTTACCATAAAATATAAACAGGTCTACAAATAAAGGACTGCAGACCGGAAATTAGCTAGTGAGCAAATGATGGTGCAAAATGTATTTCCTCTTTTGAGCTTTATGTTTTACGTACATGGTCTTTGACAAAATAAACACAAACACAATGAACTAGTGAGGTTTATATTCCATGAAAACATATTCTCAGGAGACTATCTGTTCTTTCAGTAAACACTGTGATCTGATAACACAGAATGAAGGAATGCATTCATTTTGCCAAAATGTGATTTGGTTTATCTGTACATACAAGGTCAACAACCTCAGTCTATTTTTTCTCGAAGCCTCTAAAGTGCACAATAGAGGCTTAAAACGAGCACAAAGCTACTGCATACTGAGCACAAAGCTGCCCAGTCAGTAGTGAGTTTTTCTTTCCTTGGAACAATCAATATGTCCTATAGGCCTAGCTGTGGACACATTCTATTTTTCATCCTCAAAGACTGATTTATCACACCTGAAGTACATCAGAATTACCTAGTGATATGGGAAAAGCATCAGTTGTTGCTGTACTTTTTGTAAACAGTGAACTCAGATGATGTACAGCTTTAGAGAGCAATTGAGGCTTGTTGTAGCTGGATGTGACTTGGTTGCAATGAAAAATCTGCTCATGTGATGTCCGGCCATAGATGGGTTAGGGAGTGCCTCCATGCTGTCCGAACCTAGCCCACTTTTGATTGAGGGTGCCAGTCAAACTTGCAGCATCGTAGGGGATGTAGTTAATCTCATGCTCCAATAAGACTTGGCACAGAGGCCACATTGAGCTAGCAGAAAAAATTTCACAATGGGGTTACATTAGAGTGAGGCGCAAAGCGACTTAACAGGTCATTAAGGTGGCCTACAAATAATTCTTATACAAAATATCTTTTGCAACATAAGAAGAGCTAGAATCCAGACCCCGAATTGCTACAAAGCTTCACCGCAATAGAGACGTCCTTGTCTACTTTCTTGAAACTATTTCACCACCAAATGTAACTCCGCAACCAGGGTCGAAGAGAGTAAAAATAGAAAGCACAACAAGGCAGTAAAAAAGGGTGTCATGCAAATAAAGCATAACCCGAGTTTAATTCAGCGTGAATGACACAAAAAAGTGATTTTATTTAACGTATGAGTGGTATTTAGTATCAAGTGTTTGATAACTATGCAGTCTTAATGATGGCCAGTGTAAGATTCCAGCAAATTACAAAGTTATTTGTTGTGAACCATGTGTCAAAAACCATCAAAAGAACATTTCATCCAATCACTGCCCTACATTTTAGCGGTAAATAGTGACCGAAAGTGACAGAATCTGAAAAAACACGCCCTCCAGACATTTCAGGATACATGAGCCACACAGTGTCCAGTGATTTTCTCTCTCGGTTGTGCACTACAAAATTACAGCTGTCTCCCAAGTAGGTGAGGCTCGACAGTTGGCTAGCAAACAAATCTCATATGAAAAATCTTCATCATAGCTAACTACTTGCTTTGCACGCAGGCTAACGTAGTTAACACGGTTATGCCTCTGGAGTTTCCTGAATGGTTTCCAAGAAAACAACCCAGCAGGTTATTCTGCTTGACGTGCGCCGTCGTAAGGGTTACCATAAACCTTCATGCTGTAGTTAATGTCCAGACTTCAACGGACGGCAAACCTTATGTTATGTTGAAATGGCAGCTGCCGTCATGACCTCGCTAGCTAGCTAAGTTAGCGAACCAGTCTGAGTGACAACATAAAGGTAGAGTAGTTATCCCGCTAGTTTGTTAACTAACTATCTATCTGTTTCACTCTTTCTCGCTGTACTGAAGGTTTCAGTCAAACTGACTATTAGCAACAAAGCTAAGGCAGTTAGCTAAATAGCTAACATAGCCGTCTGGCTAGTTAGCTTAGCAGCAGTAAGTGTAACTAACGGTTAACCAACGTGAACGTGCATTGCCTTGTACCGTTAGTGTTTACATTCTTAAATGCAGCTGCATTAAAACACGTTACAGTCAGCCTACCTCTACGGCTGCCTCCAGTTTGCCCTCGAAGGTGAAGTCGATGAGGTCGGGCTTCAAACACAGCCCGTAGTTTACGGGGTAGACGTCAGTGGGCAACCGTACGAAGGGCCTCCTCTCAGGCATGGTGACTAAATGCTGGCTGGTAGCGTTAACAGAAAACGTACAGTGTCTAATGCTGAGTGTAGTTGCGCGTAGAGTCAAAAAACCAGGCTTTGACAGCGATATCAGACTTCGGGGTGTGACTTGTCGAACGAGTGACAGAGACACTTGACGGCTCAAAAGCAGCAACATAAAACCCGTGGGATGTGTCGCTAACTCGCGCCCGTCCTCCCCTCTCACTTGCAATGGACTGAAATAGCCGAATGTGTGTACGTGCGCGCTCCCGTCTCAAAATTACGTCATTGCGTAGAGGGGCCCCATAAGTGAGAGAGGTGAATGCCTATCTATACAGTATTTCTGTTTTGGCCAACACTGAAAGCACCAAAGACTCCTAAATAGTTGCCTTTTTTAAAGCTTTTGTTTGATTGTGATTTATTTGAACCCATATCAGTTTTTTGTTCTCTGTTTTCAATGTACATCTTTATTTGCATTTCATTATTTATGTTTAAGCTTTATATTGTTGTGCACTGTTTTGAAAATGAAAAAAGCCTAAAAAAGAGAAAAGTGAATGCATGAATAACAGTTTTATAATTTTATTGTAGACAATTATTTGACAAGTATTTCCTCATTTTGTATTGCACATTGATTTGAGGCATACTGCATACATTCAATTGTGTACATGAATATGGTACAAAATAAACATGTGAGAAAATGTAATGTCCTACTTTCTCCTATAATTTTTAGTGAAGGTAGTGCTATTGACCACTCTGAGCATGAATTAATCAGATTATTCCTAGAAACAGACACTTTACACCGAAAGAAACTGGGTCAGGTTCAGATAATTATTTTTATTGCTTTAAATCGGGTTGGGCTGAAAAAAAGCATGCTCGACTGTTGGGGTGTGTTTTGTTTAAGACTGTGTGAGCGCATCATTAATGATTAACCACAATAATTTCAGATCTTATCATATTTGCAAATGATGAAGCAAAATGTGGAACATTTAGTGTTGTTCATTTGCAGCCCTGGATGACTACATTACTGTATACTCATACTACTGTTTCCCTTGCTTTAACACACATGGCTTAATTTAAAATCTAATTATCAAGTCTTTGTCTAATTCCACCATTTTTTCAAAAAGTCTGCATGATTTGATCAATGACATGTAAACAAAGTCATTTAGAGAGTTTCATGTGAAATGGTTCATTATAGAGAAACTTACTGACTCGAATGTCTTTGAATGTGGTGACAGGAACCAGGGGTCACAGTGGCAACAGCACAAATATAGCCATTTTATTAACTATCCAAAATCACCAGCGAACCTAAACATGTGGGAAGTTTTATAAGTAATGTAAAAAATTGTAAAATAATTATAAACAGGAAAAAAGTGCTTATTTTGCCTTATATCTCAGTCATAAATGAAAAAAAATACATTTTATATTACTTTTTAAAACTTTTTAAAAACTATTGTAAAACAATGTTTGAACCCACCCTGAATGACCTTATTTATATCTTAACTATTTAATTAAAAGGAAATTTTGAAAAATTTCCCTTTAACGCACTGAATGAGGTGTATTGGAGCAAAGGAAACACTAATGTGTGCAGTGTACTGTGAGTGAAGGCATAACCTTGTAAATGTCCCCAATTTGTGTACCAAAAAACAGACATAAACTCTCTTTATGCCTCAGAATTAAATAGGCTGTTTTGTTACTGTGCCTATATATAAATGACTCTGTTCTAAGTGTGGCTAAACTACTGTAGGATATATATAAATGTGTTGTTTTTGTGACATCACAAAAACAATGAATTCAAAATGGGCAATTTTTGCAGGCTTAATTTCAATATATGGACTGTATGGACTGGTGAGACAATGGTACTCAAAACTTGGATGGATTTTCAAGTTGTTTTTCCATGACATGGGCCCTTCAAGTCTTTGGTTAAAGCTAGTGTTCTTATTTGCTTCATCTTATTTTAGCTGTTTATCTCCATGATCAATGCATGACATATTTAATACCATACAAAGATATAGGGTATTTTACAAAATGTTCAACCTTTATTAAATTTTTTATTATTTTTTATTCATATTATTTTGTTGTATTAATTTATTTGTTTTCAGAAGTCATACTGCAGAAATGTAAAAAAGCATTGGGTTAAAGCCTAATTATACTGAACCAACCAGAAAAGCACTCATTCAGTCTATCATCCTGTGCTGTTCTCTAAACAAAAGATAAAAGAACACCTGTCAGTGAGTGACTCAGCTACCAGGAAATTATTTAGTCACACTCATAGACAGACATAAACAATCTTCAGGTGAGACCTGGGGGACATGGTCTAGACCACTGAGTCAACCAGAGTCAGCTTCAGATGCTGTATCAGAATTTCTAAAGGGATTTATAGCTAATGCATTTGCAGTTTATATCACAGTGCTTTTACTACGATGATTAAGCTTCTTGATTTAGGCAACATATAAAAAAGGTTTGTTTGGCAGACCACTCAAACTTGTTTCACAGACCACAAGTGACCCAGCAATACAGTATGCTAGCATACAAATACATATATTTGCTCAAGTTGAATGCATACAGTTATCACTATTAACTGTAAATAAATCATCCAAACAAACATACAAAAACAATGAATCAGATGTCTCCTTTCTCTAAGTTAGAGAATATGGCCTTCTGATGTATTCAGCAGAATAGCTGCTAACCAAATAACAGTTATACCCTGAAAATATGCAACTTCACTAAATAAGAAATAACTAATTTATAGTCTAAAAAGATGGCATAATGGCATGTAAAGCAAAGTGTGACAACAATCTATCAACAGAGTAAGTTATCTGACTAATTAACACAAGTTTCGAGTTTAATCTTGCATTTGTAATAATGTCATAATAAAGAAATAATAACAAATAATAACACAGAAATGTTTGTATTATGCTCACAAATGGACTATAAGGTAAATCAAATGCTCTAAAAAAAAATACTGCTCTAGTTACTATTCTCAATTTGGGTGAAACTGTATCAGCAGCGCCCACTACTGGCCATGACTGTGTCGTTTTTGAATATGAAGTGTAATTTTCATGTTTTACCAGTAGGAGGTAATGCAGTGCGTGAAATTCCCCCGCTTCCTACACAGGCTATGTATAAATAAAACGTCAAAATAAAGAATCAGTCGTGTTAAAGTGTAAATTCCTCCTCTTAATTCCACAGAATAGAGTTTTTGGAGGTAGTCAGTTATCCTTTAAGGGCAGTAAAGCCAGAGTGTTTACAAAAATCGATTTACGGCGTGTAGATGTAGGTGCTCTTTTATACAGTTAAAAGCATTTTATAGTGGAAGTACCCGACATGTCACATGTTGCTGTCGTCATATAAAACATGTTTGATGAATTATTATTGAAAAAGACTGAGTCCCGCTGTATTGCTCAGGCTGCACTGCAGTGTCTATTCACAGGCGCGATCCCACTACTGATCGGCACGGGGGCTTTGACCTGCTCCGTCTCCGACCTGGGCCGGTTCACCCCTCCTTAGACGACCTGGTGGTCCCGAGCTCCCTCAGGAGCACCATATCGATACCGAACTTAGTGCGGACACCCGATCGGCATAGTCCACTACAGCCCAGAACCCCTGAGCTCAAACGGTCCGCCAGCCTCAGCCTCCCAGTAGCTTGGATTACAGGCGCACGCCACTGCGCCCGGCGAAAGCAGAGCGGATCTGAAGAGCTTTTAACCATCAGACTGACACACTCACCGCCCTCTGGTGGACAAAGGAGGAACTACAGACCCGAAGAGTCTCTTACAGAGCGCGCCCTCTGCTGTTTGATGATGGAATTAAACATGACTGATACAAAGCGGTTTTAGCTTCTTTTCCGCATTTCTTTTTTACATCAGGAATTTAGTTTGCACATTATTAGTATTAATTCAATAAAATTAAATTTTAATGTTAATTCATGTTAGTAAAAACGGATCCTTCCATTAAAATAAAATGGAAAAAACATGGATTTTTACAAGAGTTTAAATCTTACCTGGTAACGTTGAAACATATTTCCAACTAGAAAAAGTTGCATTACGACTATTTAGAATTCGATTTTTTTTTTACATTTTTACTGGTTTCCACCTTTTACTAGTATTAATACTAGTATTAATTTTTTACTTTAAATATTAATACAAAATTACAACATAGACTGTATATAAGATTATATACAACCTATGGTTCAACCTCAAGTTTTTGGTATCAAGAAACTGAAAGCTAAACGAACTTGCCATATGTCTCTGCTCCTTCTAGTGTTCAAAAGGAGAATTACAGCGACTGAGATTACAATTTGTAATTTGTAATCTCATTTGTAACGTATCCTCATTGTACTTCTGTTACTGCTTCTTTTACCACAGTTTTAGAGCAAACATAAGAATCTAATTTCTGTACACTGTCTGTCTCAGCAGAAGAGCAGAAGAGCGGGTCCTCATTTCCAAACAGACACCGTCTTGGCCAATGACGCGTCTCTACGCTGAGTGTCTGAACCAATCAGCGATTCCTCTCGTTTCATCGAACTGAATAAAAAAGTGAGAGGAAAAAAGAGTGCTCTCTCTAACGGGACTCATCTCCATGGATGATAGGTTAGCTAGCTAGCTAACCTCCTGAACGGATTTATTCATAAAAGAGTGAAGGTGAGGATATTATTGTGGTGTACTCGGGAACGTTAGCCCTCAAGATAATAACAGACTTCACTATCTTAAACTGGTGTGTCAGCTAGTTAGCGGCTCCGGCGGCTTGATGTGAAAAAGAGAAGTGTAACGTTAACTTAGCTAGCTAAAAGCTATCCGAAAGCGTGCAAAACATTGTTTTTAGCGAGTATATTTTGACATAGAATAGTTCATTTACATATACGAGATGTTTAGCGTATGTGGGCAGCTGGTCTTCTAACATGAGATACGTTTTTAACGCTGACTACAGAAAAAATAACAAATGTCCTGAGGCCACCGACTAACAGCTTGTGTGGACAATGCCGCATATGCTGGGGAGTGGCTGAGCACCCCAAACAAACAGCACACCAGATCAGCTATGTCGGGGGGATTTATTTCATAAACATAGTTTTCAGTAAAAGAGAGTTGTGTAAATATGCCAACATCACTACTAAACCAATTTATGCTATGCCCTGTCTTGCTCTAGTTCGACGACTTTATAACTGAGCTGCTCGTTAAGTTTATCCAGGAGGCTCATAATAATCTTATAGTCAATTAGGAGAATTAACATTGATTTTGATTATAGAGTGCTGTAAGAGGTAAGATGTAATGTACATTATTATTCAAGTATTATGACGCGTTATAGCTAGATGTTTTATAGTTTCTTATAGTATTACTATAGGTCTTTTTTTGTAAGGGGGATTCTGTTTTTTCCCCCCCCACAGATGCAGTTCATGCTGCTGTTCAGTCGCCAGGGCAAGCTGCGGCTGCAGAAATGGTACGTGCCCCTGTCTGACACCCAGAAGAAGAAGATTTCCCGTGAGGTGATACAGATGGTGCTGGCTCGCAAGCCCAAGATGTGCAGTTTCCTGGAGTGGAGGGACTTGAAAATCGTCTACAAGAGGTTAATACCATCATTAAATTCCATTATGTACAGTTAGCGTCATGATTATGTGCACTCCTGGTAAAGATCAGAAAAAAAGGTCATGAAAAATGTCTTTGTGGTTAATTAGCTCAATCTCACACTGAAACAGGAGAGCTTTTCCTTTTAATTGAATAACATTTAGTCTAAGAAAACTTTAAACCTAAAAAAAAAAAAGGGGCACAGCAATCGGTACCCTTTTTTCACTTCTTTTTTCAATTCCACTTGAATGTTTTGAAACTATTAAGCAGTCATCCATGTCTTCCTGTTTCACTGGTGTACAAATGTCACAGAAACCAGATTTACTCAAGCCCAGTCCCTAATAGTGCACACACAGTCCTGCAGTCCACAAATGCACATGAATGCGAGGACAGTGAGGTTGTAGGGTTGAAGGGTATCCTCTGTGCGCCCTTACTGTGGCGCTTTTCCCCAAATTTGTTGAGATACAGGCAAGAACCAGTCATAGTGGATGGTTTTGTTTACAACTGTCTGACCAACATGACAGAGAGGAAGATATTCAATCGGTTACTAATGTAACATATTGAGTGGCATTATGCCTGTAATCATGACGCAGATACTATAGATAAGAAAATTGGCTCATTTAAAGTTACGCCATGTGCAGCATATGCAGAGCCTGCATGTCACAGGAGTCAGTATCAAATGCACATGTTTAAAAGTACCCTTAAGGTCTCTTGCCCTATAGGTCTGCTTGTTGTTGAAGTCATTAAACTGTGGAACTAAACTAAGACCACAGGGCTTAGGGTGCCTTTTTTTTAATTTTTTTATTTTTAATATATATATATTCCCGGGCCAACATTCCTTGGCCACACCCCTCTTTTCCAGGGACATAATTTTTTTTTTTCACTTCGCTATTAATGTCACAACTCATCATTTATTTTTGATCATATAGATATAAGGTGATGTGGCACCACAACCACTCAACACCCCTCCAAACACCACCCCCCACCCTCTCACCCACCCCCTGCTTTGAGTGAAACAAAGAACAGAAATAACAGAGACAAAACAGAAGAAGTAAGGAGAGAGGATGAAATAATAATAATAATATTGATGATGATGATAATAATAATAATAATAATAATAATAATAATAATAATGACTAACTGGACATACAGGACAGACAAACACAAACACATAACAAAACAATAAACAAAGCAGTAATGCTTTTAATAATGTAATTATAACGTGGGTAGTTATCAAATCCTATGTAGGGGTTTTAACCTTCCCCTGATGAGTTTGGAGAGAGAAACCAGCTCTCAATATATTGTAAAAATTGTGACCAGGTTTCCTTAAATGATTTTGTTATTTTTAAAATTTGCTGAGTCTTTCCAAGTTGCAGTGATCCATGAGGAGGTAAAGCCAATGCTTTATCGAAATTTTGGTTCTGTCCTTCCAGTTCAGCAGTATAACTTTTTTGGCAATGGTAAGTGATATGAATATAAAGCATTTGAGGTGATTGGGTGCTGAAAGTGAGGAAAGGTCATTAAGTAGTGCTACAATTGGACATAAAGGGATGACAAGGCCCAAAATCTCTGATAGCCTGTCCATGACCTCTGATCAAAACTGCTTAGGGTGCCTTTGATACTCATCAGCATGGGGAAGATTAGAGAATGCACAAATGTAATGAGACAAAAGTGTATTGACCTTTATAAAAATTAGGCAATGGTCATAACAAATAGCTACATTCCTGACAATGCCCTGTCGATATCCATTGTTATGGTAATAATTAAGAAGTTTAAACAACCAAAGCTTTAGTGAACTTGCCTGGAAGAGGACAAATGTGTATTTTGCCCCCACACACAGTGCGGAGGATGATTAGAGAGGCAAAAACTTCTCCAAGGATCAGGGTTGGGGATTTGCAGAAAATGATAGCATTTTGTGGTCACCAAGTCTCCAAAACTGCAATTAAACACCACCTCAATTCCAACAAACAATTTGGACGGAGCGCCAGGAAAAAAAGCATTTTCTTTCATCTAACCACAAACCTAAATTTGTAAGTTCGCTAGATACTACTGGCACTTTGACTGGTACCAGGTTCTATGAGACAAAAATGGAGATTTTTGGCAACAGACACTCAAGGTGGAGTCTGAAAGGATGGTACTACAGAAGAGAACTTCCTCACTGCTAAGTATGCTGGAGGATTTGTGATGGTTTGGGGCTGTTTTTCCTTCCTTTAAGGCTTGCTAGGATACACAGCATACTAGACTGCATGTATTACAAGGAGATTTTAATTGAAGATGAGTCTGCCATTGCCAAGGTTGTGGCTGGATCTTCCAGCAGGACAGTGATCCAAACACATATTCAGATATAAGCAAAAATTGTTAAATTATCACAGAATCAAGTTTTTGACATGGCCATCCCATCCTGACCTAAACCTGATTGAAAAAGTCTGCATGTTTGCACTTTGTCTGTTTTGTTCCATAGTCCTGGAGGAACATAATTTCGCTCCACTGTGTATACAGAAAAAGCCTCTTGACTTGCATTGACTTGATCTAGAGAGATTTTTTTTAAGGAGCTGTAAGATTGAGCTAATTAACCACAAAGACATTTTTATTTTATTTATTTATTTATTTTTTTTTACATTTTTTACTTTTATTCCCTAAAGGTGCCAATAATTGTAGAGCTGACTGTAAACTCATTGTCTGCTTGGAAACTCCTATCTTATACCTCTACTCACTGGCCACAGACTGCATCTGTTGCCATGCTCAATTTATCATCCACCTTCCTCCAAGTCTATTGTGTCAATTTCTGACCACAGGACTGCTGTTGACCAGTTATTTGAGAGGTGGACCATTTTCAACACAGCACTGACACTGACATGTTAGTGTGTGGTGCTGGTATGAATGTATCAAGTGCAGTGTTAGTGGGGTTCTTACACATGTAAGTGTCAATGCGAGGTTCAGAGTTGTCCACCAGCCAATGGTGGTTCCTTTGTCAGAAGCTTGGCATTTATGGCTGTCTTAAGACTGCAATTGAGACTCTAACTCAAGTGTTTCTGATAATGTGGACGCTGAGTGGATATCATGTTGCCCGGGGACATCATTATTGTTACAACAAGTGTATCACGTATCGGTCACAATCTGGTCAAGGTCAGGACAGACCTGTAGCTAATATGAATTGTCTGTGATATTGTTTATTTTGCACAGTGTTGTGGTCAGACCATAGACGTATAAACAAATATAAAGAGTGCAAACATTTAACTGAATGCAGCATTTCACATGGTACTTAAAGTGCATTCGTACCTGTTCTGCAAGTTGTATTGTTTTTGTTTCAGATATGCCAGCCTGTATTTCTGCTGTGCTGTGGAAGACCAGGAGAATGAACTGATAACCCTTGAGATCATCCACAGATATGTAGAGCTGCTGGACAAGTATTTTGGCAGTGTGAGTTTTATGTTTTATTAATTATAAAGTGTCATACTCTTGTTCCCAACTTTCAGCTGGTGGTTAATTTCCTTTACACAGTAAATTCCTGAGTAATTTTTCCCTATGCTTGTGGTGTGTCTGCATTCTTTTTCTTTTTTGTACTCTGTTCAGGTTTGTGAACTGGACATAATCTTCAACTTTGAGAAAGCATACTACATTTTGGATGAGTTTATACTGGGTGGAGAAGCTCAGGAGACTTCGAAGAAGATTGTGTTGAAGGCCATTGAACAGGCAGATATGTTACAAGAGGTGAGGAAGGCTGCATACTGTATGGAAATAATCTCAGATGTTACAGCGTAGTGAGGTACACCAAGCATGGGCTAAAAGGGTGTAAAGCCCCCCCAGCATTGTGCTGTGCAGCAATGAAGCTGCGTTCTCTGGAGTGATGGAGCACCATCCAATACCTTTGGGATGAGTTGGAGTGGAGTTTGTGATCTAGAACTAATCATCCAACATCTGACCTCACTAATGTTACTGTGGCTAAATGCAGTCAGATTCTCACCAGAATGTTCCAACAACTAGTGTAAAGTCTTCTCAGAAGAGTAGAGATAGTAACTAAAACAAAAAGGTGCAGTGACTGGAGAAGACTGACAATTGGACATAGAACTCAAAATGTACTGTTTCTTATTGGGCAAATGCTTTGTTTTTACTTGATCATTTGAGTAGGTCCCTTCTTGATTTCAGAAGAAACACAAGAAGCAAAGTTCAAACCAGCGTAAACCTCTGAGAAGCTCCTTGTACAGGTCTTCCTTAGCTTTCGATATGTTTATTATTTCTTCTTCATTGAAGTTGTTTATAAGTGGCACATTCGTTTAAGGCATCAGACCACGTTCCAGGTTCTCTTTTTTTTGATGCCTGAGATTTCAGTTTTGTCTTTTAAAAGACAATCTTGGTCTAGAAGCTCAAACAAGCCAAATTTTGAGAGATTTTAACACATTCTTTTTAAGGCTGTTAAGGCTCCCTTTCTATAAATTGTGTGGAGGCGAAGTATTATCTGTGTAACACTTTTAATGTTTTTTCTGATCATTTTACTCTCACCAAATGCCAGGAATCACTTACTTGTATGTGAATATGTGACTGTCTGGATGTTTATCTTGTGTAAGTTTTGCCATTTCCTCTATCTCCTACAGGAAGCAGAAGCACCACGCAGTGTCCTGGAGGAGATTGGACTCACATAGACCTTGTGATGTCTCCTTTGCCCAATAAGAAACACAAATTTCTTGCTTTATTCTTTAAGCTGGTCCTCATTTACAGTATTTAGAAGCGTCAGTCACTAAACAGGTGTGTTGTCAACATCTTGTATCATAAAAATGACAGTGCCTGGATTTAGACAAATGTCCAAGGGAAATTACCATACTAACTTGTTTCTTAATGTTTTCATTTCATTCTACAGGTTTCTTAAAACACTATCTGAAAATGTAGCTTTTAGTTTTCAGAGTCATTATGTGTATGACTGTGAGAAACCATAGCCAACTGTTAACCTAGAACAATTCTGCTTGCTAATTTAGAACAGTTCTTCATTAACATGCCATATTACCTCACGTTGTGCCCTCCACTGCCTTAAAACTCACTTTCACAGTTGGTGTATTTGGCCAGCGTCTTATGCAACTTGGTGAAAGTTGAATTCATTTTTTTGCTCAATGGAGACTAATTGTATCTGTGTATAAGAAATGGAAACAAGTGTTGGGGACCAAATATTCTTACACTGACTAGGAAAAAGGGGAATAATATAAACTGAACATAGAAAGCAAGGCAGGCTTCTAAGAATCTAAGGAGAAATATGGGACAAAAAGTCATGAGTGACTTAGCCTTCAGTGGTCAGTATTATTTGGAAAAAAGGTATATATGTCAGTATTAGAAAAGGCATAACTGATAACACTAAATGTTTACCATGTACTGTGAGCATTATAGTTAAGAACATGCATTGTGTTGTCAAGAAGGTATTTCATGCAAGATTGTCAGTTAACTAGGTAACCTAAAACCTGCACAGTCATTAGTGTTAGTTTTGTTTTTCAGAGTGTTTGCAAAAGGATAATTCTGTTCAACCTTAACAGAGATGATGTATATTCTTGTCATTTTCCATTGTCATATGTCATTATTGTGCACTGAAACAGCTCAAGAGAACACACTGACTTTTAAGCCATAATCTTAGACTGTCCAATAGGAGAATAGATAAGCAATATTGGACAGTCTTACCTGTTGTCTAAAGTAAAATGTCTAACTGCTAACTTCATGAAATACCCTCCAGGTTTCAGTTTATTTTACATGCCAAAGAACCTGCATCTTGCTTCTATCCTTTTTGTATCAATGGTATTCAGATTTCACTGTGATACACTATGTAGCCTATCTCTTGGAAATACTAAGGTCCTTCAAAATAAAATGCAATTTTCTTAATGTCAAATGTGATCAACCTTTTGTTTTTCCTTATTTGTACATCTTTGCCATTACAGATTCTCTTATGATTTTGTAGCTAAGTGCAGTGAGTACTGTACAATAATAAATTATGCTGTTTTGGCTCTGTACTCTAGATGCCTGGATTTGAAAATAAACTATTAAAGGGCTGACCATAAGCTTTAATTTGAGGATACATCTATATTGATTGAACTGTATAGGAATTACAGCTTTCATGCATATTCCTCCCAAACTGGGCAACTTGTGGTTCAGAAGTTCATGCACAAAAACACAAGAAGATCTAGAGTTTTTTTTATTTGCATCTGATGTCTGATGCTGATGTCTCTCAAATAATATTTTCTTGTCAGGAACAACGCTGCCAGTAAAGCAGGCTCACATCAGTCAGACTAAAAAAATCAATGACTGCTAAAACATTACGTTCATCATTAAACATTTAAGAGGCAAAAACACTGAGCTTACAAGATTTACAACTAGTGCTACAAGACAAAGACTGTGGAGGTCTTGTTGTACCAGAGTAAACAAATGAAAGTGTGGAGAGAAAAAAAGGAACTGATCTTGATCTAAAGCATACCACTTCATTTATGAAACATGGACATGTGGACATGTATAGCTGTTAGTGGCTTACTTCTCTTTACTGATGATTTGACTGCTGTTTCTATGGCTCAGATTCAACAAACTCAGTGAATGGTGCCTTAACTTAAAACAAAACAATGGGCCTCGTTCACCTATATATTCCTAAGTTTGTTCTTAAATTTGTTCTTGAGAAAGGTCTTAAGAAAAAGTCTACATCAGATTCATGATGTATTCTTCAAGCGCAGAATTATTCACACCTTCGTGTGAAGTGTGCATAGATTCTGTTCTTACCTAAGAACAAATACCAAATTAGAAAATAAATGGTGAATGTCAGAATCAACATGAAGACTGTGTAAGTGGGTTTAAGAAGAAATTTCTAATTAAGAACAGTTGGTGAATGAGGCCCAATAACCTGAAGCACACTACCAAAGCAACTATGGAGTTTTTCTGTAACCAGAAAGTGTAATGATCTTGACTGGCCAAATCAATGACCTGAAGTGAATTCCACTGAACATGCATTTCAGTTACTGAAGGCAAAAAAACACAACACAAGTGGGAACTGAAAGTGGCTGCATTACAGGTCTGGAAGATTGTTATTGGGGATGATACCCATTCATTAACAAAGGATTTGCCACTGCCTACTAAACAATTTTATTTATTCAACCTGAAATCAGAATTGACCTTTTACTTGTTCATTCATGTCCCTGTTCTAAGGACAATTCATTTAAACTATAAGACAAAATTCATATCTTTCCATCTCTTCAGCATCTTTTGGCTAGGTCACCATGCACCAAGTGGTGGGGAAATATTATTAAACAATATCATGTTTCACCTTCCCATCCTTCCATCCTCATCATACATCCCTATCATCAGGGGAAAATACTCAGCTAGCTCAGAGATCCTCCCTAATAGTGCATTTACCTTGAAAATACATCATGGTATGGGAGGAAAATGCATTACGATTTCCAATTCACCTTGACTTTAAGATTTATATGTTAACTTCTTCACATACGTTTGGCTCCCTTAAAAGGGAGACAGAATAAAAAGGGTTTTTACTGCTACATGTTTCACTCAGTATTCATAAATAGCCTCATATAACAGTGGATGTTCTACACTGTGACTTCATTTCAACATGCTTAGAGCCAGAACTGAAACAACAGGAATTATATCCCTGTCCAAATATATATGGACTGCATAGTTTATAAATACTCTCTAAAACATGTGGAGATAAAGCATCCATCTAATTACTTCATAAAGATTTATCACACTACAAAACTCAGAAAACATTTAAATTCTAATAAAATAAACATTTATTTACACATTTATAGACAGGCAAAGCAGTGTTCCTCCCAAAGACATGAAAAAAAGAGTTTTGTAACCAAATAATCAGTCACTGCTGTAGAAAAAAGTGGAAATGAATTCATGTCTTTTCACATACAATCATCACCAACAAGTGTGTCAGTATCAGTGTTGGCAGCTGTGACATCATTTGTTGGTAGGTTTTCCTCTTCTAGCTGACAGGAGTTACTTGAATGATTCTCTGCATTGTCGTCTTGGAGTGCTGTGAGGGGCACAGCAACTTTGCAGTCATCCCTGGGCGTTTCTGTGCTCTGTTTGTCTTGGTTCTTTAGAGGCTCTTCATCCTCATCTTCCTCTGTCTCTTTACCAGAACCAGCAAACGAGCTTCCACTGCGGGACCTGCTCCTCTTTCGCTTTTGTTTCTTTTTGCTTTTCTTCTTTTTCTTGCTCTTTTTGGAGCGTTTATGGCGATGTGAGGAAGTAACTTCATCAGTAGCTGCAGCATCACAACCATTTGGGCTTTTGCTCCCACTTTTCCTGCTCTTTCTTCTAACAGATCCATTTTTGGACTCCTTTCCAGGGCTGTTTGATTCTGACCTCCTAGATCTCTTTCTTGAGTCTGTGGGCGAATGGTGACCTCTGTCTCTGCTTCTGCTGCGTGACCTGCATCTCTCACGGCTTCTGCTTCTCCTGTGTCGCTCACTGAAGGATCCTTGGCCCTGTCTCAGTGAATACTGGGACCTCCGACTCTCTCTACTTCTGCTACGACGACTCCTTTCTCGACTGTTACTCCTCCTCCTGTACCTCCCACGACTGCGGCTCCTCCTTTCACTTCGTCTGCGGTGAGACAGTTCAGGGCTGTAGCTACGTTGTGACACCTTGTCCCTGCGATCTGAACGCCGTCCAGTGAAACCTCCACCACGGTCAGGGGACAAATGGAGGTCACGGTCTGCCTCCCAAAATTCATTACTCGGGTTCCGAAATACATGGAGAAAGTTGCAGTGTTTTCCCTTTGGACACTTCTGTCTGTCAAAAAGCCCTGAGACAAAAGATTTTAAGCCAGGAATAGGGTGGTTTTTCAAGAAATGTTAGCATATTGTAAGAATATTAAGTACTGAATGTAAAGCTAATTAAAAGTAGAGGTGCACCAAAGTCAGTTCTGCATGCATTTCCTGACTAATTTCAAACAGTTAGTAAAGGTACTAAATAAATTACACTATACAACAGAGATGTTCACAGGTTGCTTCATGCAAGTCCAAGTTGAGTCTCAAGACTGTGACACAAGTCTGATTCAAGTCTCCAGTCTCTGAAGTGCAAATCCAATCAACTCGCCAATCTTTGACATGTGAGTCCGAGTCTCTGGGGCATGAGTTCGGGTTGAGTCTCGAGTCTCTGGGGTGCGAGTCTGAGTCATGTCTTGAGTTTTGGGGTTCAAGTCTCAAGTCGTTGATAGAGAATTTCAGTGTCATTATAAGCTGCACCTGTCAGGTTTAACATGGCTTTAAATAATAAGCCTTTAATTACAGAAATACCTTCAGTAAAAAGGACAAGACTGAAGCACTACACCTTGTAAATATAGGTTGTAGATGGTTGAAATCTTAAAGGAATGCGATCTGTAACTTAGTTTCTCGGACAACTAGAGCTAAATTAGCTTAAGCTAGTTTTGCCTCTTTCTTTTCAATACAGCATTTACTGCATGTAATGCTTCACACTGTCCACCAGACTGAAGGTTCTTCTTGCTATTCGAAGCTGTAATAAAACATACGTTTTATTTTTTCCAATACGTAAAACTCAGCAAATAAATGGAAATTGTGCACAACATTTGTAGAAAAGTGTCACAATTAAGTTTGTTCACTGTAGAGGATGTGTACTTATTTTCAGCAAAACGTGTCATTTGACTGGGAGTGCATATATCCATCCTAAATAACTGAAAAAAGAAACAATGGCAGTAGCAACCTGACTTCAAGGACATGAAAAGAGCCCTGATATTAAGCTGTTTTTTTTTAAATAACTTACCACATATTGCAGTTTTCCATCTGGTTACAGGAGAGAACTCGCACTGTAGTTGCCTTCCTGCATACCACCGCCCATTAAACATAACAAAAGCTTCTTTGCACTGATCCTCCCTACACACACACAAAAAAAAAGATGTAAAACGTATCATCCACAGCATGTCTTTTTAACAACAGACACTGATGCAGTTTCTATGACAACAGGTCATTCTTACTTACGTGTCATACTGCACATAAACGTTTCCTCTCAAGTGAGGTTCAAAGTTGCAGCTCACCTAAAACAATGTGAAACACAGTTTAAATGTCATATGCCCCGTACCGTCCTGGTTTTCACCAAATACTTTAAGGATTTGTTACCTTGAACTGCACAACTTTCCCAGCATTCCTGAACTCAGGTAGTACATCTTCATAAAAGTCCACAAACTGCTGGTATACTTCCTCCTCGCTGTACTCTAGACTAGCGTCTGTGTCGTAGTCGTCACGTTTACTCTGCTCCATCCCAAATGTCACAAACATGCTTCGAACCATCAAAGTGCTGCTTGAAATTGGGTGATCATGCTTTCGAGAGCACCTGCCCATAACAAGACCAAATGGTCAGAATAACTTTCCTGTTTCACAAATAAATACCATTTCATCACAAAAAGTATATCCTACCTGTCTCCAAATCTGCAAGCTCCAGTTTTAAGGAAGAAGGGACAGTTTGCCCTGTCCTTTTCTGTGCCATAATCCACTGGTGCATCAGGGTTTTTCCAGGAACCTCCATTTTCCAGCTGCCCAAACAGCACCCAATCAAAAATCAGTATACAGATTAAATAACACATACAAATATACTAACTTTTCACATTCTCATAAAAAGGTGCTCATTGATACCTGGCTTTCTGCTTGGTCCAACATTTTCTGTACAGCTTCCTACAAATGGTGCAAACATACAGTATGGCTGATGAAAACCTGCAGTGAGCTAGCACATATCTGTTAGAATTAGTTAAGACCACATGATGTGAATTTGTAACTCAAGATCTACCCTGACAACAAAGATGGACAGGAGAAATTACATTGTAAATCATATTTAACATGGGACACAATCTTGCTTCTATAACACT